TTTTTTTTTTCTCAGGATGTGTCCAATATAGCGCCATTGTTTCTGCTTTATAACTGTTGATATTAATGTGTTTGCTCTGACATTTCTCTTATTTCTTCACCCGTTTTGAATTCAACCCATTTTATGTTTATCATTTTCTTCACGCATTTGTTTTCAAATGCATTTAATTTTTGGTCAACGTCTTAAGTGGTTCTCCCACTTTCATTGGCATATGTTACAACTGAAATTATATTAGAATTGATTATTAGAATACATTGTTTTCAAACTATACAATTTAGAGCTTCATATTTTGTTCTGGATTTTAAGAACTGTCGATGACTTGCCAGTTCGTCTTCTTCATTTAATCTTCCACCATTTACCTTAGCGAGGTGTTGTGGTGGTTGGGTGGGGGGGGGGGGGGGGGGGGGGGGGGGGGGGGGTGTAATGTTCATTTGTGTGCCTTTTCCAATATATTGTACAAGCTGGTATTCATTTCTGTTAGGTTGCTCATGATGGTGTCGCTCCATATCTTGCGTTGTCATCCCCTTGCTCTATTTTCATTATATTTCTTCAGTGTGCTCTCTGTGGCCAAACCGTCTCATTTGTTGTTCTTTTATGAATTGTATGACTGGTTTCAATCCTAGTCTTCTTCCAATTTCTCCATTCCTGATTTTATCTCTTGTCCTACCGGCAGCTCTCCCAAGGCTCACCAGTACGTCATAATTTCTTTCTTTCAATTTCCTTTACTGTCAAGATTACTACCTAAATAAGTAAACGGAGCCGTTGCTTTGCGTTTGGTCCGATGAAACACCATATGCAATAATTTTGCGGTTTTACATCCGGCTCATCATAACTGACCGCTTACTTCCTTCGGCGATAAATTGAATTTTTGTGGTAACTGTTGGAAAAACATGAGTTGTCTGTGTGTGTGTGTGCATGTTTCTGGATTTTATCAGGATTGTCTTCACTGGTTTTCAAAAGCGAAACTTTGCGTGATATCTGCTGGCATATGAACGGAGCAACAATTGGGTGAGCCGTTTGCAGTGAAGGCGAAACCACCTCGACTACTAAGGTTACGGGGTTGGGTATGTGTGGTGTGAGTGTATATGCGAGAGAGGGAGGGATGCTGAGTTTAATTATATGTTCATAGTCGGCATTACTATAGCGTGAAAGGTTAGCACCTAAGCCTCAAGGCGGAGCATCTCAGGGTATGCCTGGTGTGCTATAATATAGATTCCTAAATCAGTAATCATTTGGTATAAATAATTAATCAGTCATCATAAACCACTTCTGCCGTTAAGCGCCGTGGGAAGAAATAATTTGCGATCCAGTGCACGTTAGATGCCACTGGCTATTGTCATGCTGTGAAGGCGTAGAGTGTCTTTAATGTTGTCGATCCATGTTTTCCGCGGCCGCCCTCTTGCTCTTGTAGTTGATCTTCTGAGATGTAGTGATTGTGATGGTATTTGATCTTGCTGCATTCTAAAGAGATGGCCAAACCATTTGATTTGCTGTTTCTCGATGAATTTAGTACAAGGTGTCGTTCCCACAATTTGCCTGATAGTTTAATTATTCACTCGATCTCAGATGGTTAGGTTGGCTGCTTTTCTCAGGCACCTCATCTCGCAGGTGGTGATTTTGCGTATATGGGCTTTAGATAAGTGCCCATGTCTGACACTGGTAGCTTAATGTTGGAATGAATATGCTATTAATAATCTGTCTCTTTGCACTCATAGTTATGCTTGGATGTCTTAATACTGGTGACAATTGGTATATAAAGTGCACTTGTTTTCTGACATCTGGTTTCTGTTTCTCTGTCAATTCTACCATCTTCTGTCATTAGTTTGTCGATGGTGCTCATTTGTTGTCGTTCGCTTGCTATCGAAGACTGGTTTGTTCGTCATGTGTGTAATGTGAGCGCTGTCTGAAGTACGCTTTTTCTTTAAATTCCTCCATAATTCTTAAGCAATTTTAATCAGTATGGCGTACATATCGTGTTCTGATCTGACGTATAGACAACGACCGGATATTGTACTTTTACCTCTTTGTCCTTTACTGTTTAACGTTTGCAAATTTACATTATGTGTATATATTTTTGTAGGCATAAGTAAAATATATGTGAAACAATAAATTAAAATCAAAACACAATTATGTATAATTTTAAGACATTGAAATCCACGCTTAATGTCAATAATTCTATGCAGGCATTGCTATAAAATGTGTTTTCATTGATGTCTGCGGAAAAATCTGGCGCATGTCTGCCGTTCGTTTTCCGACGATGTTGAACGAAATGTGTTTTATCTTCATCTGATCGGTAATACTAATACAGAAACCTGTGTTGTTTACTGTTAAATCAAATAAACATAGCGCTAGCTTCGTTGTCTGTGGCAATATATTTGATTACATTATGTAGGTATTTGCTTCTTGAGCAGCAGTGTAGTAGTAGTAGTTATTTCACTTGCACCACTGAAGTCGGTTGCTCTTTTCGACTTTTACCCTGTCTGCCTACGGCTACCTTTGCCCTACAGTAGTATAGTTATATTATGACGGTTTACTTCTAATTCTTTACTTCACGTTAAGTAACTTAGTAATGTCTAATTACCTAATGTTTGCACATTATCTCTGCAGTTCCACACAGTTTGTGTGGTGTCAGAAGAGTAGTCCTGTCCTGTACAGTGTCTGTTGTAGTAAGGAAAACACTCAGGGTTGAATGCTGATGTAGAGTACAGTGTAATTTAATTTTGTGTATTTTAACTCTTTCATGACATTTTTTCTTGGGTTTGGGATTGCGTTGACCTATTTTTTTTCACTTGATCTACAACACTGAACACTAACACTGCTATCCATTTCTAAGAATCCACATGGCACATGGGAGATACTCTCGGCGGTGGTGGTAGTCGCTGGAAGTCCGCAATTGACATGTAACTGAGGCCCTATTAATTCCGGACACAGTTGATCAAAACAGGGACGATCCAACATACATTTTTTGTTTAACTTCATCCTAATCCAGATTTAGTTATTGGCAATAGGTTTTTCACTTGCATTATTCTTCGTAATATCAACAGCAGCGTGGACAGTTCTAGATCCAGCTATGTTATTATTCTGGTTTCACTGACCATTTAGTCTAGCATGTTTTGCAGCAGGTGGTTGATATTCACAGTGAGCCTACTTGTTATCAGAAAATTTGGAATTTTACATCATTACTAGACAGAGTAGAATTACTTTCTTCATCTAACGAATGCTGCCCAAGATCTCAAGTCTGCATTTTGATCATTCTTTGAGCTTTATCTACATTGGATGTTGAAGGGTTGAAAGCTGCCATTTTATGAAAATCAAACACATATAGTATTCGACTGACTGATTAATTTAAAACAAATCAGAAAGTAATCTCAGAGCTTGCACAAGAAATTTGCCTGCTGCTCAGATGATCATCACCTTAGGGTGGTTTATTGCGGTAAAATCCTGTCTCCGTACATCCTCTGTCAACCCTCAAAGTCGTCCTCACCGGTGTCAGTCTGCTGATTAGGCTGAACTGTCAGACAGATACACAGAATGGGCAGGATGAGACAATTCCTTGGGTGAGCCTAGGACCAGAGCATCATGTATCGGCTCTGCTTTTATCAAAGCCTCCTTGGATGGCAGGGAATGCCCATGGCCTGCCCCTACCTTCCCATAAGGGTCAATCAGTCTAAATGCAGTTGCCCTAAATGGGTTCTCTGGAGGCAACACCTGTAGATAAGGGGACCCCTCACAAATAAGATAACATCATGTCCCACAAAACAATGGCCAAAGATAGGATGGAAATCTTCTTTCAAAGTCGGAGTACATCTTTCAGAGAGGCAGGGAACAAGAACTGCACACAAATAAGCTAGTAAACTGGATGTACACACAAAACACAGGTTCTGGTACAAGACCAAAGTCCAAGTGGACATACAACCAAGTATTTCCGTCAGAATTCACAACCGATGAATGCAAAAAAGAAGCATTAGGGCCCGGCAGTTAAGTGATCAGGAAATTTACTGAGTATTAGTTTTGTGAAGAATCTTTAAGCATTATTACTTTAATACTTTACATTTACCAGAGAGAGAAAGTAAAAGAGAAATCAAGGAAGCACATACACACAAAGATATTATAATATGATGAGTATGCATTGCCAAGGCAGCAGAAGCCTTTGAAAACCTGAACAGTATTTGATTTGGTAAAAGAGATAGTGGGCAGTTAATTAAATTTTAAAATTTTTTTGGAGGGATGTGGACATTTATATTTAAGGACTCTTTTAGCGACACATCAGGCATATGATGATAGACTCGAATGAATATGCATCCGGCATATGATGCTAGACTCGTACTTGTATGAACCAGTCAGCCATCAATGGGTGGTGCAGTCACCATCATGACGGCTGCCTTTACTTTCCGGGATGTTATCTGGTAGCCATTTTAGGCTGGGGGCCAAGGTCGTTTTTAAAGAAAAAAAATCCAGCTTGATTTGGATTCAATCCGACGACCTTTTGCCCGTCAGGCAGAGCATCTAACCACTACAGCGCTGCAGCTCTCTAAATTTGTATTTATGGAACGCTGTTACATAAATCATATTTCAAATTTCTTTTCATTTCAGTGCATCTGGCTGACATGCCTATAAATCTGCATCAATAAAAGCTAAGAAGATATAAAATCCAGCTGAAGCTCAGGTTACTTGGATTAGTATATAGAGACATTTCCCCTGTGCAGGCACAAACTGAACCAACCTTCCATAACTGGAGAACTTATATACAATATATAGACAAAAAACAAACAATTTACATACTTCTAAAACAAATTTTATTGTGACTTGTGGATTTAGAAATGCACGTTGTGATAATGAAAATTAACTAAATGGGAAATTTTTAATCACAGGCTCTGAACAAATACTAGCATAAGAGAAGCTGTTGCAGTTGTGGAGTGACACTGTGTGTGATAAGCTTGCTACAGCAATATAGACAGTTGATTGACAAGTCTCTAGTAAACTTTGCCAAGCTGAAACTTATGATGGCATCCACTACAGATGATTTACCCTCTTGTAGCAAAATGTCCACCGAGGGCATAAAAGTTGATGACATTGTTATAAATAAAATTCCAGTTGTTTTGCTGACAAAGTTGGATCCAGACATCTTTTCTAGGAAAATAATTACTGTGGATGAAAAAGGAATAACCACAGCTGACACAAAGAAATCAGAGGCTAAAAAGAGAAGTTACTTGAACGATGATGATGCACTTTCCGATGTTTCTATAACATTTTCGGACAGTGATGATATGCCCAAAGAGTTGACAACCAATAAGACAGGCAAGAAGGGTGGAAAAGAAATTGCTAGCAAAGAATTCAAAAGACATAAACCAGATACTTCATCAGTGAAAGTTGATAAGTTAAACAGGAATGGAAATCTGCATTCGTCACACAAATATGGTGCTCAGAGGAAGGCAGGACCTGTTTCTAAAACAGATGTTGATTCACAAGGTCGTCAGTCCAGGCCTGGAGCGTCATCACAGAGTTCTAAGCATAAAGCTGGCAAGCGGACTTTAGAGCCTGCTGAAGGTGACTCTCACAGTTCGAAGAAAAGTAAGGCCGAGGTGACAGTGGAGACAATTATTGGAAGTCCTTGGCAGGCGACGACGAGCAAGACAGACAAGCCTCACAACAGCAGTAAGTTACCCGTTTTCACTAATTACATTTTGTTAATTCACACAAAACCTTTTAGGGCAGTAAGTTATGTTTTCAATAATTATACCTCGTTAAATCACACCCGGAGGTTGTCTGCTTTGTGCCTTAGCTTTGTTAGTTCTTAATTTGTTCTCCTGATTATAATTTTTTTTGGGGGGCATGTTAGAGCTGTGAGTAGTTTTCTTTTAGTCTTATACTATAAATGTATCTTTGGTTTGATTAACACAGTATAACAGTTATTTACTGAGAGAATAGAAAAGCTAATTATCTTTTTAATTGCACACCAGTGAATTTTATAAATTAAATGGGTTGACACGGCAGGGAGTAAAGAGTTCTTCTTCTTCTTCTCCACCTTGTACCACATCGAAGTAACGTTTTAGTGTGGCTCATTGTGGCGGATAGTACCAGGGCATTCTTGTTAGGTGTCCAAACCACTTCATTTGTTGTTCTTTGATGACCTGTAAGACTTGCTTTATTCCTAGCATTCGTCTGATTTCATGATTTCGTATTCTGCCTTTCATCTCTGTTGTCACAATTTTACGTTCATTGGAGGATGTAAGTGTCGTCGTTTGGCATTGATAGCATAGTGTTGGCCAAAAAATAGTTCTTATAAGATTCACTTTTGTACTCCGAGGTATCTGCTTGTGTGTCAACAGGGGAGATAGTTAACCCATTACTTGATTAGCTTTGGCACATCTGGGTACTAATTTCTGTCTTCCTATAATCATTGTCTCTGTCTTCGTAGTGTTTATTTTCATATTATATTCCTCCCCTTTGTTACTAATTTGATTTTGGTGGTTCTGTAGGCATTCCGTATTTTCTGCTATGAGTACCTGGTCGTCAGCAAAAAGTAATTCTGTAATATCTTCTTCATGATTAAAGTTGGTTTCGCTACATATGGTACCCATAAAAAAAAGCGGCGATAGTACACATCCCTGGCGCACACCAGAGTTCACTATAAAAGTTCTTGACAGCCCTGCCTTCGATCTTATGCAGCATTTACTACGACGTGTGTACAGGCTTTTGCAAATATTAATGAGATGATTGCTGATTCCTTTTTTCCCCATATATTCCCACAACATATTCCTGTCGACTCTATCAAAGGCTTTTTCTTGGTCTATGAATGTCAACAAACATGTCTGATCATGTTCTATTGCCCCCTCTGATAGTTGTCTCAGTGTATAAATGGTGTCTGTGCAACTTCTGTTTCGTCGAAAGCCCATCTGTGCTTCTGAAAGTTGGTACTCTATCAATGGTCTCAGTCTTTTTCGATGATCTTAGCATACATTTTCCCAGTGTGACTGAGAAGTGATATTCCTCTGTATTTAGTACATTCCCTCTTACTTCCTTGCAAAGAAGGAGTATGCTGATAAAATTATAGGAACATGTTTGTGAGGGGTGTGCCTAAGATGCAAATAGAAGGATAGTGTAAATCTATTTCTTTGAAGTTGGCGCACATCTGCCTGAGCGTCGAGGAACCAACAGTCTGCATACAAATAAGCCAGATCTGAAAAACAAATGTGCCTGCAATATTCAAATTCTGGAACAAGACTGAAGTCCAGAAGTGGGAGAACAACATAACTTTCAGCCAGAGTTTACAGCCAGTGAATGCTAACAAGAATAAGAAACTATATATTAAAAATTGAATACCAGATCTAAAATTAGATCATCAAAGAGAAATGAGAATTGTTAACTATGCTTGTAAAACATTAACAATAAGACTGTTCCAGTGTGCCTATCTTGCTAGCTTGGTAGTCCGTGCTTATCTTGCTAGCTTGATAATCCCTATTGAATCAACCAGGTAAACAAAATAATTGATCTGAGCTCCCATGCTGAACTAACCTAACGGGTGCTAAGGAATGTTCTGGAAAGTAAATGTGCCCTGCAAAATATTGACAACATCACTCATCTTGTGTCAACTGGTGTGATAGGTATACGTTCATGGCTAGCATTACATACCCAGTGTATTCCTCAGTATGGAGAAACTGGTTATTCTTTTCTGTCTTTTCATGTTTTGCACTTATTATAGTTTTTCAACTGAACACATTTTCAGACGCAAGATACAAGCTGTTCCTCGGTCCATTCCATGTGTCAGCGTTGAAAAGTGAGTTGTTCAGAAAGTTCATCAACTTGGCAGCCGACTGTGTGGTTAGTTTCAACAAGAAGAACGGCACAATTGGAGCCTATAATGGGTCAGTTGTGTCATAACACCTGTTCATTGTTGTTAGCACTTGTTTATTGGCCTTCTTATAGTGAGGTAATATGTTAGATAACTCTCAGAAATGGTCCAGTTTATGTGGTTCATTGTCTAGCTGTGTTCTGTGTTTTCACTGTGGCAATCTTGTTTGATGCTGCACGTGAGTGATTTATGATGAGTGCAAAAATAAATGCTTTGCCAGCTGTGAGGTTCATGTTGTGATTGTTTTGTTTGTTTTTGTTAGCAAAGAAACTAGTGCTGCTGCAAAAATTCACAGGCAACTCAATGAGGTTTATGGGCCAGATGTTATGACAGTATAGTTAGTAAATGTTCTCGAATGTTTAAAGAAGGACAAATAAATATCAGATCATATGAGTCAGCCGAGTGTGGTGACAGGCGAATTGGTCAAAGAAGTGAACCAAAAAAGTCAGGAAAATTGTCGTTTCGCAATTTTTGGGTTGTCTGTAGAATTTTCGGAAGTTTCACATTCACTGATTTACAACATTACAACCTTTGTGCACCTGAAAAAGTGGCTGGCATCGCAGCAGTTTGAAACAGATGATGAGCTGCAGACAGGCACTAATGATTGGCTCAAGGCACTGGCGGCTGACTTCTATGACACTGGAATTAAGAACCTGGTGCCACGACACCAAAAATATGTTGACGTCAATGGTGACAGTTGAGAAATAATGTAAATATGTGGTTCAATTTTGGCTGCAATAAATAATTTTTACATATAATGATAAAAAAAAAAAAAATTATGTGCGGGGCTTGCTTAAAAAAAAACAACGCTTCCTGTATAATTGATACTATAAAAGTCCTGCTGTCTGTACCTCTGTAGCTTGGGAATTATAAATAGTTTCATAATTCTGCATGCTGAATTTCAATCCGCTGCTGGTAGTTTGGCTGTAGACTGCTTTATATTATTTTCGACAATAATATAAATATCAGACCTGTCAAAAAGCAATGACAAGACTACTGAATTTAAAGTGTCTCGTGTAACAACAAACAGTCAATAAATAGGCTTTGGGATGTTCTATAAAAGGACTTGCAACTAACTGGCTTCAAAAGACCTACTCAAACAAATTGAACATTTATGTATGTGCTGTAGAGTGAACATGTATATTTGTCTTTTGGGGGGAGAAAGATTTCCTAAGAGAGGTCACAAGAAGAAGTGTGACTGGATCAGACCTTGACTTAGAGGATTGACAGAGAATGTACAGAGACAGGATTTCACTGTGAGAAACTGCACACAGTTCGTCTATGCTGCTGGAAGATTTCTTGGTCTAGGGCTGAGTCTTTTTTTGTGTAGCCTCTCTTTTTGTTAATCTTGTTAGAAGATTGTTTTTAATTAAATCATTATCCTTAGCCTCTTATTTTATTAATCTTGTTAGAAGATTGTTTATATTAAATCATTATCCTGTCTGTTGTTATACCAGTTATTCAAACATAATTTGTTTTTAAATATCAAGTATTGCATGCTTACTCCTCAGGAGTGTTGACCTCTTCTTTGGAGACTATTTGACACTTGAGTCGGCCATGCAGAGACTGTGTCAATTCCCAGGGTTTGATGACAAGTCTGTGGTAAAAGGCACCATCACCTGCTTTGAAATCAGGCCTGTTGACGGAGAACAAAAATGGAAGGCACATTTTACAGGTAGGTTTGTTTAATCGCCTCTTTGTTTCATGGCTAGCATTGTTGTTCTGATTTTTTTTTTAAAGAAATAATTTTTGTTGTTCCAAAAATATACTTTTTTTAAATTATATTTGCTTGATATAATGAAGATGTTTCTAGTTTAAAACAATAAATTTAATAGCTTTCTGTTTTAAATAAATGTTCTTGTAAATTATAAAATTGTGTTCTGCGCACATTTTATTTGGTCTGACAAAGTTTTAATTTTATGTCCACAGCCAAATTGTTATTTCGCTTCTGTGCAGATAAGAAAGAGAAGTTAGAGCGATTAATTGCCAATAAAGGTAAGTAGTCTTTGTGTTTCTCAGCCTCTGAGTCAGTGGAGCATCGCTACAGGAAGAAATTTCTGCACTGGGTAGAGCCGTGACTTTCTGTTGTTTGATAGGATAGTTTTCATGTTTTGTTTCAGAGTATTTTCCTCTGCTTCTGACAGTGGTATACCTGAGAGGATTTTGCCGTCACTTTCCTATTTCCATATGATCTTCATAATTCACTTGTTAAAAGTGAACATCCTTTAGAAGCTCATTGTCTAGCCTGTTGTTTCGGATATATCAGTCTGTTTAATCAACTATGAAGGCGATTTGTACTGTTGCTGATGGCAGTCACAATTGTAGTGCTCCATGTAATCTTGTGTGGCTTTTAACATAAAAAGCATCATGTAATCATTTTTTGACCAAATGTGTTGATTTCGAGATCTTTTTGTAAGTTGAGGCCTGTTCAATTTTCTCTCTAGTTGGCTTTAATTCACTGTCAATGTCAAGAGTTGCAAATGTTTGCCCTTTTTCCAGTTCATATTGAGACATATTCATCTTTAAAAAAAATTTACAGCGTGTAACCCTTTGTTTACCTATGCAGTTATCTTTCTGTGAATCACAGTGTAAGAAAATCTCCAGACATACTACACTGCAGGAGAAGCTTCAGAAGCTAAATTTTCACTTGGGTATCATTCATTCCAGATTATTATTGCACTCTGGTCCATGTCTGGTGGTGCTGGTGGGTCCTGAACAGTAAATCCAGTGGTGACCGGCAGGCTGAAAATAACTGAGCTTCTGCTCTCACTTACTGTGTGCTTCAGTTTTCTGTTCACACCAGTAGTCATTCAGATAAATGGTTGAAACTCTTTCATTCAGCTGAAGGTCATTATTTTGGCCAGAATACCCAATGGCATGATGTTGGCTGAATTCAATGTTCACCTTTTGTTCTATGACTAGTAGTGTTGCCAGCCATGTGTTTTTTTTTTTAAAATTGTACACATCATCAGTATTGACATGTCTTACTACTGTGGTAACTGTGACTTTATTTACTGTGGACCTCTCCAGGGATTTCATTTATTTGCCTGCATGTGAAACCTTCCTTGACTTTGTGTGTCATGTTCAGTGTATCACGTATACAAGCTCGGGTATAGTTTTGAAACTCAGGCCAACATACACCATTATTGCTGCTGTAAATACCTCCATGTCCATACTGCATCATGGCGCATGTGGTTCTAGTGAAACACCTGCATCCTGAAAAGTTCTGCTCTGTGAACATATCGAGCATATCTAAGTCCACCTTAACTTGGCTCTTTTATTTGTCTGGGTGGATGAGTTTTGCTACACAGATGTCAGAGAGAGGAAAATGATCTGGGACAATTGAGTTGTCTGTTTATGTCTACGTCCTTATCACATTTTTTATTTAATGATGATTTTGTTCCCTACTGTCATGGGATTCCACTTTTGGCATCTCTTGTTGTCTTTTATAAGAACAGAATAGATCTCCCTAGTGGTTTTGGTGGGGGGCGGGAGGAGGGGGGGGTCTACCTGGAGCTGCCAAGGGACAAGATGTTTCTTTTTTTTTTTGATCGTCTGAGTGACGTAATTGCATTGTGCCTGTTTACAATAAAACTGCGATATTGGTACCTTTCGGCCAACACATCCAACTTCATAGACCACTTCTTGACTGGGAAGATGTGTGATCATTCATCAAAGAACAGGCATCATCATCGTTTTATACCTGTGGAGCTTTTGATGTGTAGTTCGGTGCACCTGTGGATCTGTCCAGAGTGCTGTGATGATAATTCTTACTAATCATTAATAAATTTTTCTTACTGTCTGCCACATGGCAGGGAGAACTCTTATTGTCACTCACACAAGATATGTTTTTGTGCACCCATGAAATTTGTGCATAACTTCATTTTGTACTCTCTTCAGTCTCACAATTTGTGGGACTAGCTGGTGTTAAATTTGACCAGGTTGTATTCTGTGGTTGAAAGGGTGGTTCAGAAGTGCCTGCTAGAAGAATGTGCTGACAATTATCACAGTTGATGGCCACCATTACTCTCATTTCTGAGACCATTTTGTAATGTTATGCTCAGTGTCTTCAAGCAGTGGTTGTTGCCAAATCTGAGTCAGTCAGTCAGTAAAGTTGAATTAAGAACTGACATCACAGCACTTAGGAATTCCAATAAGTGCTTCCTCCCCATCTTCAGCAGCCAGCGAAGAGTTTCATTGCCAGTAGTACTGACTTGTCCCCTGTGTGTACAGTGTTGGCCACATCCCCTAGTCAATCCAGAACCATTCTCTCCATAACTGGGGTAATCTCTCTTTGTTGAGTGTCACAGTAAACATGTTGGCATGGACAATTCCTGTGTTAAGGGAAAACTATTGTCCCGCTGCTATTGTTCTGAAATAAGATCAGCTGTTTTCTACATTGCAGTTGCAAACTCTTGTCTTTTTCTTTTTCCTTACAAGAATATTGTTAGCAAGGCCCTTTCCTCCCTACCAAACTGTGTTTCATGATTGTCAGTGTCGGCAGAGAATGGGACAGGCGATAGAAGGAGAATCCTGCGGCAGGCCTGCTTGTGTCACTGGATCAGGTGGCCAACTACTGCATCTGTTCCTCTAAAACAGGGCCATTCAACTGTTTACCCCGGGGCTGAAATGCTGGAAAAGGGGATCATTGCAGGCCAGAGACCTTAGCCGCAGCATAAACAGATTATGAGTACAATACAATTAGTAGGTGATCCAGGAGCCACTTGCTAGGCCTCTGTCAGCCTGATTTGGCCCATGCATCACCAGTTAAATAACCTTGCTCTAGAACAGGAATATCATCTGTCCATCATGATGAAAAAGTCTCAGGTCTCACTGGTATAAAAGCATCCTCCTAGCCTGTCATACGCTACCTCACCTGCTGGATGTTTTTTCTCTTGATTTTGCACCATTCAGTATTCCTGGGTCATTATGACTTGCTGCTATGGTCTCTTTGTGAGCTTCTGGTTTTACACCTTTCAATATTTCTGGGTCATGTAGTCCCTTTATGAGCTTCCGATTCTGCACCTTTCAATATTTCTGGGTCATGTAGTCCCTTTATGAGCTTACGATTTTACACCTTTCAATATTTCTAGGTCATGTAGTCCCTTTATGAGCTTCCGATTCTACACCTTTCAATATTTCAGGGTCACTGTGAAATGCTGCTGTGATCTCTTTGTGAGCTTCTGATAACTTCTTGTTCATGTTGTCCAAAGAAGAAATAGTATCATTTAGAGGTTTAAAAAGTTTCTCAACACTTAAAGTCCCAAACAACCTATGATTTCTGATTGGCTTTTCCATTAAAATCTTTAACATGTAATGTGTTTCTTAAATTTTACTTTTGGCCAACCATGGTTAAACAAAAATCTGGTCATTTTAATTGTTGATTTAGTTGCTTTGAAAGTAATGCACTGATAATTTTTCATATTTTCTTATTCACCTGTGAAAAATTATCAGTCTATTAATTTGTGATCCACCGTTAATGCTTCCGGTGCTGAATACCGTCAGCAGGAAACATTTTCCTAGAACAGTGTACAGAGTAAATAACTAGTTCCGACTGTACCTGCGATCTGTGATGTACAAGTGTCACCAGATACCAGCATTAATATTAATAGATCTCATTATTATCAACTGGTGGTCGAGCGATTACACAACCATTTATCTTATTCACATATATTGTTCTACAGGCAGAAATATAAATGACATGTTTCTGACATGGTTTGCTTAATTTGGTGTCTTTAACTCATATGCACACAAAATGTACCAATTTGACTTTAATAGAACACTTCTTATCTTTAAATATCTCTCTAAGCTCAGCAATAGTGACTTTCGTCATTTGTATCTTTATATGTTACCTTTTTATGATCTGTAGAGATCCTGCAGTGCCTCATCCATTTCTAGAGTCATTGTCTGTCAAATCTGACAGGCCTTTTCATGTCATAAATTTTGGAATAGGAATGAAACTTATCTTTCACTTATACTGATATTCACTTCTGCCGCTAATGCTAAATGTAACGTGATGGGGACAATTTGCTGAATCACTGATTAACTTTGGACATTAAAAGAAAACCTCCACTGATTGCTAAGTTTGATGCTGCCCTGTCTCTGCTAGCATGATGTCTTGTGTGTTCAGGAAGCTATCCTGATCCATGATGTGTGAATATGATGTCTGGATATCTCAATCTATTTTACATTTGGCTTCTCTGTGCCCTCACACTGACAGTAGTTTCCGGGCTAAGATAAGTACAGTCATCCACTCTGGGCTGGCTGATGACAGTAGAATTTTGGTATTGTGATGGTGCGCAAATAGCAACACTGTTACACTAGAGGTGGTGCTAAAACCAAACTTTCTTTGGTATCCGTAAAATAATGAATCTTAAAATTATCCAGCTTAACCCCGGTGTCATTGATTTTGTAAACAATTTGGCTTGATTGCAGCACATACATGGATGCTGTCACTTATTGGGGTCACAATTTCATAACTCTTGGGGAAAACATGAATCTGTGACAATGCCTTGTGGGGAAACCAGTATTCACAGATAATTTTTCTATCTTTGAAATTTTCATCGTTAAATACCAGCCTCACCTTCAGAATGGAACATTGTAAAATATTTACATCTGAATTTTTTTAGTTTCTACCATGTTTTACGTCTCATTCTGTGAGACAAGGTAGCGGAAGCTGGTGTCTGCTTCTCTGCATGATCTTTCTTATGTCTGCCATGTCTGTTCATTTATAACATTTCAAATAGAAATAATGCTTTGTTTCCAGTGTAGTTTATTATTCAACATGTGTCATAAATTCTACTTTCTCAGTGGTATCACTCTGTGCTAACCAGTTCAGAACATTTCATAAATTTGGCTTTCTCAGTGGTATCACTCTGTGCTTTATTTCATAAATTTGGCTTTCTCAGTGGTATCACTCTGTGCTAACCAGTTCAGAACATTTCATAAATTTGGCTTTCTCAGTGGTATCACTCTGTGCTAACCAGTTCAGAACATTTCATAAATTTGGCTTTCTCAGTGGTATCACTCTGTGCTAACCAGTTCAGAACATTTCATAAATTTGGCTTTCTCAGTGGTATCACTCTGTGCTAACCAGTTCAGAACATTTCATAAATTTGGCTTTCTCAGTGGTATCACTCTGTGCTAACCAGTTCAGAACATTTCATAAATTTGGCTTTCTCAGTGGTATTACTATATTAACCTGTTAATAGATTTCACAATATTGTTACATTCTACTTTCTCAGTGGTATCATTCTGTGCTATCCGGTTGACAGACTTCAGAACATTTAGTAAATTCTACCTTGACAGTGACATCGTCACTCTGTGCTGTCTGGTTTACAGATTTTAGAACATTTGCTAAATTTTGCTTTTCAGTGTTGTCATCTGCTTGGGTCTAATTCTTGTTCTTCTTGTGTTCAAATGAACTCACCATTTTGTTTCATTGTGTTCAGTGGCAAATGTTGCAGTTGATTCTAGTTATTCTGTACACCGTTCAAGCTGTGCTGCAAGCAAGACAACATTGTTTTATATTCTGTGTCCACCCAGTCTTCCATGCAGGCCAGTCTCTTGACCTGGTACATACATTATCTCTGAACATGAGCGGGTTTCCAATTTGGTTTTTGTTCCAGGCAGGAAAATGGAGGACACAAAACGAACATGTGTCCAGCTACATCAGATTCCCTTTCAGATCAACGAAGAGATGTTAACCTTGCTCTTCCCATTTTCCATTGGTGTTAAAATTTCAGAGTCTGTGAAGAAAGATGTGAAAGGGTAAGTGCGTTATAGCCACACTTATTTTTGTATATATTACTGACAGTCAGGTGCAGGGTACGCATCTGTCTTATTGGGCAGGGAGTATTATTTAAAGAGTACATTGTTATCTTCTGTTGTTTACGCATATTTTGTGGAGACCTTTTACCGTCTGGTTTAACAAGTTTTATTTCCAGTTGTGGAATTCCTTGTCCATTCCTGATCCTGAAGGATCTTATGATATGTCTTGTCCGGCTGGTTTAACAAGTTTTATTTCCAGTTGTGGAATTCCTTGTCCATTCCTGATCCTGAAGGATCTTATCATATGTCTTGTCATCTTGTACTGACCATTTTGTGACCACCTGAATCCATGGTACTCTTCTTTGGTTTATCTGACAGAAGTTAACATAACACTCTGGCCCCATAAATGCTGGTTTTACTGCCTTACAGGTTTTCCGTGGCATTTTGGCTTTAAGTCATCACTTTGCCCTGTATACCAGCTTTGGTACTGTATGTGACCCAGATGTGTAGATGGGCAACCGATATGTTCTTTCTAACATGCTTGTAACAAAAAAATATATATATATAAATATGTTTTATTGATCCGTTGAGGTTTCTTCAGATGGTATTTGTTTCTTTACTGAGTTGATGTCTTTGGAAGAAATCATTGTATATCTTGCATTCTTGAAGGTGCTGATTGATGTTACATCCTTCTTTCTGAAAGAGCTATTACATAACTATCTCTCATTATTTGTTGTTGTTATCAGTCTCATGTCTATATCTGTAGCCATATTCAGTTGTGTTTTACAGGGATCAGTTACTATTCAGGTATCCATTTTGCCAAATACATTTTCGTACAGTCGGTGATTCTGATCTGAATACTGACTTTTTGAAACTTTTCTGTCTGAAGCAGTGTACAATTTGTGGCTGGCTTAACTTCATGGGTGCCAGTCAATGCATAATGTATGATTTTACATTTAGCCAGCATCCTGTCTAAAGAAATCTGACAACATATGTATTACATACAAGGAGATGTGTATTTGATACATTTGTTCCTAATCATTGCTACTTTGGCATCAGCTATGACCTAGAGCTGAGTGAGCTCATGGCCCAGTTGAATAGAAACTGTTTCCATGTCTCTTTGTGACATCCAATCCATACTTACTGCTTAGCCGTGAACACCAGGAAGACGGCAGTAAACACCCCCATCGCTTTGTGTAGATATAACAATCGGTCCTCACCACAAATTGTGGGACAGTATTACACTATATGTAGAGTATAATGGAGTTGAGATCTGTGTTGCCCGAACAAGTGCTTCTTATTGTTTCTCCCTAACTAACCATGATATGATAGCATGTCATTCATGCAAGCAGCACTTCAATAAACTGTCTTCTCAGACACTTAATTGTGAAACCTTTTAAACTCTGCCATGTTCTTCACTATCTTGTCAGGAATCACTCAAATTGTGTCTCATCTTACCACCTTTGTTTATTGTGTCAGTCATTGGTGATCACTTATAATCAAACGTCTTGATAAAAAAGTCTTTTCGTTGTCCTGTTTTCTAGTCCTGCAACTGTCACTGGTTTCCAGTCCTGCAGTACTTCTCATGAAATCACATGAAACTAGAGGATGCTTGTGCATGGGGCTGGTTTACTTGTACCTACAAAGCACATGGATTTTCTGTGCTGCTGATAACATGATGATGATGATGACAGTCAAGAACAGCCTGAGAGGATTGGCCTCGTCTAGCTATGTACACTTGAAGACCTAACAGATACCAAAACTATGTTGGTCTTTATCACTGCTAGCCAACAAATATTGCAAATATATTCCTGATTACTGTCAGACAAACCCATGAGCATATCCTTTCACCGATGTTTTGACCGCAGAGAACACTTTACATAATCTATATTTTCTCCTCCACTTTAAATGATAAACTGTGATTGTTGGTCCTGATATGTTTAGAAATATTGCCTTTCTCTGCAAATTATTCAACACATTTTCATGGACAAAATTCAATCTTTAGATAGTAATATTAAAAAATTAATAAAAACTTGACATCCTAATTCATTTAGAAAAGGCGCCGTTCTCCGCCAGTTATTCAACACACTTTCTCCGCCAGTTATTCAACACACTTTCTCCACCAGTTATTCAACACACTTTCTCCGCCAGTTATTCAACACACTTTCTCCGCCAGTTATTCAACACACTTTCTCCGCCAGTTATTCAACACACTTTCTCCGCCAGTTATTCAACACACTTTCTCCGCCAGTTATTCAACACACTTTCTCCACCAGTTATTCAACACACTTTCTCCGCCAGAATTCAGTCCTTAGATAGTAATATAAAAAAGAATAAGCAAAATGCCTTCATTACCTGATTTTTTTAATAAGATGAGCTAGTCACACTGCCCTTTGTTGCCTTCTGTACACCAAGGTCTCGACTATTCTCCCTCATTTGTTTGGAAGCTGTTTGTAATAGTGGAATTTGTTTGCTGTTTCCGTTGACAGTGTATAAAACATGAGAATATAATCTTTGTGTTTTAGTCTATTTTGTACATCTTATCAAGAATGAACTCCAGTCAAGCTTCGTCCTAATGTGAGTACAGCATCACTGTAGAATTTCTGAAGTTGTACAGTGCTTATATTGGTTTTTGTATGGATTATTCTGAATTCAAATATTTTGGTGGTATTTTTCATTTCATATTCAATGTTGTAATACCACTGAACATTGAAGGCCACCTATTTGACATGATTGACAACACCAAGAGAGATCTAGTAATATCAGTGTGCTTGATAGAAAAAAAAAAGAGGGGGTGGGGCGCATTCTGGTCTCTTATTGTCAGATATTGGTATAATTTATGATATCACACGCTGATTCAGACATTAGTTTTAAGCTCTCATATCTCATATTATCACATATGTCATCTTAGATATGTGAATATGAGCTTTAGGAAGAACATTTTTGTTGTCTGCCACGGCTTACACCTTGGTATAAAAAATGGGGGGGGGGGGGGATGTTGAATAGGTTAACATTTAGTCTAGCCTTTATAAAGAAACAAAATGCATACTTTTAACTACACTACATAACTTTTTTTTTTAAACGAATCGTGCAGAGAGGTCAAGTAACTCACATAACGATAAAAACACAAAATTACCAAAAATCATGAATTGTTTTTTTCATCCTTTTTTCTGTCAATTTAGGCCCATTGAGATTGAGTATGAGAACAAGGAGTGGATGGAAGCTGTTCTAGCGTGCTTCCATAATTTTTCTGTATCCGTAAGCCAGCCCTACGACAAGATCTTCAAGCTTATCATCAGGAATCTTCCTCTACCCAGTGCTAAATCACAAGGTATGTCAGAGATTTCTGGAGCTTTTCCCTGTAAACGTGTAACAACAGATGAATTGTAACACTGTTGTTGTTAACTTGTTGTCATCATTTTCTCATGTGGGTTCTGGGGTCCTTTGGTTAGGGTGGGAGCGGAGGGGGGATAGACTGACTGCCACCATAACAAAAATAGACGGAGGAGGGACCCTTGAGGTCATATAAACAGGCTTGATTCCTGGCACAGCAACTGTCTCTTTATATTTTATGTTGTCTAGTGTGTCCTTTTATCATTCTACTTCTTTCTGTGAGTGTCGATCAATACAATGTCTGTTTGTTTATTATGCGTAATGTCAAACATGTCATAAAGGGCAACTAATTAGGGTTTTGTTGAAATTGGATGCTTTAAGCTATAAGGTGCAGATAATGCAGCCTAGCTGGAAACTACAATGTCCAAACCACTTTTTTTAAAGGGGATCGCAAAAGAAGAAGTTAGAATCATATGTGCCATGCTGGGAGGCACAGGATATCTTGTTCCTCTAAAACCTGCTTTCTCTTGATAAACTCAACCATCAATCTGTTTCTGTGTCATGCACGTAACATTTTTGAGCTCTGTAGCACCAGCTTTATTCTCAGTTGCCTCATGTTACGTACAATGATAATTATATGATGTCTTGCCCTGATGTGGGCAGTTGTGTATCCTTGTAAATTTATTAGAACTTGTATATCATTAACTTATTATTGCTGCATATAAAATGTAAGCTGTCATTTAAAAATGTGTTAAAATGTGAAATAAGTATTCACAAGATGAAATGTGCAGGTGAAAATGAGCCTGCAACAGGTTCAGCAAACATAATATACCTGTGCAAACAGAAGTAGAATCAGAACATTTACTGCAGCAGTCTGTGGCAAATATCAGATTGAAGCAAACAGATATGCTTGAGATTTTGTGAAGAAGCAACACACACATTCATAAGCACCTGACATTGATGCCAGGTAAATTAAAATCTCATTAAAGTTGAGCTGGGCTCAAGGGTGCAGATATCGCAGCCTAACTGTAATCCACAATTTCCAACTGCGAGGGGCAAATGCAGAAATCTTGGGCAGTGTATCGTGTGTGATACTCTTTGTGTGCACCTGTCAGTGGGTCATGTTTGATTGTAGGTCTACATTTAGTCAATATATTAGTGGTAGTTGACAACTTATGTCTGAAAATCAAGGTCTTTTTTTGGTTCTTGTGTATGTAATAATATTATCTCATTGTCACTATTGGCTCTATGGAGAGTCATCTGCGGCTGAAAGAGTTAAAATCTACCTTTGGACAGCCAAACAATTTTCACTTACCCATGTCAGAGTTTGTCAATGTCTCCTATCCTTTCACAGAAAAGTCTCCAGTATCTGTAAAGCAGAGACAGACAACAGGTTTCAACAGAGATGGGCACTTTCAGAAAGGGAAAAGCAGCCTCTTGGGTAAATACCAACCAAGAACCACTTCTGTGGGAGATAGAAATATCGGTGCTTTCAACCAGAGCCCACGTGCAAACATGGGACACGTCAATAGAGGAGGTCTTATAAACAGAGGTCTTATAAACAGAGGAGGTTTTATAAACAGAGGTGGATTTGTAAACAGAGGAGGATCCATCAACAGAGGAGGATCCAACAGAGGTCCCATCCAAAACAGGTATGTTTACTAAGCTGGTGTTGTGTCTGGTTATTCAGTTTGAAGACTTCTTCAGTGATCTCTGGTCGTGCTCTTAATCCACTATTCCTTGCATGGCTACTGTAGCTTCAGATATCTGTGTTGTGCAAAAGTTTATGTTTCTTCAGGAGAGGCCAATCTTTCTTTAAGACATGTTCCTGGGTGGTCCGAAGACTGGTTTGGTGTGTTCTACATGTTGTTGCATGATAAAACCTTGTTTTAAAAAAATTCGTTTTTCTGTTGCATTTCATCTCAGTAGAGCATAGATCTTCAACCAACTCATGTAAATTTGTCAGCCCAAGTTGTCCTTGGGAACTGTGTAGCTAGTTTTATGCCAACCTTCTTTAGTCATCTCTTCCAGCATGCGTGGCGGATAACAGTATTACTGTCCTTTCTTTCGATCAAGATCTGGTGAACCCTGTGTTGTTTTTGCATTATTTTACACTTTTTGCACTAGCAAAAGTTAAAAAATTTATTACTTTTATTCATTACTCTGGTTCCATATTTTCACATCAGTGGAATTGTCTTTAAAAAAAAAATTGACGGTATGCGAATAAATAATTACAAAAATGTGTTAGTCGCCTGTGTAAAATAGTTTGTTTCTTTATAGGGTTTATTTAGGAATACTCGGGATCTGGGTCTTTTTCCATTCTTGGGTGACAGAGTTATGAGTTTATTTCATCTGAATAAAATACATCAGTTTTTATTTTGTAGGTGCCTTTTATTGTGGTAACCTCCCCTTTATGTTAGATTCTACTGACAGTATAATTTTTAAAGCATGTTAGTCTATATATTCTGTTCTGAATCATATGAAGTCCTGGTGACAGTCCTGCACATTCTGTTGATTCCTGAACTTGGAGGAGGGAAAGAGGGCTCTGCAGTAGTCCCTGCCTGAGTACTGAGTCAAGAGGCAAGTCTGCACAAACTTGACTCTGATAGATGCAAGCCATTATCAGGATCAAACCACTTAAAGCCAACTTGAGAGTTAAGTCAGTCTTTTAGAACACCGCTCCTCCGTTAGGTAAGACTTCTTTTTTTTTTTTTCAAAGATCTGCCACAGATCCCCCATTCCTTTTAATAGTCATATAAAAAAAAAAAGGAAATCTAAATTACAATCATAAAAAAAAAGGGCTGAAGGTTTTTATTGTTGTTGTCAGTAATGTGAGGGAGGGACTCTTTAAATGTGTTTCATGGACCTCCATTTGAGAACCACTGTTGCGGAGAATCTGCAACCAACCACCCATTTGTTGTATTTTCTCTTCCAGAAGCCCAGTTATGGCTGACAGAAACATACAGTCACAAATGGCAGCTCAACATGAAGCGAGTCAAGATGCCATACGCCAGATTGCCATTTCTAAAGGTTTAGACCCAAATAATACAGAGATTCTAAAGGTCATAGAGGTTTGTGTATTTTATTGACTTGGACAATCTGGCTTTTATTGTTTTAAACCAGTCTCTTCATTGTTTGGTTGCAGCTAAATGTTCCTACATGCGCTAGAGATGGAAAGGCTATGTCTGCTATGCTTCTTCTTTTGATCACTTTCTTATTTACACTGACAGACAAGTTCTTGTGATAAACTTGGCTGTTTTAGGAGTTCCCTTTTAGTTCCATACATTTTTGAGTGTAGTGTTGACCAGTACAGTATCAAGCAAGTATTCCCTACTTAATGGGACCTACAAGGGACATTCTTACAGGACATGTTCTGTAGTTTGCCTACACAGCCCACACGGGCACAGTGGTGAACTTCTTCTTCTTCTTTTTCTTCTTCTTCTTCTTCTTCTTCTTCTTCATCTTCTTCTTAACTACTCAGACGAAGCCTGTGCATATGTATGTTAAGTTTGTTATGTCCTGTCCTAAGGTGTAGAATAATGACCTGCCCATACCGGTCAAGTAAGTGGTAGTCATCAATGGCCAGTAACCCGGACAGCCCTTTTCTTCTCAATGTATGCATTCTCTTCTTGTTCACATTCTGCCCCTTTCTTAGCATTTTTTTTGCGGTTTTGTTTCCTGGTATACCACAGCGGGATGGCATCCACTGGAGTACAGTACACTTTTGGGCTAAGTTTAGATCCCAGGTAAGGAAGTTTATCCGCTGTGCTCATCGCCATTATCGTTTGCCCTGCCACTAGGCATAGGCTATAATGTTTCGCCATCTCACACAATCATCCGAATCACAAATCAACTTACTGTTCTTATCTCGCCCCATCTGCATGGCCAAGCCATCCACCTGTATGTGTGTGTATATATATATATATCTCTTTGCATCCTCTTGCTTTCTTTCCATCACTTGACAATTGTAACCAAGATCTGGAGTCCATTCCTTTTCGTAACATATTTGGAAAACTGATATCTTATTAATCAATTCACGATTTTCATGTTTTAGTGAGGACTGTCTGTTTTTCTATCATTCCATGATATTCTTTTAAAGAAAAAGAACACCTCGACCGCAAGTAAATGTTTTTTTTCCAGCTTGTCCACTAATTGTCCAGCACTGGTTCTCAGTAGCACTTGACACTTTTTCTGACTGCAGTTGACATCTTCTTACATTCTACTTCTGAGTTTTGCAGCACTTTTGTATCTGAGATTTTTTTTTCTTTTTTTTTCCTGAATGTATTTTGAGGGGGGGGGGGGGGGGGGCACTTAGAGATATTTTCTGCAGGAGGTGGAGCATTTATAGATAAGCTCAGATGTGCTGTATTGTTGATTCTTGAATCTGTTTTTAAGTGCAGTAACATATCAAAACTATTTGCCTTGTTATCTAATGTGTGCAGTCATGCTTCTTCACACCTTGCCATATCCAGTAGCATTATCACAGAAAATATAAAGCAGTTTTTCTTTATTGTATCTCTTTTCCTAAATGCATCCACTTGTCACATAAAATATTCAGGTTTTTCTCTTCTCAAAAAATAACAGTTCCCTTTTAATGTTAGTATTTAGGATCTCATAAAGGTTAATGTCAGTATTCTGGCCTCAAAAAAAGAATTATTTAATGATAGTATTTAGGACCTCATATAAAATTAGTTAATGTTAACATTTAGGGCCTCATAAAAATTGATTAATGTTAACATTCAGGACCTTGTTAAGAATCGGTTAATCTCATTGCAGATGAAGACTCACCTGGAGCACCTGCAGACTATGGTTCTGCACCAAAAGGCTGAGGCAAGATCCTTGGAGATGATGCAGGGTCAGCAGGCAGCCAGTGAGCGTCGTCTGCAGCTGCAGAACTTGGCTATGGAACAAGCACATGAAGATGCAGGCGCTCGGAGACTATTGGCAGCCCAGCAGGCACAGCACGCTAGGGAGTTTGAGGACCAACGCCAGGCTGACAGCTCCTGGCCTAGGGATGACATCTTGCGACATGGTTTTGAGATAGCAAGAGAAAGGGAGATGCTAAGAGAAAGAGAGATTGCTAGAGAAAGGGAGATTGCTAGAGAAAGGGAGATTGCTAGAGAGAGGGAGATTGCAAGAGAGAGGGAGATAGCAAGAGAGAGGGAGATGGAAAGAGAGAGGGTGATGATAAGAGAGAGGGAGGTAGAAGAGAGAAGGCAGCGAGAAGAATTTGAAGCAGTCCGTGCTCAGGCGATTATTGCAGACCGATTAAAACAGATGTCAGAAGTCAAGGCAAATTCTAATCGTGGAAGGCACTTGCAGAAGAATACTCGCATCAACTCACAACAGGTGTCCCCATTTGCAACAAATTTGGCTGAGAAAACAGGCAGGGCAGACAACCGTAACATAATGCCATTTGGTGATGCCCCACCTACCCAGGGCCTTCTGGGTGCTGCACCTGATGCAGCTGCTGGTAGAAATAAAGGTGTTCCAGATGTGGACAGACCAGGCACAGGCAGGTCAGAGTTGCAGAAGGAACGATATCCCCAGAGAGCACCACAGCCTGGCCAGAACTATAGGGAGGACAAAAGAGAATCTGAAAACACGAGATTTCCAGGAAAGCGTCCAAGATGGAACAATGAACAAGACATGGAATATGGTATGTTTCTTCTGTTAAGTGAAATGTATGTATTTGATAAACATTGAAATCACAGAAAGGGAACGGAGAAGACCGTCTTTTTCGTGCTCACTGGCTATAGACTGATGGAAAGATCTAGGTGTTGGTTCACTTCTGGGTATTGGTCTTATTTTAGAACTGTGTCTCTTTTTTGTCTTCAGTCTCTTACTTGAGGTTTATGTGCACATCCATTCACTTCTGGATATTGGTCTTATTTCAGAACTGAGTCTCTTTTTTAGTCTCTTGAGGTTTATGTGCACATCCATTCACTTCTGGATATTGGTCTTATTTTAGGACTGTTTCTCTCTTTTTTTTAGTCTTTAGTCTCTTTTAGTCTCTTGAGGTTTATGTGCACGTCCGTTTTACAGTTCTGGCTTTGAATGCAGACTTCCCTGTGTGGGTTCTGGGGCCCCATTTTGGGGGAAAGAGGAATAGACCCACTGTCTCTAATAATCACTGAATACAGGGCAACTAATTCGGGAGGGGGGGGGGGGTCTTTTGAGGTTGCAGAGTGAGAGGCTAGGAGTAAACAGTCTGCATACAAGTAAACCAGATCTGTGAAACAAGTTATGCTTGCAAAACGCAAGTTCTGGAACACGACCCTTGTCCGGAAATAGACAGACAACCAGAACCTTCTGCCAGAGTTTACAGTTAGTGAACTTACAGAAGTAGTATTGAGACCATTGGCTGGTTGCCTCTCAGGCAGCTGCCCACGGACTTTGAAGGACACCCGCCTAATTCATAGCCTTTTAAGAGGTGCTCGTTGGGGATCATTGGGTCTGTTCCTTTTTTCCCTCCCCATAATGGGGGCCCACAGCTGTTACTTGTGCTTTCTTGGCTAACCTGGGAGCCACCAGGTCATTAAACAAACTCCCTGTCTTGATGATGGGGGTTTAAACATGTGGCCACTTGGTTCACAGTATCAGACCTAACACACTGGCAACTATGAATCTCTAAACACGAAAAGTGTGATGGTTACAGATATGTAATCGGACCTATTGACCTCTCCACAACAGTATTACAGGACTCGGTAGAGGAGAAGAGGCATACAAAGAGAGACCTGGATACAAAACTTGGCTGACTGGGTGGACCTTAAACATGCAAACAGCAGGTCCATTGCATCTGACTGTCAAAGGTAGAGGGAGCTGATAAATCAGTCCACAGCAGCTGGTGACCCAACGATGTGCAGTGTTTTTATGGGACTTTGATAATGATGACCACGGGGCCAGCAGGCAAATGTGATATGGCTGTCCCAGTGTTTAAATTTGTTTGTACATCGGTTTGGTTAGCTTGTTGATTGTCCACTTTCTTTATTCATGTCTTAGCCATTTAAGGCCGTGATGGAAATCTTGGTGGTTTTTGTCTAGTAAGTTTTGCAGTGTTGAAGTTTCTGTTCATTCTCTTTCTTCTGCTGCATTGACCCTTAAAAAAGGCAGCTAGCAGGCAATATTGTGGTTTACAGCTAGGCTGCAATGTGTGTCTTTAAGTCCTGCATGTCCAATTTCTGCACAGTCTTAATTAACCCAATTACCCTTCTACAACAGCAAGCCTGCCCCTTCAACCCCCAAATGTGGCAGAAGAACCCCTTCCCTCCCCCCCCCCCCCCCCCCACACACACACACAGAAAGTTTCTGTGAATAAACTGTCCTGTATATTAAGCTGACCATTTATTTAATAATGGAAGTGATACCAGCTCAGTAACAATATCAGATGACACGATTGGATAGTTATAATAGGCCATACATCTGAAGGTCAGGTATCACAGTGTTTATTGCTTTGGTTAGACATAATGGAAAAAAAATCAGTTTAGTACCAAAAGAGTGAAGTATTTGAATTAATCTTTTGATGTAAACTTTTGTATCTAAACTGTTGATGAACCTGGAATTGCTTGTGTGTTAACCTGGAGTTGCTTGTGTGTGTTAACCTGGAGTTGCTTGTGTGTAACCTGGAGTTGCTTGTGTGTTATTTGCAGGTTACAACGCAGTTAATACAATGGACCTGGACCCCGATAGAAACGACAGACCTTTAGATTTCAACAGACCTCGGCCTAGACTGTCAGCAGAACAGGCTTTCAAGCAAGACATTGAAAGAACTAAGGCAGTTCTAACTACCCGCCAAGATACAGGTAGGCACTCCAAATCTGGGGGCCTTTTAGACCTGCCGAGATCACACTTTGAGGACGTCAGAGAAAGACACGCTCTGCCACTGCAGTTTGGTAAAAATGCGGTGAAGAAGACACCACTTGAGATAGAAGAAGAGCGACGAAGAAGTGCAGAACTGAACCTGACCACAGGGATGGAGAGAAACGCACGAAACTTTGGTGGTTTACAGCCATCTGCTAAAAAATTTCCTGGTGTTGGCGGTGTCAAAGGTCATAGTGGAGTGGAGAGGACGGACTACGGTGGTGCACGAGATGTAGCCAGTATCAGGGCATCCAGGGAGGACTTGCAAAGAGGTGGAACTAATGTGAGAGGTGCTCAGAGAGGCAGGCCGTTTAACAGAGGGCAGCTTCCATCTCAGCTGAATAAAAAGATTCAGCCACTAGAACATGTTGATACAACAGAATACAATGTTCCTTGGAGGAGAGCTCAGCAGGATACAGTCAGAGCCCAAGATGAGCAAGCATGGCCAGAAGTACGAGGAGGCCAGGAGCTTTACGAGTACGACCAGGAAGGTTATGGACATTCATATCCAGAAACTGATGCTAATTACAACAGGAAAAATGAACAAAGAAGACCTGCAGCTCGAGGTGGCTACCGGGCATCTCAAGAATACAAGGTGCAGGCTGAAGTGGCAGCACTGAAAGCAAAGCCTTTACTGGCTTATGGAGAAGAGCAGGTAGAAGGTTACTATGGTGCAAAAGCACTGAAGAAACCTTATGAAGCCAGAGAGAGCTTCCAGAGAGGTGAAGCAGATTATGAGTTAAATTATGGCGAGTATGAAGAGCAAGACTATGCTGCAGAGACTGGATATGGCCAAGAGAGTGCAAGACCTGCAGGCAGGGGAAGACAGGTGGCTCAGGCAAGAGAACAGAGGGCTGGATTACTGGCTGGCAGAGGAGGCAGGACATTGGCAGCAAGAGGCGGCGGAGGGTTGGCAGCTAGAGGCGGTGGAGGGTTGGCAGCTAGAGGCGGAGGAATGGCTGCGAGAGGTGGGCATGCCAGTTTTGAGAGGCCTGTCGAGTCAGCACAAGGAAGAGGGGGGCACAGCTTGCGAGGTGGAAGGCTATCAGATGCGAGAGGCGATGGTCTTCTTCCGACCCCCAAACAGTTAGAAGATCCTTACTATGAAGAAGGGAATGGCGAGACCTACCCTGAACAGACTGGTGATGATTTTAGCCACTTCCAAGCACAGCATGTGGCTAGAAGTAGAATACAGCCACAGCTGGCTCAGCCACACCAACGCTTGGCCCAGTCCAATCAACTGCTAGGTCAGAGAAGTGGAGTCAACTTCTACTAGAAATTCCATTGACATTAATGAAAGGCATGTCATAGCTGACTTTTGGTATTATTTTTAATGAGTTCATGTTTTTATTACTACCCTTGTAATTGTTTCTTTGATGAATGTTGATGAGGGAGGATCCAGAGGACTTTTTTTTTAATGAGGAAAGAATGGCATTCTCCGTGTGGTTCCAGGGTTCATTTGGGGGGGGGGGGGGCTGAGAGATCCACTGCCCCCAACAGGCATGTGGTAAAAGGCTATCCCAAATAGGGGTGTTTACTTCGAAGTGGGAGTTCATCTGCCGGAGAGGTGAAGAACCAACAGTCTACATACACATTAGCCATGTCTGTAAAACAGATGTGCATGCAAAACTGAAGTTCTAGAATAAGATCAAAGTCCAGAAGTGGACGAACAACCAGAACTTTGCCAGAGTTTACTGCTGGTAAAGAAGAAGGTGAAAAAAGTATTGCATAGGATTGAACAGAATTGAGGGATTTAACTGGGAGCTCTGTCATGAACAAAAGATAACAGAATTGAGGGAATCAACTGGGAGCCCTGTGTGATCAATAGATAACAAAATTGAGGTAATCACCTGGGAGCCCTATGTGAACAGGAGATTATGTAATAAGTTTTGGATGTGTTTTCCCTCTTTTCATAAAAAATATTTGTTTTACAGCTCATTCTGATTTGATGCATGTTATAATTTTCATGAAGTACTTTGTTCTGATTGTGTTTTTATTGAAAAAAAAATTGTGTGAAAATATTGTATATTGTTGACTTTTATATGTGGGTGGTCATGTTAGTGGTCTCCAGGATATGAAGCTGTGGAGAAGTGAAGATTAATCAACCTGAACAATCAGCTGGGTAGTTCAAGCTGTTTAAATCTGGGAAGAAAAACAACTGAGTGGCTCAAAGGTGATGATGACAGATTGGTGATGTTTCTTTCTGCAGCCAGAGCATGAAATACAATGACAGTTCACAAACACAGGCTTGGTTGCCTTCTACCCTCCTTCCCCAGTGAGTTCACATGCTAGAACAGTATTCACTAGCCCATCTGCTATCTCTGGCTACGAGCTTAATGGAAGTGTTTAACAATTTCCTGATCCTCAAGTAGTTTGGTTCGATGTTAGCATTGGATAGTTTTTAAAGAACTGCAGTCGTCAAGTATGGCAAAGTGGAAGATGTTGGGGCCTCACAATACTATTTCCAGAGAGCAGTGGGTACAGTGTAGCCAGCTTTATTGCAGAGACGGAAGACATTTGTTGTTACTGTCTGCCGTATGCTCTGCAGCATTTAACCCCTCCCCCAAAAAAGTGGGCTCTTCAAGATTTCTATTAGAGTGATAATATTTGTGTAAGCATGTAAGACATGGACAATAAGTAGACAAGCCGAAAAAACACTTATAAGCAGCAAAAAATGCTGTCTTTGAGAAATTGTCAAGAATAGTAATGAAAAAACACAGAAGGCAGTCTCCTTTAAGACTGATGAAAAACCTAAATTGATAATAGAATTTAGTCAGTAATGATGTGAACATTTTATGAGAAGGAATAGACTTTATATGTGCAAATTAATCCGGTTTAGCCCCCTCTCCAAAAGATTCTGAGGGGAAAGGGTTACCCAAAAAAATATCCACATATTGTATTTGTGGGGGGGGGGGGGGGGGGGGGATCTTGTGGTTCTTTACTAAAGATGGCCCTGCTGTTGTTGTTGTTGTTGTTGTTGCTGTTGTGTGGTGTTTTGGTTTGTACAAGCAAGTAAGAACCTTTTCTGCACTTTGAGCTTAAGGTAAAAATTAAGGTACCAGACGTATATTTTACAGTTTTGGTTTGTAGAAGTCAAAATGATATTGCTGTCTAGATATGCTGAAGTGGATGAAGCAGGCCATAGTGCAGTTTGGATGGGGATTTTTGATATTAATGCAGTCATATTTTGTATTATAAGAGTCACCCAGTTGTGAGCTCGAAATAGCCACCCACAATGTGGTTAGTTTTGTTTTGTGTTAAATAAAAGCGGAACTTTTTGGTTGTCTGCAGTTTTGTTTCTTTGAACAGTATTGTTAATGGGAAAGGGGGAGGAGTTAAAAGTTAGATTATCTTCACAGCATTCCGGACACATCCAAAGGCGCTCAGATTCCTCTCTCAACATATTCATCAGTGTCATGTGGTTAATAGTACCAGTCCTATGTTGGTTAACGACTTTGTGTGTGTCCGGTGTGCTTCTCATGCTTGACTGTGCCGATCTTGACTCCCAGTTCTCGCTCGCTTCTGATTGGACAAACTACAGCCCACCTCACTCCTGATAGGTTTACTTTCACACAAGGTCACAGGTATATTCCGCACCTGCGCTGATACCAAGTGTTGTATATTTAACTATGCCAGCAACAGATGTTGACCCTATCTATTGTTCAAAGAATTTGCTATAAAATATTCACTTTCGGCAGCCAAAACAGTTCTTGAAAATGTTCACCTTTTCAGCGGCCAAAAAAATAATTTTCTAAACGTTTCCCTTTTGTAGTGTGGATCAACAGTTTTCCAAAAATTTTTATATTTTCAGTGGATCGAACAAAATTCTCTTAAATGTTCACATTTTCAGTGGATCTACAAACATTTAAAGCTCTTATACTATAAACATTAACAAGAAATGGCACAACTATGAAAGCATATTTTAATTTTTAAAAAAAATGTATTCATATAAGTATCATTGTGCAGCTGCAATGATCATACACTATAGGAGGTTCCAGCAAATGTCATATGTACGGTTGCAGTATAAATATCAGACATGACAGTAAGTGGAACTACAGCATGTATCAGCAGAGTTGGCGGCAAAGGTTCCTGTACACACCAGACACACACACACAGGACCATATGAGACTAAACTCGCATTTTCATAGATCGATCGGCCCTCAATGGCTGATGAGGTCAACATGCTGACCATCTTCACTTCCCAGGAGTTTGCCTGGTACACATTTAAGGCTGGGTTGACTTGGAAGCCAAGAGCGTATCAATAAACCATCTATATTTGATCCTGGTTACATTCTGGGGTAGAAACTGTGGTAATGAAGGGGTAACATACCAGCGTGGTGTGGATATGTATGAAGTATAAAACTTGCTTCATTCAACAAGAGGTAGAGCTTCTGAAATATACACGACTCAGTGAGGCACACATAATATACAATATATTCTAGACAACTTCTGTCTCACTTTATTCACTTCTGTCTCTACCCTGACTTTTGTCTGAACTGTTTCACCTAACTTTTGTCTCACATTTCTTACCTCACCAACTTTTGTCTCACATTTCTCACCTCAGTAACTTTTGGTCTCATACACTACCTTTTGTTTCACTTTTCTCACCTCACTAACACATGTAGAATTATATGTCCCGCCTAACTTTTATCCTGCTTTTCTCACCTTATTAACTTTTGTCTCACTTTTCTCATAACTAACTAACTTAGGTCTCACTTCTCTAACTTCAATATCTCAACCTACTACTGTCTCACTCCAACAACTCCTGTCTAGCTTCACCAACTCCTGTCTCACTCCACCAACAACTCCTGTCTCACTCCACCAACTCCTGTCTCACTCCATCAACTCCAGTCTCACTCCACCAACTCCTGTCTAGCTTCACCAACTCCTGTCTCACTCCATCAACTCCTGTCTCACTCCACCAACTCCTGTCTCACTCCACCAACTCCTGTCTAGCTTCACCAACTCCTGTCTCACTCCACCAACTCCTGTCTCACTCCATCAACTCCAGTCACACTCCACCATCTCCTGTCTAGCTTCACCAACTCCTGTCTCACTCCACCAACTCCTGTCTCACTCCACTGTTGTGGAATGCAGATTCAGCATATGCAGAGCCTCACTAATGTAAGAGCTGGAATCTAGGGACATTCTGATCCCAGCTGTAAAGGCTTTCTGTAACAGGCCTGTTGCTTCTTCTGCAGAAAACAAAAGAAATGATCTGTTACAAACATAACAAATTGTTTTGTTTATTCACTTAACCATGCCTCAAAATTTGATATAACAAGATGATTGCAGTCCTAGTACATGTTTCTTCCTTTCATCCGCCTTAAAAAGAGGGGTTGGTACACTATGCTGTGGTTTACAGCTAGGCTGTGATATCTGCCATTGTCAACCCAACACAGATTATTTCAGCAAACCCCTAATCAGGACATGCTTAATAAAGGGGTAGTGGATCTTTTCCCCACCCCAAAAAATGTGCTCTGGGACCCACACCAGGGAGCGTACATTTGATAAGTTGATCATTGCACTGTTCCCACACCAGGGAGTGTACATTTCATAAGTTGATCATTGCACTGTTCCCACACCAGAGAGTGTACATTTGATAAGTTGATCATTGCACTGTTCCCACACCAGGGAGTGTACATTTTATAAGTTGATCATTGCACTGTTCTCACACCAGGGAGTGTACATTTTATAAGTTGACCACTGCACTGTTCCCACACCAGGGAGCGTACATTTTATAAGTTGATCATTGCACTGTTCCCAAACCAGGGAGTGTACATTTCATAAGTTGATCATTGCACTGTTCCCACACCAGGGAGTGTACATTTTATAAGTTGATCATTGCACTGTTTCCACACCAGGGAGTGTACATTTTATAAGTTGATCATTGTACTGTTCCCAAACCAGGGAGTGTACATTTTATAAGTTGATCATTGTACTGTTCCCAAACCAGGGAGTGTACATTTTATAAGGTGATCATTGCACTGTTCCCAAACAAGCAGAGAAATCTGGTCCTATTAGGAGGCTTTTTTGGCGACATTTGCAAGAACTCACTTGCAATAAATAAATGTAGAGACAAATGTACAGTAAGTAATGAAAAAGAAAACAGGAACACACTAATACAGCGTTAACAAATCAACAACACAGCGGCCTGCATGCTTTTCTGTGGCTCGTGTTCTACAGGTTGGTATTTTTATATAAATGAACCAGGATACCCAAGCTGACCCAAGCTCAAGTTGGTTCCAGAAAATGGGAAAATAAAGATGACCAGTAGCATGTTACCCATGCCCACAGCATTATAGTAGACTTCCGGCCATAATGGAAGAAAGGCTTGCCAGAATGTTAAGCTTCAAGGCTATTTTTGCTTCCGACAGCTCTTTGCTAATGCAGTTTCCACATAAGGATGGTAGTCTACGGTTTCGCTGCCTGTGGAATGCCGTTCATTTGTGCAGGGGTTTTGTTATGGTATTCAAAACGGCCGGTAGCCGGTTTACATGTGAGTTGGTGAAATACCTTATATAATAATTCTACGTGTGTATAATAACTAACTTATCGTGCCTCACTTCTTCTATCCATGACAAACTGCATTTCTGGTGGATATCATTGGCTTTGGCACCTCTAGCAACTGAAATAGGCATTTACTGCGTGCACATATTTCTGGACTGTTCCGGGGCTGTTTGTTTACCAGTTTTTCGGTTGCAACAATCAGGGACATTTCATTTGATTCGCACTGGCACAGGAACAGAGCTAGTATGGGAAAACCTGATTGTGGTGATGTTGAAACCTCGACGAAGACTAAGACTAAGTAGAAAAGAAAAAAATCTTGTATTATTTGACCAACACATGTTATGGGTTAGAAATAAACTAAGAACTGTAGAGAAATGGTGATTGATGGACTGAAGTGTGTCTTGGCTTACCCTGACAAAGAGCAGTGAACTCTGCAAGATTCTTCAAAGCTGTGGTGACAATATCAGGATTCTCCGAGCCCAAACAATCCAGGAAGGTGGCCACAAAGTGTTCAGATTTCCTGAAATAAAATTTAAAAAAAAACACACACACCTTGACTACAACAAAACAAACAGGTAAACTGAAATGACATAAATGAGGCAAATAAGGTTCATTCTTATGAAAGGCCTAATGGTCCTGAAATCTCATGTTCTAATGTGGGTTGGTCTTACTAGTCACTTACCACTGCAATAAGCAGACTCCCAAGCCTTCTTACAGCACAATATTACACTATCATCTGGAAAGATGCTAACAAGTACCAACAGAATGCGATACAACTATAGTTCGTTCAACAACAGATACACACACACAAGCAAGCCATTTTCTCAAATACTGCCCGCTATATTCAATGCAGCCAAAGAATATTCACGACGTTAAGGAAATTTTTTCCACTAAAGAAGAATATCATGTGTAGTTTTTTTTTTTTTTTTTTACGGTATATATTTTTTATCATGAAACTGTCTTGGCAGACTTGTAGAAGGTTTACTTTCATTAGTTTCAGGAAGTAATGCACACTATGACTGGTTTAACAGGGAGTTTAAAAAAAAACACGCAATTTCATGATTTTTTTGTGCAAAGTCACACGCTTAGTGACCTGACCACGTCGGTCAATGTTGCTCATGTCAAGCAAGGAAGGAAAAGGAAAGTTGACGACTTTAATGTAAATGTCATTAGACGTGAGATCTAAAAATGTTAGAGACAAATCAACTTGTTACTTTGCGAATAACTGAAATTAACATTGAAATCACAATGCAGAATCGACATTTCACAAAATCTGGAAAATTATAAGAGTCAGCGTGTTTACTTTCAGGAAAACTGTAGATAGAAGGAATATTATTTGTGAAAAGCCACATTTGATAGTTGTTCAAAGCAATTACCTGAGGCAGATCCGTGAGTGACGGAGGCAAGGCTATAATACTGTATATCTTGATGAATCCTGGGTTAATGCTCACCATACCTGTGCTAAAGAATGGCTGTCAGTAAACAGTGAACAGAAAAGAAACATTTCAAACAACAAAGGCCAGCGCATTATACTCACTTATGCAGGAAACAGTGAAAAAGGTCTTATCCATAATGCTGGACTTGTTTTTCAATCACAAATTACGGATGGTAGGGACTACCACACTGCCTGGGTGCCTGACCAGTACACTACACTCAGAAAAAAAGGCAAGATGGACACATAATCAGACTACATCTAATACCATTAGTATTGGAACTCTGTGCTGGCTGCTATAGATGGGGATGGATCGCATATGTGAATGCCCAGAGTGCTGTGATGCCTTTCTTGACTCACCTCAATTGAACATAAATGGCAAGAAATGAATTTACTTCACCTATTAATGTATTATGAAGACACCTCTGAACAGAAAATAGAACCGGAAATTCAGATGTTTACTGTAAAATCTAAAAGTTCACTCAACTTATTTACAATGTTTCGAAAAGATCAAAGGAATTGGCTGCTATCAAGCATCCTGAGCATCTATGGACTCAAGAATACGACTTTCTTTTTGGCGTCATGGATATTCTAAGGTGCTCAAGCTGTTTGCCTTGCACTCGGAAGGTCATGGGTTCATTTCATGGATGCACCGTTCAGTTCACAAGTGCAATTTTTATGAGGATCCTTGGAGCTACAGAGTTCGTATTTTGTGTGATGCTTTCGGCAGGTAGCTAGTCATTCTGCTGAGAGAGACCAAGTCATATTAGATTTAAAAAAAAAAAAAAAAAAAAGGTGCAATAAAGTCAATCCTCTCAAATTGAAACCCGTAGCAACAGCTGACTACTGAGGGGCTTCCTGCCAAGTCAGACTGCATCTGCTTGAGAGGCACAGAACCAACAGTCTACGTAAAATAAGTTCAACTTCTTGAACAAGACCTAACTCTAGAAACAGATAAACTACCAGAACTTTCCACCAGAGTTTACAGTCGGTCAATGCGAAGAAGACGACCTGATAAACTTACAGAGCAATCAAGTGACTAAGGTCAAATTGAGAGAGAAAGTAACAAATGTCAACAGCTGTAAAGCTGTCTCACCTGGGATTCTGTCTGAGGGCTCTCATGATTAAAGCAAAGGCTGTCCCTCGGCACTGGTCACTTGGGGACATCATGAGACTTCTTAACTGGCTCTGAAGTGGTCAATGAAAGTGTATTAGCATCTAAACTATCAATGTTCAATGTTAAATCAAGTAACTATCATTCTTCGTTGTTCATCAAGCAATTAAATTTTTTCTACACAGAAAGAAGCTGATTCAAACTGTCACAATGATCGAGGTAATGCAGCCATATTTCTAAACTTTTCTGTTTTCCTCATTAGGCTCTCTCATATAAAACGTTTAAAAATGAAAGCGAAGTGGTGGTCATGTGACACATTTTATAAACAAATTGGACCACAAGAGTAATTTCTAATAACTGCCTGGAAAATTGAACTTTGGCTGTGGAAACATTTGCAGAAAAAGCTCAAAACCTCGGAATTTGTGAAAAAATCCATAAACAATGTTTTTTTTACTCAAGCCACTAATAAACTGTGTGCTGGTTTTGTATTCAATCAACATGAAAAAAATATTTATATACGAAAGGCAGTAATCAATAAACACAAACGGAGCAAAGAATTAAATGATTTTTTTTTTTTGGGGACCTGAAGAAAAATTTATATGATGACTTTGTTGTAATGAGGCCACTAAAGGCAACTTGTAATGAAATAAAAAAAGACATTTTTTGACAAAAAAAGTCCCCCCAAATTAAATTTTGTGTAAATATAATCATTCCCTGCCCCTTTAAACAATGCTGATATACATACATAACAGGGTCTGGTCAAAGCCTTATCGGCTTCTCTGGGATTTGTAACAGATGATAACGGATAACAATGTTAAAATACCCGCGTCTTGGAGACGAAGGGTTAATAAAAGTAGAACATTGCACTCAACAAACTTAACAAAAGGGACACTAGTGTTTGGTCATGAAGAGACAGCCATTGGAGAACTTTAAAGAAATCATAGAAAGAAAAGTGGGAGAATGAGAGAAATGTTGCTGGATCACCCAAGACTCTGAAAACCCAAGTGGGTCATGGCAGAATGTCAAGAAAGCAGAGCTCCCAGGCATCTTAACTATTTACAGGTGAAATCTGTCTTGGATAACTACAACAAATACTGACTGAATCAGATGTTAATGATGCAAAACTATGTGATTCAATAATCACAGAGAAGCCCAAACACAAGCGGACACAGACAAGTAAAAAAAAGTTACCTCAAAATACATCAGAATGTCAACTTTTCTCTTGGACATTTCATCGAGGTCTTGTAGTGCAGTCAGAAGCTCTGTGGGGAAAAGATTATCAGTTTTATTTGAGTACCTCTTCTTTAACAATTCTTCTGCTGGAATATTTTCATCAGAAAACCAGTAGCCTTGATACAAGCTATCCTGCAATCCCAAATCTCCTCAAGTATACCAGAAGTTTTTGTCTCTATTTAGGCTGAGACAGGTCAGGTGGGTTCTCTCCGAGCAGTGATGGAGTACATGTTCAGCATTTTCAGGGAACAAGTTACCTGCACAAATTATAGGTGTTTCCAATGCAGGAAAACTGGAACATATGTGGATGATCCCTATTTTCAACATGTTGGCCCCAGAGTAAACTTAGTTAAACAAGCCGGCTGTAGAATGTTGAATTAAAAATCCACATCTCATACACTCTCATAGCGGTCCGATCTTCAGCAACAAATGAGGTTCCGATTCCGATGGCACCAGTAACTGTCTGATTGTACATCCCTTGAGTGATGACCCTCGACCAGATCCCTTGGCAACTCCCTGCAGCGCTTCTCCTCAGACCATAATGAACAACATTTAGTTTGTCATACACAAATTCACCACCAAGTTGTCCAGTGTTCTGCCAATAATTTATGACAGACATGTCCCTCCATGCTATGATGCTAAACTGTCTCATATCTTCTATACTGTCCTATTCCTGCATCCGTTACCCTCCTACTTTTCTGCTGTTACCACATACTCCAGTTTTCCTCTTCTTATGACTTGTCTAAAGAATGTGAACTGTCTCATTTGCTTTGAGTAACCAGTTAGTTCTCTTCCATTTTCACTGAGAAATCTTAATTACACTTTTTATTTGTTTTTAATATTCTCATCATTCAATAAACCTCACCTCTAGAGCTTTTACATAATTTCTCATTAATCTACTGTTTATGATTTGCTTCTATTTGTCAGGACTGAATTTTTTTTGGTTAGTATCTAGAAACCATGAGTGTAAACCCTTTGGCTCAGTACTTTGGATATCGCAACCCTTGATTCCATGATAGATACCGTGAATCTGGGAGAAATTTAGCTTTTCTGCCTACCCCGGGTCGTGAACCTGGACCACAAGGAGTTTGTCACCCGGTCACCGCGCAGAGGGTCCTAACCAACTGAGCCAGCGAGCCGGGCGTGAGGACTGATATAGACAAACTAAAAAAAACTACACATTTCAGAAAGCCAATGAAACAAGAATATTAAAACAGCTGACCTTCAGGAGAATCCTTGTCGAACCTTCTCATGAATGGAACCAACTGAGCAGCCGTATAGCTGGACGTGTTCGTGACGGTGTCTGGTAAGATGGAGGTTTTCACCTCGTCCTTGGGAGTCTGTCGCAGCTCAGACTGTCTTGGGAGGGTCAGGTTGGTCAGGAGTGTCTTCAGCTCAAACATGTCAGGGTACACCAAGGTCAAGTTGCTGCAGGTCAACCAGAACAACAGAGACAAGGTCAACTATTCAAATGCATGTATTCGGTTCTGGTAGTAAGCTAGAGATTTATAACTCAATATACCCCCGTGTGGGTTCTGGGGCCCCATTGTGAGGAAAACAAGAATGGACCCAATGCCTCCCCAACAAGCATGTCATAAGAGTAAATTAACTGGGGGCTTCCTTCAAAGTCAGTGCATCTGCCTGATAGGCAAGGAACCAACAGTCTGCATACAAATAAGCAAAATAGATGCACACGCAGGATAAAGGATAAAGTCCAGAAATGGACAAACAACAAGCTCTCTCCACCGGGGTTTACAGTGGGTGAATACAAACAACAACATAACTGAATTATTTCTTAAAGTTTATGAAAAAGGAACTTATAACTGAATTATTTATGAAAGTTTAAAAAAAAACAACAGGAATTTAAAACTTAAATACTTCTTAAAGATAAAAAAAAAAGAACTTACAATTAAATTATTTCTTAAAGTAAAAAAAAAAAAAAGGTTTGTCTGCAGTTGTCTTGCTTAGAAGTTTAAAAACTAGAAAATTATTCAAGGATCCATTTCACTGCAAAAGGTTTGATTTCATTCAGCTTAATCACTCATGACTAACTAAATCAGGCCAGCAATGAAATCAATAATAAACCCAACCTTCAAACATTTTGTGCTCACAATCACATCTCTGATTATACAGCTTGAAGACAATCATCAGGCAGACATATAGAAACCACAAGGTTACATTAATGAAATGTAACACAGTCCTAGAAACAAATCGGGCTACTCTATCAAATTCAAATCTTCCCTTGTTAATCTGGACTAAAATAAACAGAATTCTAAGGAGTCACTGACCACAGAAAAATCTATCATGGATAGAATCTTAATTAACTCTTTAAGACCCAAGCAACGCTGTGAATGTTGATTGAGAAGTTCCGATTTGCCCAAACAACACTGTCAGGGTCAATCATGTTTCCCGTATATAGTGCTTCGCACATGGCTCTGTACTTATTTCTAATGTTCAGAACTACCATTAAAGTATTCATGGAAGGTTACTCTAATCTTTTTTTTCCTTTTAATAACATTCCGTATCCCAAATGCATTTTCTAAGTTAGTTTTCAAGTGCCAGAAATACCAATGTTCCAACCACAAGTACAGGTTGCAGAAGGTGTCTTTCTGCGGCCGAAGCTCTGAAATTATTTCAGTCAAATATTTTCAATTCTAATAATGATAATACAAATTTAGATCTTTTTGGGAAGTGATTAGGATGGTGAATTTTCACCAGCGGCAGCTAAGCGATCAGCATTTCGGGAATCTAGTGATTCTGACGAGTTTACACAGACAATGTCTCATTGCTACCGTGTTTAGGGTGTAAGAGAAGAAAAGTGCTCTAAACAAATAGACAATACCATTCTATGCCTAAGCTACAAAGAAATAATTGCAGCTACTCTCTGTATACGCGCGCCGCGGATCGGAAGGTCGTGGGTTCGCTCCCTGGTGGAGACGGACTTTTCTTCAAAAATGACCTTGGCTCCCAGGTCGACCCAGCCTTGAGTGGGTACCGGGTGCAATCCCGGGAAGTAGAGGCGGCCGGCGTGATGCTGACCACATCACCCATCTTGTGCCGTTGGTCTATAAAAATATAGTTCTAGCCCTATATGCCCTATACGCCTAAAGGCGTGGAAAGGGTCCTTTACTTTTTTTTTCTTACCCTCTGTACATAACTGTACAAAGTAAATAGTAAATAGTGTGTGTGTAATGCCCATTTTTCTGCCATTTCTTCTATGAAATTTCGCTCAGCACTCTGTGAGAACTAAGAGCACCTGAGTGCTAAACTAACTCCAAAACTTTTCATAACTTTGGAATTTGTTAGGAAATTGAAGAAACTTTAAAGTGTTATTCCTTAATTTGGATATTCCCTGCTCTTATGGCTGCAAAACTATGGTAAGTGAAGAAGTTTTTTGGGGGTAAAATTATGTTGTGAAATGAACACCTGCTGAATTCTTCTTTCCCACTAACTATAACAATTTTAAACATATACTTATCACCATTTTCAAAATGTACATTCATTTCTCTTTAAAAAAATATATATACTTTAGTAGGGATTAGAAGTATATTACATTCTCTATTGCTTTTTTGTATACCACCCCCTCTGCCATTTTTGTAAAGGGAAATTAATGCGAGTCAAGCCTGTCAAAATTCATGGGCCTGAAAGAGTTAACAAAATTGATATTTCAAAAAGTCATGGCTTTAATGCTGCTGTGTTTCATATTGCTACTATCACAATGCCACAGTCAGAACGGCAACAGAGGTTGATCTAGTTCAATAATAACCCTGGTCTGTACGTACCTGAGTAGGTTCAGCTGCTTCTGTAGCACCGGCAGTGCTCTGTGGGGGTCATGGGTGAGGAAGTTCTGCAAGATGAGGACCAGTTTATGAACCTGGGGACCTAGAGCCTTCTCTTCTCCGTGCAGCTGGGGACAAGGACATCCACAAGGTCAACAAGCTGAAGTCTGGGTCTGGTTCATACTAGAATGCTTTCACTTGATATCTCTAAGACATATCTCAGTCTACTCTCTGGGGCTGCACCAGCAGAATCTTACCACATGGCACCAACTTCATTGCATTGGCAAAAGTCCAAACAAGTGAACAATAGAACTGCACATGCTACATGCTCTTTTTGTGGGTTGTTTTCTCATTTAAACTGTAGCTTGAGTAACTGCGTTATTTCTTCTTCTTCCTCTTCTTTGATCATTCTTAAAAGGACAGCTGGCATGTAGTGTTGTGGTACTGGCAAAACTGCACTATCGAAGCCTTTCAGCAGTCTTTTATGACATGCTTGTTGAAGGGCAGCAGGCTAACTCTCGCCCCCCCCCCTCCCCTCACTTCCCTAGGGTGCCACAAACCAATGCAATCAATTCAATTTATAACTGCTACAATATTTTAAACATACACATTGTGCACTGGCACAGAGATTCTCTAAGAATTCTGCTCTAATCTGAAAAGACTAGATGTCCGATTCACTACCCCAGAATTGGATACAAAGCCGCCATATCTTACATATCTTATTTTTGCAAAAATCTATACAGCTGACACTTTGAATCTCACCTGCATAAACAATCCTTGAGATTTTTCCATTTCAACTTGGTATGTACAGCATCAATCAAGTCTTTTTTTTGAGATAAACATAAGTACTGACTGGAACTTGCAAACTGAAGGCCGTCAACCTTGTCAATTATTATGGACTCTTTGAGTCTGAAGGGGATTAGCATCAGAGGCCCAAGGGGTGATCAAGAGAAACATAAAATTGGCGCATCTTGTGTTCAGTGGGCTTCTAAGTAGGAACACATGAACATATGATGTGTTCCTTGGGACTCGAAGAGTTAAGTTCTCAAGTTTATTTCTCTCCATAAAATGTTCAGTCATTCTTGATGTTCAGAACTAATGTTTCTAATCAGTTTTCATCACCTCTAATTAGTCAGTTTTCACAATCCACTTGTCAGGGGACAGGGCAGTGGGTCTATTCCTTGTTTTCTCTAAAATGGGTTCCCAGAACCCACATGGGTTTTCTCAATGTGACTCATTAATTACACATGTGCAAATTCAGAAATTTACAAACATCCATACACACCTGTTTGTGTGTGTGTATATATATATATTTAGAGAAAGAAAGACAGAAAGGAAAACAGAAGAAATAATAAGATTGAAAATATACAAGCAATAAACTAAGCCAAGTATTTCAATCATTTCTGAACATTACTGGCAAATCATTTAAGACTGTAGTAATGATAAAATCGATTAGACTAAGTTTACACCATTAACTGCATTTACTAATGTAAAGAAAACAGAGAAGCAGCTGGATGAATGGTTAAAGACGCTGGACTCTCATGCAGGTGACACAGGTTCGAATCACTGATAATGTTACAGACTTTCTGACAGGGACATAAATAAAAACCTAACCTACGGTGAGTGGCAATAAATCTTCTGGCTCAAAGACCCCCCCCACCACACCATAGAAGTAATACAGTCAGTAATGATAGCTCTGACAGCTAAGGTAAAACACTAGCCGGGAAAAGATAGAAAACATACCTGTAAAAGGGAGAAAAATGAATCGAGGATTTCCATCAGTCCGGTATATTCTTGTCTGAAAACATGAGGTTGGAGAAGTTCCAGAAATCCCAGGACATGTGTAAACAGCAGGAAGCGGTTGGTATGTCTCATTTCCCGGGAGCTAAACTGAGTCTGTCCACACAAGATGGCTCCAATCAGAGGCAGCTGCCTGGGAACACAGCAATCAGTTTTAATAGAAAAAAAAACTCATATCAGATATTGTAAACGGAAGAAAGAATGAACAAACTTTATTTTCAAATGGTTAAAAATTGGGCATGTAATTCGGTCTTACAGTCTGTCCTTCTGGCCTCACTTCTTGCATGAACTACTCAATTCCTAGACTGTTTAATCGATAATAATACACATTATCTAAGTATTAAAGTATAAGTTACAAACGCTATGTTCTAAGTAAACCTACATTTATAAACAGTAACAATACCAAATGCAGTAAGTGTAATAAAAGTAAATGTAAAGGACCCTTTTCCAGATGTTCAGGCATTTTGTCATACAGGGCTTGACCTATATTTTTTTAGACCAACTGGCACTTGAGGGGTGATGTGGTCAACATCACACTGGCTGCCTTTACTTCCCAGGCCTTTATCTGGTACCTGTTTAAGGCTGGGTTGACTTGGATACCAGGGCCGGTTCTGAAAAAAGTCAGGCTCTGCCATGACATGAACCCATGACCTTGCAATCCGCAGGCAAGCATCAAGTTGATACATCACCAAGTGTAATACATCGAGAGGAAATAAACAATATGCTTAAATACTGTGATTTTTTTAAAGGGTGCATGCACTCCGTTATTATTTTTTTTTTAATTTTTAAACAGGGCTCAGGAGAGGGAAAGAGGAAAAGAGGCTGACCAAGAAAGACCTGGAAAGAGAACCTGACTGACTGGATAGGTCCTAGGCATGCAACCATAAAGTGCATTGCATCTGACTGTCAAAGGTGGGAGGAGGGGAGAACTGATCAGACCGTCAACAGCAACTGGTGACCCAACGACACAGCCTTACCAGATGATCTTAACAGTGTGCAGTGAGATAATATTCAAACAGTTTAAAACAGATTCAATTCAGACAGTGAGATGTGGTGGTGTAGGACATCTGGGAGGAAGGTGAGAGGAAGACCAAGAAAGAGATGAATAAATGCTGTAGATGAAACCTGCAAAAAGCTAAACAAATTCATCACTCAAGCCACCAGAGCAGCACAAGACAAATACAGAAAACCCCGACACTGGGCTACAACCAGGTAACAGTAAGATGACAAAAAAAAAAGAAGTGAACTAGTTAACGGAGCTAAAGTCTCGGTTTGATATCAAGTTTTTTTCTCCCAACTACCCACAACCCTTTATGTCTCAAGTTGTGATCAAGCCAAGAGTCTTTGCTTTGTGAGAAATATTCTTGTTCCATTTGTCGAAACTTGTTTATCTGTAAATGTGTCAATCTGTCGGCATCTGTGGATTGTGGGTTAGGAACAATGATGTTTTTTATCTGATACACCAAGTTCCATTCAGTGGCTGGAGATATGATTTTGCACTGAATTCGACAATCACAGAAGTGTTGAACTGTTGAGAGAGCAATGGATAACTACTGAATGTAAAATTGTCTAGGAAAACCATAAATAACCAACAAATGTTGGGCTGGTTTGTTCTGTCTTGTAAACGGTAGGCAACTAACTTTTCATTTTCAGTCTAGCTGGTCCTTGGTCCCCATGTCAATCCCTGGGTCCCATTTTGTGGAGAGGAAAAAAAAAATAAAGACCCACAGCCCTAACAAGCACGTTGTGAAACTAGACCAATCAGAGGTGTCTCCTTGTAAGTCGGAGTACATCTGCCTGAGAGGCAAACAACCAACTGTCTGCACATAAATAAGCCAGATCTGTAAAATGGATGTGCAAGCAGAACTTGAGTTCTGAAACAAGACTAAAAAGTCCAGAAGTGGATGAACAACCATAGCTTTCCTCTGGCGTTTACAGCCGGTGAAGAAGAAGAAGAAGCCGGTTCTTTTCATGCTTGTAAATCACTACATCTAGAATGTCTCTATGTGTTTTTCCTAACATTTATTTACTGTCACTGTTTCAGATCCATTAAAGTCATAGGTCACATGCACACACCTGAAGCCTTCTTTCCTATGGATCCCTTCCTGCAGGTAACATTAACAAGTGGTGCACAAGTATCTTACCTCAGAAAAATGGCTGGATGGTGAGCTGCCATTTTCCGACAGGCAATGTTGGCGTCGTACATTCTGGAGTTAACTTTGACACCAGGGCCGACTTGACTCAGACTGCTGATCAGCCGATAGGAAATGACATCCATCTGAAATATAAGTATGAAACTAGAACAAACATGACACAATATCTCTAACAGCTGATTATGCAATAGAGGAACTGGCCATAAAGATAAAAGGGAAACCCATAACAATGTATATACAGGATAAGTAAAATAAGTAAAATCCCTTTTTTACGCCTTAGGTGCATCGGGCATATGGGAAGAGCACCCATATTTTTATAGACCAATCCGCACTACTTGGGTAATGTGGTCAGCATTACGCCGGCCATCTTTACTTTCCCAGTACATACATCCTGGCACCCATTAAAGGCTGGGTCGACCTGAGACGCCCCCATAGACTAATAATCAACTTCTTCTCCTTCATGTTATCCAACTGTAAACTCAGGTGGTAAGTTACTTTGGTCCTGTTTCAGAACTTGAATTTTGTGTGCACATCCATTTTAAAGATGCGGCTTGATTTATGCAGGCTCTTAGTTCCTCGCCTCTCATGTAGATACACTTTGATTTAGAACAGTAGTTCTCAACCTCCCAAATGCCATGACCCTTTAATACAGTTCCTCATGTTGTGGTGACCCCGAATAATAACATTATTTTTTTTGTGTGCTACTTGTAACTTCAATGAATATGTTCTTCCTATGGTCTTAGGCAACCCATGTGAAAGAGACATTCGACCCTCAAAAGGGTCGTGACCTATAGGATTTAGAATGAAACATCCATAATTAGTTGCCTCCTACGACATGCTTGTTTGAGGGGCAGTGGGTCTACTCTTTCCCCCCCCTGGAACCCACACAAGGAAGACTAATATGATATGGAACGGTTACAGCGTCTTGGTAGAAACTGTCAACATCTCTTACTGACCACACAAGGAAGACTAATATGATATGGAAGGGTTACAGCGTCTTGGTAGAAACTGTCAACATCTCTTACTGACCACACAAGGAAGACTAATATGATATGGAAGGGTTACAGCGTCTTGGTAGAAACTGTCAACATCTCTTACTGACCACACAGGGAAGACTAATATGATATGGAAGGGTTACAGCGTCTTGGTAGAAACTGTCAACATCTCTTACTGGTCACACAGGGAAGACTAATATGATATGGAACGGTTACAGCGTCTTGGTAGAAACTGTCAACATCTCTTACTGACCACACAAGGAAGACTAATATGATATGGAAGGGTTACAGCGTCTTGGTAGAAACTGTCAACATCTCTTACTGGTCACACAAGGAAGACTAATATGATATGGAAGGGTTACAGCGTCTTGGTAGAAACTGTCAACATCTCTTACTGACCACACAAGGAAGACTAATATGATATGGAAGGGTTACAGCGTCTTGGTAGAAACTGTCAACATCTCTTACTGACCACACAAGGAAGACTAATATGATATGGAAGGGTTACAGCGTCTTGGTAGAAACTGTCAACATCTCTTACTGACCACACAAGGAAGACTAATATGATATGGAAGGGTTACAGCGTCTTGGTAGAAACTGTCAACATCTCTTACTGGTCACACAAGGAAGACTAATATGATATGGAACGGTTACAGCGTCTTGGTAGAAACTGTCAACATCTCTTACTGACCACACAAGGAAGACTAATATGATATGGAAGGGTTACAGCGTCTTGGTAGAAACTGTCAACATCTCTTACTGGTCACACAAGGAGAAGACTAATATGATATGGAACGGTTACAGCGTCTTGGTAGAAACTGTCAACATCTCTTACTGACCACACAAGGAAGACTAATATGATATGGAAGGGTTACAGCATCTTGGTAGAAACTGTCAACATCTCTTACTGACCACACAAGGAAGACTAATATGATATGGAACGGTTACAGCGTCTTGGTAGAAACTGTCAACATCTCTTACTGACCACACAAGGAAGACTAATATGATATGGAAGGGTTACAGCGTCTTGGTAGAAACTGTCAACATCTCTTACTGACCACACAAGGAAGACTAATATGATATGGAACGGTTACAGCGTCTTGGTAGAAACTGTCAACATCTCTTACTGACCACACAAGGAAGACTAATATGATATGGAAGGGTTACAGCGTCTTGGTAGAAACTGTCAACATCTCTTACTGACCACACAAGGAAGACTAATATGATATGGAAGGGTTACAGCGTCTTGGTAGAAACTGTCAACATCTCTTACTGACCACACAAGGAAGACTAATATGATATGGAAGGGTTACAGCGTCTTGGTAGAAACTGTCAACATCTCTTACTGGTCACACAGGGAAGACTAATATGATATGGAACGGTTACAGCGTCTTGGTAGAAACTGTCAACATCTCTTACTGACCACACAAGGAAGACTAATATGATATGGAACGGTTACAGCGTCTTGGTAGAAACTGTCAACATCTCTTACTGGTCACACAGGGAAGACTAATATGATATGGAACGGTTACAGCGTCTTGGTAGAAACTGTCAACATCTCTTACTGACCACACAAGGAAGACTAATATGATATGGAAGGGTTACAGCGTCTTGGTAGAAACTGTCAACATCTCTTACTGACCACACAAGGAAGACTAATATGATATGGAACGGTTACAGCGTCTTGGTAGAAACTGTCAACATCTCTTACTGGTCACACAAGGAAGACTAATATGATATGGAACGGTTACAGCGTCTTGGTAGAAACTGTCAACATCTCTTACTGACCACACAAGGAAGACTAATATGATATGGAACGGTTACAGCGTCTTGGTAGAAACTGTCAACATCTCTTACTGACCACACAAGGAAGACTAATATGATATGGAACGGTTACAGCGTCTTGGTAGAAACTGTCAACATCTCTTACTGGTCACACAAGGAAGACTAATATGATATGGAACGGTTACAGCGTCTTGGTAGAAACTGTCAACATCTCTTACTGACCACACAAGGAAGACTAATATGATATGGAAGGGTTACAGCGTCTTGGTAGAAACTGTCAACATCTCTTACTGACCACACAAGGAAGACTAATATGATATGGAAGGGTTACAGCGTCTTGGTAGAAACTGTCAACATCTCTTACTGACCACACAAGGAAGACTAATATGATATGGAAGGGTTACAGCGTCTTGGTAGAAACTGTCAACATCTCTTACTGACCACACAAGGAAGACTAATATGATATGGAAGGGTTACAGCGTCTTGGTAGAAACTGTCAACATCTCTTACTGGTCACACAAGGAAGACTAATATGATATGGAACGGTTACAGCGTCTTGGTAGAAACTGTCAACATCTCTTACTGGTCACACAGGGATAAACAACCATCACCTATCGAACAGATTCAAATACTGATGATGAAAATACAAGCTGTCAATCTGAAGGTCTGCAAAACAGAAGACCCATTTAATGTCAAGTGAACACAAGTGACCCCACAGAAGACAAAATATACCCTCACACAGATACCCCGACCCTCCCCCATCACACACACACTCTACCTGTGATTGCACCGTACTGCTGGCCATGAGCTCAGACAACAGAGGGCTGTCTTCTGGGAGCCAAGACTGAATGTACGGGAGCCCCCCACATCACACACACATACTCTACCTGTGATTGCACCGTACTGCTGGCCATGAGCTCAGACAACAGAGGGCTGTCTTCTGGGAGCCAAGACTGAATGTATGGGAGCCCCCCACATCACACACACACTCTACCTGTGATTGCACCGTACTGCTGGCCATGAGCTCAGACAACAGAGGGCTGTCTTCTAGGAGCCAAGACTGAATGTATGGGAGCCCCCCACATCACACACACACTCTACCTGTGATTGCATCGTACTGCTGGCCATGAGCTCAGACAACAGAGGGCTGTCTTCTAGGAGCCAAGACTGAATGTATGGGAGCCCCCCACATCACACTCTACCTGTGACTGCACCGTACTGCTGGCCATGAGCTCAGACAACAGAGGGCTGTCTTCTGGGAGCCAAGACTGAATGTACGGGAACTGGAGGTACAAGCATGTTGTGAGGCTGGTGATGCATCTGCTCTTTAACCTGAAAGACATTGAGCAACAGTCAGCTGTGACATTTAGTGGCATCTGACTAGAGGTCAACAACATAGTAAATGTCAGATAAGACATTTAGTGGCATCTGACTAGAGGTCAACAACATAGTAAATGTCAGATGTGACATTTAGTGGCATCTGTCTAGAGGCCAACAACATGGTAAATGTCAGATGTGACATTTAGTGGCATCTGTCTAGAGGCCAACAACTTGGTAAATGTCAGACGTGACATTTAATGGCATCTGAGTCTAGAGGTCAACAACATAGCAACAGTCAGATGTGACATTTAGTGGCATCTGAGTCTAGAGGTCAACAACATAGCAACAGTCAGATGTGACATTTAGTGGCATCTGAGTCTAGAAGTCAACAAAATAGTAAATGTCAGATGTGGCATTTAGTGGCATCAGAGTCTAGAGGTAACAATATAGCAACAATCAGATGTGACATTTAGTGGCAACTGAGTCTAGGGGTCAACAAGACAGCAAGTCTGATGTTAAATTTAATGGCATCTTGGTCTAGAGGCCAGCAACAGTCAGATGTGACATTTAATGGCATCTGGGTCTAGAGGCCAGCAACAGTCAGATGTGACATTTAATGACATCTGGGTCTAGAGGCCAGCAAACAGTCAGATGTGACATTTAATGGCATCTGGGTCTAGAGGCCAGCAACAGTCAGACTTGACATTTAATGGCATCTGGGTCTAGAGGCCAGCAACAGTCAGATGTGACATTTAATGGCATCTGGGTCTAGAGGCCAGCAACAGTCAGATGTGACATTTAATGGCATCTGGGTCTAGAGGCAAGCAACAGTCAGACTTGACATTTAATGGCATCTGGGTCTAGAGGCCAGCAACAGTCAGATCTGACATTTCGAGGCATCTGGGTCTAGAGGTCAACAACACATCAACAGTCAGATGTGATGTTTAGTTTCACCCGAGTCTAGAGATCAGCAACACAGAAACAGTCACATGTGATAGTTAGTGGCACCCGAGTTTAGAGGTCAGCAATACAGTAACAGTCATATGTGATGTTTAGTGGTACCTGTGTCTATAGGTCAGTAACAGTCAGATGTGATGTTTAGTGGCACCTGTGTCAATAGGTCAGTAACAGTCATATGTGATGTATGTTTAGTGGCACCTGTGTCTATAGGTCAGTAACAATCATATGTGATGTATGTTTAGTGGCACCTGTGTCTACAGGTCAGTAACAGTCATATGTGATGTATGTTTAGTGGCACCTGTGTCTACAGGTCAGTAACAATCATATGTGATGTATTTTTAGTGGCACCTGTGTTATAGGTCAGTAACAGTCATATGTGATGTATGTTTAGTGGCACCTGTGTCTATAGGTCAGTAACAATCATATGTGATGTATGTTTAGTGGCACCTGTGTCTATAGGTCAGTAACAGTCATATGTGATGTATGTTTAGTGGCACCTGTGTCTACAGGTCAGTAACAATCATATGTGATGTATGTTTAGTGGCACCTGTGTCTATAGGTCAGTAACAGTCATATGTGATGTATGTTTAGTGGCACCTGTGTCTATAGGTCAGTAACAATCATATGTGATGTATGTTTAGTGGCACCTGTGTCTATAGGTCAGTAACAATCATATGTGATGTATGTTTAGTGGTACCTGAGTCTACAGGTCAGTAACAATCATATGTGTTGTATGTTTAGTGGCACCTGTGTCTACAGGTCAGTAACAATCATATGTGATGTATGTTTAGTGGCACCTGTGTCTTTAGGTCAGTAACAATCATATGTGATGTATGTTTAGTGGCACCTGAGTCTACAGGTCAGTAACAATCATATGTGATGTATGTTTAGTGGCACCTGTGTCTATAGGTCAGTAACAGTCATTTGCGATATTTAGTGGCACCTGAGTCTAGAGAGAGGTCAGTAATGAAAAATCAATCAACCAATGAAGGTTAGCCAAAATGGATCTTTTAAAACTGCCTGTCTCCTCCTGTGGTGGCAGACTCTGAGGCTCCTACATACTCTGACATTATTTTCTCACTTGTATCTTTCCCACATCTTGTGGTTGCAGACTCTTAGACTCCTACATACTCTGATGTTATCTTCTCCCTTGTATCTTTCCCACATCTTGTGGTTGCAGACTCTTAGACTCCTACATACTCTGATGTTATCTTCTCCCTTGTATCTTTCCCACATCTTGTGGTGGCAGACTCTAAGACTCCTACATACTCTAATGTTATCTTCTCCCTTGTATCTTTCCCACATCTTGTGGTGGCAGACTCTAAGACTCCTACATACTCTAATGTTATCTTCTCCCTTGTATCTTTCCCACATCTTGTGGTGGCAGACTCTAATATTCCTTCATACTCTAATGTTATCTTCTCCCTTGTATCTTTCCCACATCTTGTGGTGGTAGACTCTAAAACTCCTACATACTCTAAAGTTGTCTTCTTTCTTATATCTTTCTGCCTACACAGGAGGCAAAGTTAACAGACAAGTGATATATTTAACTGATCCACAATCATACCCCGATGACTACCCATACAGGAGGCAAAGTTAACAGACAAGTGATATATTTAACTGATCCACAATCATACCCCGATGACTACCCATACAGGAGGCAAAGTTAACAGACAAGTGATATATTTAACTGATCCAAATCATACCCCGATGACTACCCATACAGGAGGCAAAGTTAACAGACAAGTGATATATTTAACTGATCCACAATCATACCCCGATGACTGCTCACACAGGAGGCAAAGTTAACAGACAAGTGATATATTTAACTGATCCACAATCATACCCTGATGACTGCTCACACAGGAGGCAAAGTTAACAGACAAGTGATATATTTAACTGATCCACAATCATACCCCGATGACTGCTCACACAGGAGGCAAAGTTAACAGACAAGTGATATATTTAACTGATCCACAATCATACCCCGATGACTGCTCACACAGGAGGCAAAGTTAACAGACAAGTGATATATTTAACTGATCCACAATCATACCCTGATGACTGCTCACACAGGAGGCAAAGTTAACAGACAAGTGATATATTTAACTGATCCACAATCATACCCCGATGACTACCCACACAGGAGGCAAAGTTAACAGACAAGTGATATATTTAACTGATCCACAATCATACCCCGATGACTGCTCACACAGGAGGCAAAGTTAACAGACAAGTGATATATTTAACTGAATCACAATCATACCCCGATGACTGCCCATACAAGAGCTGCAGGTGACTGACAACTGTGATCACATGATCCAGATCATCACAGATGCACGAGAGCAGCAGATCTACCCGGCTCTTGATGACAGCTGGCAGCTGATTGGCTGAAACTTGTTCTGATGACTTGTTCTCTGCCAGAAGAAGGGTCTCCTCCACAATGAGATCAACCACGGAGCAGATCTGAGATGAGGTCAGGCTCAACACAACCTCCTTCTGCTCAACCTGAACAAAAGAAAACGACAGTAACAAAATATAACATGGGTAGCAACATCTGGGTAAATAAATAAGACAAAATGATTAGCATCTACATAAATAAATAGGATAAATAAGACATAATGATAAGTATTTACACAAATAAATAAGACATAATAATTAGTCTCTACACAAATATAAAATACATGATCATTTCTTCACAAATTAATAAGTTGTAATGATTAATATTCACTACTGGGTCTTTACATTCAACAGATCCTCACAATTTAATAATCAGCTTTGCCGTTGGAATTTAAATGCTCTCTGTTGCCTGCATGATGCTGACCCCATCACCCATCAAGTGTATAACCACATAACCTTGGAAACTCTGCCAGTAGCTACACTACCATCAGGATATAACACTCTGAGTCACTGGGGACAACATGGAAGCAGAGTTACAACTTCCAATATCTGAGACTGAAGTTTGGTATCTCTTTCTTGCTATCATGCCTGTACTTAAGCAGTTCATCTTCTGTTGTTTATTTCATCTACAAATAATTTTATTTCTAAAATAAGCCAAACAGGAGCAACAACTCAAGGAAGCCATGAACTCTTGTGCTATTAAGTAATGAAAACTTACCTCTTGAGTTCGTTTTTCTCTGCCCTGCCAGATTTTGGGTATATGTTCACATGCCCAAATAAAATCCAGAACTGTTGTTGGATTCAGTCTGTAAATAAAACAATAAACATCATCAATCAATTCCCATTAAATTTTAAATAACTGATGCACACAAATCGCCTTCATACCTGCTGGATATCAGTCTAAGTAAAGTAAGTGAAGTAAAGATCCCTTATTACGCCTTAGGCGCATCGGGTATATGGGCAGAGCGTCCAATATTTTACAGACCAATCGGCACTCGGTGGGTAATGTGGTCAGCATTACGCCGGCCCTCTTTACTTCCCCAGGAGGATATCAGTCTAAACTGAGGCCCAATCTGGACTCTTTAATGACAGGTTGATTAAATGAAGAATATCACAACTTAGCTTTCTAACTTGTAATTTTGCTTTCAGAGTGACTTGCCTTTGTTGACCCCAAACATCAGGAAAATTTAAAGTGCACAACATGCACAATGGTCCTTCAGCTTTGTCACCCTTGTCCAAGAATAGCAGACATCTGACCAACTACTCAAAGATCAGTGATAAGTCACCACGTAGAAATATGATAAGTCACCAGGTAGAAATATGATAAGTCACCACGTAGAAATATGATAAGTCACCAGGTAGAAATATGATAAGTCACCAGGTAGAAATATGATAAGTCACCAGGTAGAAATATGATAAGTCATCACGTAGAAATATGATAAGTCACCACGTAGAAATATGATAAGTCATCACGTAGAAATATGATAAGTCACCAGGTAGAAATATGATAAGTCACCAGGTAGAAATATGATAAGTCACCAGGTAGAAATATGATAAGTCACCAGGTAGAAATATGATAAGTCACCAGGTAGAAATATGATGTCACCACGTAGAAATATGATAAGTCACCAGGTAGAAATATGATAAGTCACCAGGTAGAAATATGATAAGTCACCAGGTAGAAATATGATAAGTCATCAGGTAGAAATATGATAAGTCACCAGGTAGAAATATGATAAGTCACCACGTAGAAATATGATAAGTCACCAGGTAGAAATATGATGTCACCAGGTAGAAATATGATAAGTCACCAGGTAGAAATATGATAAGTCACCAGGTAGAAATATGATAAGTCACCAGGTAGAAATATGATAAGTCACCACATAGAAATATGATAAGTCACCACGTAGAAATATGATAAGTCACCAGGTAGAAATATGATAAGTCACCAGGTAGAAATATGATAAGTCACCAGGTAGAAATATGATAAGTCATCACGTAGAAATATGATAAGTCACCAGGTAGAAATATGATAAGTCACCAGGTAGAAATATGATAAGTCATCACATAGAAATATGATAAGTCACCAGGTAGAAATATGATAAGTCACCAGGTAGAAATATGATAAGTCACCAGGTAGAAATATGATAAGTCACCAGGTAGAAATATGATAAGTCACCAGGTAGAAATATGATAAGTCATCACGTAGAAATATGATAAGTCACCACATAGAAATATGATAAGTCACCAGGTAGAAATATGATAAGTCATCACGTAGAAATATGATAAGTCACCAGGTAGAAATATGATAAGTCACCAGGTAGAAATATGATAAGTCACCACGTAGAAATATGATAAGTCACCACGTAGAAATATGATAAGTCACCAGGTAGAAATATGATAAGTCACCAGGTAGAAATATGATAAGTCACCAGGTAGAAATATGATAAGTCACCACATAGAAATATGATAAGTCACCACGTAGAAATATGATAAGTCACCACGTAGAAATATGATAAGTCACCACGTAGAAATATGATAAGTCACCAGGTAGAAATATGATAAGTCACCAGGTAGAAATATGATAAGTCACCAGGTAGAAATATGATAAGTCACCAGGTAGAAATATGATAAGTCACCAGGTAGAAATATGATAAGTCATCACATAGAAATATGATGTCACCAGGTAGAAATATGATAAGTCACCAGGTATAAATATGATAAGTCACCAGGTAGAAATATGATAAGTCACCAGGTAGAAATATGATAAGTCACCAGGTAGAAATATGATAAGTCATCACGTAGAAACAGGTAGAAATATGATAAGTCACCAGGTAGAAATATGATAAGTCACCAGGTAGAAATATGATAAGTCACCAGGTAGAAATATGATAAGTCACCAGGTAGAAATATGATAAGTCACCACGTAGAAATATGATAAGTCACTAGGTAGAAATATGATAAGTCACCAGGTAGAAATATGATAAGTCACCATGTAGAAATATGATAAGTCACCAGGTAGAAATATGATAAGTCACCAGGTAGAAATATGATAAGTCACCAGGTAGAAATATGATAAGTCACCAGGTAGAAATATGATAAGTCACCAGGTAGAAATATGATAAGTCACCAGGTAGAAATATGATAAGTCACCAGGTAGAAATAAAGTAAAGGACCCGTTTCCACACCTTCAGGCATATGGTGCTTGACCTATATTTATCGGCACTCAGTGACTTGGTCAACATCATATTGGTCGCCTTGACTTTCCAGGACATTACCCTCGTACCTATTTATGGCTGGGTCAACCTGGGAGCCAAGGTGATTTAAAAAAAAAAAAAAGGCTGGCTTCATCCGGATGTGAACCCACAACAAGTCACCAAGTGCTAGGACAATACATGAATGTGGTCATGGTTCACCACAGCTGACACTATCATTGAAATCACAGTCTAAGCCAGTGATCCCTCACTCTGATTGTCTGCCACTCAGGTATTTATCTTCGTCTTCCTATGGCTCTTTTCAATGTAAAGTTTGTCAGTTGTCCCAATGTTTTTGAGAATTACTTCTCCTCAACACCTCAGAGCATCTTAACTAGGGGGAGTATACCACCTTTGCCTTATTTTGTAAAAATCAACAGCCAGAATTGTGAAACAAATCAGGTCTGCTAAGTGAAAGGTTGCCATCCCCCCCCCCCCCCCCCCCCCCCCCCCCCCCTCGAAAAAACAAAGTACATGACAAAGAAGTCAGGACTGACTCAGCTATTTTGTCAGGCTTCAACAAGTAGGTCAGACAGCTAGCCAGTGTCTCCCAGCTAGCCTGATGGGTCAATAAGGCTAACAGATGAGCCTGACTTGGGAATCCACTGGTTTCACAGCTGCTACCAGAACCTGCAAACACAACAGAAACAAAAAAAATTGAATAAATAATGAGTGAAATTACAACAGTCTTGGCATCTTCATCAATGCATCCTGAAAACAGGAGTTTGTATATAATAATAGAATAAAGCAAGTGCAAAGAATTGTCTTCTGACCTAGTACCATGAAATAATTTTCATGGGGACTGTGTTGCAGTGCTGACCTCTCCCTCTCAATCAGAAGCCAGTGTTGTGTGCAAGATCAGTATGTGAACTTCACATCTCGGGAGAGGCATTTAAGGCTGTAACTAGGTTATTAATTTCACACAGCACAGAGGAACTGTCTTCTCAAGACCCCTCCCCCCCCCCCGACCATCTGGTCATGTTTTTTCTACACAGCACAAAGGGAAGGTCTTGTCAAGTGGCCCGCCCCCCTCCCCCAGCGATTGTTGATGTTTTTTCCACACTCATAGGGAATGTCTGGTCAGGTTTCCTCCCACAAAGTGACTGTCTGGTCAAGTTTTTTTTCTACACAGCTCATAGGGAATATCTGGTCAGCCCCCCTCCCTCCCCCCAACAAAACGACTGTCTGGTCAAGTTTTCCCCCCACACACAGTGACTGTCTGGTTATGTTTCCCCCACACACAGTGACTGTCTGGTTATGTTTCCCCCACACACAGTGACTGTCTGGTTATGTTTCCCCCACACACAGTGACTGTCTGGTTATGTTTCCCCCACACACAGTGACTGACTGGTTATGTTTCCCCCAGACACAGTGACTGACTGGTTATGTTTCCCCCACACACAGTGACTGTCTGGTTATGTTTCCCCCACACACAGTGACTGTCTGGTTATGTTTCCCCCACACACAGTGACTGTCTGGTTATGTTTCCCCCACACACAGTGACTGTCTGGTTATGTTTCCCCCACACACAGTGACTGACTGGTTATGTTTCCCCCACACACAGTGACTGTCTGGTTATGTTTCCCCCACACACAGTGACTGTCTGGTTATGTTTCCCCCACACGGTGTAGGGATCTCACTGTCCACAGACTCTAGCCTTAAGCCCATAAGAAAAATGAATTTTTTTTTTTTTAAAAAGGAAAAAAAAAATACAGTAAACTATAGCAATTATGCAGGTTGGGGATAAAATGCTGAGGCCGCCGCAAGTTTTGATGATCACGGGTCCCCTATGGGAGTTCAGGAGCACACTTTGCAGAAAAAAGGGAAGACAAACTACATCTCCCCCCCCCCCCCCCCCCTTTTACAAACAAACCCTAAAATAAAAGCTGATGAGTAAGGCCAAAGGTGCCTAGTTGGTCAGTCATGTCACTTATCTTACTATCATCATTTTGAGGTGTCAGGTTCAATTCCAGGCATGGTAGCTATAGCTTTTAATTTGTATTCTGTCTAGTGTCCCTCTATTTTTCTACTTCTTTCCATGAATGCCAATCAACACGTGTCTATTTGTTTATTATATATAAATATAAGCTCTGGCGTTCAGATGTGAAATACAAGTTCTAGCACTCAGATACAACTTACAAGCTCTAGCATTCAGATACACAGCAAAGACACCCCCCCCCCCCTGCCACCCTCTTCATTTGATGGAGGCTGGAGTACATCATTTGAAGTACTGACTAAAGCCCACTCCAGGTGTCTGTATCCTGATGCAGAAAGACAAAAACAGAGACTGAGAAAAGAAGAAGGGCGATGATGAACTGTTACAGCCTTGCTTCTGAAACAAACAAAATGAAAGTGTTCATGATGATGATGATGATGTTTTATTGATGTTGACAACAGTGATGTTAGGCATACCTAGTGCTGAGGGAGAGATTTTCCTGGCAAACAATAATTTCTGCTGGAGCTCTGGACAAGACTGGACTATTTCTGGATCCAGGAGGGACAGCCAGTCAATGATCAAGGTGGCAGAACTGGATGTCATGGAGGCACTGATAAAAGAACAGTTACACAGGATCATATATTCTTCAACAGTGGGAAAATTTTATACAAATATACATTGATATGCAGTAAAAGTAAAAGGTAAAGTCAGGAGATGTGAACTAGCATCACTGCACACGGTTATAAACCATAAGTGCTCTGCCACCAGTACTGACAGCTGATAAGAAACTGTCCACCTGTGTTGCCGTCGGCACGTAACTCTGTAGCGCAACTCTCGATTTACCCCAGAGTGTTAACTCTGATACCCATTACCTAGAGGCTGGGTGAACCCCGGAAACCGCCGGGTTTCGAACACTGGCCATGGGCTGCAGCGAGTCGCAGCTGGATTTGAAAGTGAGTCTCCTATCGACTGCGCTAACGTGGATATGCAGTAGTTTTGGGAGTTAACAAAGGAGACCGAGAAAGGGATCAAGCTACGTGGGCAACATATGGTCTCAACAATACGGACTAGGCTTGGTTCTATGGGAAAGAGAACTTCAACCCCAGGCCTTAAGTGTTACCATGTGCTGGGTATTCCCATGTCCCCCTACAGCACAATGCAACACTATCCTCTGCAAAGATGGAAAGGTGTCAACAAATGTACTATGTGCAGACGCTGAATTGCCTGGCTGCCAAACTAATGGTTGTGTGTTTAAATCCAAATGAAAAGCAGACCAGCGAGCTGTGTCCCACCCTCCCAGCAGTGCGACTCTCTGTTTGTGCCCGCCATACTCATCTGTACTGTGCTGTACTGTTTAACATTTCCTTTTTTATTATTCCTTTACAGAAATGTAATTGTGTGTATTCGTGTGTACAGGTGGTGTTTAGTTAGGTAATGTGTCAATGAGGCTCTGTAGCTGCAACGTTCACTTTCTGAGACACTGTGAAGCTTGTGGGTCAACTTTTCATCTGATTTTGTCATCTGATTTTGTATCTTTTTTTTGGGTATTTAAATCCATACCGTCGTAGGTCTTTTGAAACTGACATGGCTTCCAGGCCGATCCAGCCTAAAAATGAGTACTAAGAAATGTTTTGGGAAATAAAAGAAGCTGGCATAATAACTACAACCAAACCAATCACATGCTGACTGGTCAATATTAATATGGGATTATTTACTCTGAAAAAGTGTAGCTTCAATGTGATGAGTTTACAAAAGTAAACAATGTCATATACAGGATGTATTTTAGTAGAACTTTAAGAAGGAACATTTGTTCAATAAAGCCCCCAGGTGAGGTGACAAATGATAATATATAATAAATATAATTTAAAAATAATAAAGGAAAACAAAACTCCAGAATTAGTGTACCTTGTCTAACCTTTTGTACACAAATGAATCAATGGACACTGAATTGTAGAAACAGAAAGAGATGAGACTGGACACATACAGACGTATGTGTTTGTATGTGTGTGTGTGTGTAGAGAAATAAACATAGAAACTGAGACACAAAGAGACAGATGTGGGGAAAACAAGAATAGACCCACTGCCTCCCCAAAAGCATGTCGTAAGAGTCGACTAACTGGGGAGCTTCCTTTGAAGTCGGAGTTCATCTGCCTGAGAGGCAAGGAACCAGCAGTCTGCATTCAAGAGAATCAGATCTGTAAAACTGATGCACATGCAACACTCAGGTTCTGGAACAGGACTGCAGTCCAGAAGTGGACGAACAACCAGAACTTTACTCCAGAATGTACAGCTGGTGAACGCAAAGAAGAAGAAGACAAAGAGACAGAGAGAGAGAGAGTGAGAGCAAGAAAGAGAGAAAGATAGAGGCTTAGGGGAGAGAAAGAGACAGAGACTAAGAGAGCAAGAAAGGGATAGAAAGAGACACAGAGAAAGACAGAAAAAGACCAAGAGTGAGAGAGAGAGAGAGACTGAGACACAAAAAGACATAGAGAGAGAGTGAGAGCAAGAAAGAGAGAAAGACAGAGGCTTAGGGGAGAGAAAGAGACAGAGACAGGGAGAGCAAGAAAGGGATAGAAAGAGACACAGAGAAAGACAGAAAAAGACCAAGAGTGAGAGAGAGAAAAAGAGAGAGAGAGAGAGAGAAAGAGAGAGAGAGAGAGAGAGAGAGAGAGAGAGAGAGAGAGAGAGAGAGAGAGAGAGAGAGAGAGAGAGAGAGAGAGAGAGAGAGAGAGAGAGAGAGAGAGAGAGAGAGAGAGAGAGAGAGAGAGAGATATGCTAAGACTTCTATGATGTTTAGGATTACCAAGATCCAAGTGCTGTATGAGGCTAGTTCACAAAGACAAATGATTAAGCACATCAAGGCAAGACAACCCTAAGGTTTCTGGGTCACATAAAGAGATGGGAGTACTTGAAGAAGGCTGTGACAACTAGAAAGATCAGAGATGTTAGAGACAGCAGAAGAAAATGCTGGATTGGCTAGGAACGCAGTTCAGAAGACAATCCATGTTCAACCTAGAATACAAGCGGAAGATGTAGTGGATCAGAAGGATTGCCTACAAAATCCATGTCACTGGAGGTTAGAAAAATAATTCTCGCACGCTATATACATAGTTTCAACATATGGCTGTGAATCCTGGACAATTAATAAACAAGTCAAATAATTTCTTGAGGCTTTGTGATTTTACAGAATAATCCTTAAATTCCTTGGACAGACAAAATGAGAAACCCAGATATTTTGAAAAAGGCGAAGGTTCGAAGACAACTTATTTTTCTTCCTAATGTAATGAGTAGAAGGAAACCTGGAACATGTGATCGCTGAAAAACCTGTGGAAAAAGAGGCAGAGGAGGACAAAGTGAGAAGATTCTAAACAGCCTTTGGTCATGGTATGGAGGTTGTCAACACATAAACTGATACATGCTGCTGAAGATCATAGACTGTGAAGTGCTGATGCCAGCCAGCAAGGCACTTGATGATAACTGCCTGTAAGATGCTGGCACTGGATAGGACACACATTTACTAAGCTTGAGTTAGCTGGGGGCCTTTTCTCTAATGGAGGAGAAAAGATATAAGAAGACCTGTGCTGCGTGACATGGCACATAATGATGCCCTACCTAACTCCTTGCAACAAAACTTCACAAGCAAGCTGGGTCCCATCTTTTGCCCGGCCTTGACTCAACAAACTGTCCATCATTTTGTGCACCAGCAACTCAACACTCTCTTGGTCTTTCAGCTTCTTCATTCCTGAAATTGTATGAAGAACAAATGTATATAACACATATGTCATAGGAAGTAGTGATAGCACATCGGCTTTATAAATCATATATATGTCAGAGTTCTACAACACAGAACACACATAGGTCAAAGTTCAACCAAACAAAGCTTTATATTGAACCACAAAGAATAATGAGTTTTTACATGGTTCAATACAACACACACAAGAAAGTTAGTAACAGACCAGAAGGCTTGCCTGGCGGTAGTAAGTTCAAATCTCTCAAGGTGGGGTTTTACAAACTGGCCAAAACTCCCAGGACAACACAGCCTAAATATATGAGCCATGAAATGTTCTGGTTAGTCACGGTGGCCAGCGCAATAATGTCTGGGAGTAGTACTACTGCTTGCCCGCTGGGCCAAAGATCTTGGGTTCAAATCTTGTCAAGACAGATTAATATAAATGTTCTAGCCTCACAGGTCAGCCTAGCTTGAAACTATACCAGGAAATGTCTAAGAAAATAAAGGCAGCTGGCATAATTTTGACCAGATCACTCACTGAGTGGTATATAAAAATATATTATGATGTACCAATGACAAGAAAAAGCAATGGACCTTATTTACAATCTACAAAATGTATCCATGCTAAGAATCTACCAAATGTATCTAGTTATACTGACAGTCATATGTGATGTATGAATGGCACAATAAGGTGATGATGATTAACATCTCTAAATGTTAAGAACCGGGAACTCTAGCCTGGTCAACAGGTTCCTGCAAAAGTCGGATGGCCGAAAAGCGCAAATATCGCAGCCATGCTGTAAACGGGCACAATGCAATTACATCTTTGGATGAACGCAGAAGAAGAAATGTTAAAAAGGAAATGTTGAAAAAAATTAACTCATGGTGAATATTTAAATTATGTGGCTGCGTTAAACATCTACAAAATGACTCAATCTCGAACATCTACAAAATGATTCACTCTTGAACATCTACAAAATGACTCACTCTTGAACATCTACAAAATGACTCACTCTTGAGCATCTACAAAATGACTCACTCTTGAACATCTACAAAATGACTCACTCTTGAACATCTACAAAATGACTCACTCTTGAACATCTACAAAATGATTCACTCTTGAACATCTACAAAATGACTCACTCTTGAACATCTACAAAATGACTCACTCTTGAGCATCTACAAAATGACTCAATCTCAAACATCTACAAAAAGACTCAATCTCAAACATCTACAAAATGACTCAATCTCAAAAATCTACAAAATGACTCACTCTTGAACATCTACAAAATGACTCACTCTTGAAAATCTACAAAATGTAACAAGCAGGACATACCATCTAAGAAGATCTGAGAGTCCACATGATTTTTACTGATACATTTGTTGACTATTCCTTCCAACTGTTTAGCTGGGGACCCCTGGTTTTGTCGAGACTTTTTATTGGATGAAAGGAACTGTGTCACGATGGAAGTTAGCATCGACCTCTGGCCTGTGCCCAAAGTGTGCAACTTCTCCATAACTGGAAAGATTTCCCCACGAAGATCGGGCTGTAAAAAAAGATGCATTTAGAAGGGAAACAGTAAGAAAAGTACCTTGCACAAGACTAACTCCACCAACAAAGTTAGGCAAATTGTCTACTGCATCACCTCTAACTACAAAGGAACTGTGGTATCACAATAGTTGGTATGACTGTTTACCAAAACTGTCTTCTTCATGTCTGCTGGCTGTAAACTGGTAGAAAGTTCTGGTTGTTCATCCAATTCTGGACTTGCTCAAGAACTTGAGTGCTGCTGCACATCTTTTACTTCCCCAACAGATCTGGCTAATTTGTGTGCAGACTGTTTGTTCATCACTCTTACTTAAAAAATGAAAGCCGCCCAAACTAGTCACCTTTTACAACTATTAATACACCCCCCCTCCTTTTTCCCTCTCCACAGAATTAGGGCTTAGATACCACAAAGGAAACGAAAACTATGATCCCATTTCAGTCATCAATACGGTCTGTATTCTTTTACTTTTTATGCAACAGAACAGCCTCACAAACTGGGTACACAATATTCTGCTGTGATGTAGAATATGTGAATGCCTAACACCTGAAATCCAAGCCTCTCTGAGACCACCTTTACTTTTGTAAATATTACTTCTGCACATACAAGATTACAAAGTTGACTGAAAACACTCACCTGTTTGGCAATAAGAACTTTGAGAATGGGACAAGACCTGAAAGTTGCTGTGTACACCTTCTGTGCAAATGCTTCTCTTTTGGAAGAGCTCAGAAGCTGAAATATTTCAAACCTTAAGACTGAGTTTATGTCAAAAACACTGCTTGAATACAACTTCTTAAAATATTTACTGATACATAAATATGGTCCATTGGGATAGGAAAGGCAGAACAATAAAGAATTTGACTAACTTTTATGCAGACAGTCAGGTATACTCTACTCAAGTTTAATATTTGAAAACAGCACAAAGATTAGCGGCGACCGTGGCTAAGGCGTTGCGAGTCCGACTCGTAACTCCACATAACGAGATCGAAACCCACTGCTGGCTGCGTGGATTTTTATCGTGGTATGGGGTGTCGCAGGTCGACCCAGCCTAAAATTGGTACCAGGATGGCTGTCCTGGGGAAGTAAAGACGGCCGGCGTAATGCTGACCACATTACCCACCTAGTGCCGATGGCCTGAAAAATATGGGCACTCTTCCCATATACCCGATACGCCTAAAGGCGTGATAAGGGATCTTTACTACTTACAGACAAGATTTTTTTAGACCCTTTTCCACTTCTTCAGGCGTATATGGCATATTGGGTTAGACCTATATTTTTATAGACCAATCGGCACAAGATGGGTGATGTGGTCAGCATCAAGCCGGCCGTCTGTACTTTCCTGGGACTGCACCCAGTACCCACTCAAGGCTGGGTCGACCTGGGAGCCAAGGTCATATTTGAAAAAAGTCCGGCTCCGCCAGGGAGCGAACCCACAACCTTCTTATCCATGACGAGTGTCTAGCCGCTCGGCCACGGTGACTCCCTCAAACAAGATTACTATACCATTATTAAACCAGTCCTGCTGTTTGGAACATAATCATGAAGAAGGACTAAACAAATTATAAATAAACTGCCAACTGTAACTGGTATCAACACAGAACAGAAGGAACAATATAATTACTTACTTAGAAGCTTAGGGACAGAACTTAACACTTTTCACTGAATCAAGAGACAAGGAAAAGTTGCTGGAACTGGATAAAACATACAAAACTGTTAACAGTATATGAAAAGTTCTTTCTTTGGAACCAAAGGACAAGAGAAATAGAGGGAGATCTAAAAGCACATGAGCAAAAACATTAGAATAACATGGGGAGGCTATGGCAGGCAGTGGTGGCGACAGCAAATTGAGTTGAATGAGGATCTTATGCTCTACAGGGAGAGGTAAGGCAGAAGCATCTGACCATACTAATGTAGACAGTCGGGTGTACTCTGCTCAAGCTTAATGTTGTATTTGAAAGACAGTACAAATGAAAGATAGTACAAAAAAGACTATTATACCACTGATAAAGACAGTGTCAAACTGTTAAGTCGAAATAGCCATACATCTTGTGTGAATGACAGCACAAACAATATTATTACTCTATTTACGAAGATATTTCCAAATAGCCATAAATCTTGTGTGAATGACGGTACAGAAAAGATGATGACATTGTCATGACGGTACAGAAAAGATGATGACATTGTCATGACCGTACAGAAAAGATGAAGACATTGCCAAACTGTTATACTAAAGAAAAACCACACAGCATGTGTATCCTTTACAGGACATTGCAGAAACAACCCCAGCATCTTTGGCTGTTGTGGTTTTTCTAGGCAAATTTTATGTTCAGTAGAGCTTATGCTTTCTCAACGGTCAGCTCTCCATAACAATGTTGAAATCAAGGCCTGAGATCGAACCCGGCACCACGGCATTAAGAAGCTAAAAGACAGTACAGATAAGATTACTAAGCCAATGATGAAGACAATACCAAGACAATAGTAAAAATAGACCAGAGACATCATGTGTGAATGACAAAACAAATAACAGTACCTCACCAATGAGGAAAAAAATAAGACTTACATTGTCCAAATACATCAGAGAAATTAAGTGTGAATGACAATACAAATAACAGTACACGACTGAGGAAACACGTTCAAACTTACATTGTCCAAATACATCAGAGACATCATGTGTGAATGACAATACAAATAACAGTACCACACCACTGAGGAAACACAGCCAGACATACATTGTCCAAATACATCAGAGACATCATGTGTGAATGACAATACAAATAACAGTACTACACCACTGAGGAAACACAGCCAGACATACATTGTCCAAATACGTCAGAGACATCATGTGTGAATGTCAATACAAATAACAGTACCACACCACTGAGGAAACACAGCCAGACATACATTGTCCAAATACATCAGAGACATCATGTGTGAATGACAATACAAATAACAGTACTACACCACTGAGGAAACACAGCCAGACATACATTGTCCAAATACATCAGAGACATCATGTGTGAATGACAATACAAATAACAGTACCACACCACTGAGGAAACACAGCCAGACTTACATTGTCCAAATACATCAGAGAAATTAAGTGTGAATGACAATACAAATAACAGTACACCACTGAGGAAACACGGTCAGACTTACATTGTCCAAATACATCAGAGACATCATGTGTGAATGACAATACAAATAACAGTACCACACCACTGAGGAAACACAGCCAGACATACATTGTCCAAATACATCAGAGACATCATGTGTGAATGACAATACAAATAACAGTACCACACCACTGAGGAAACACAGCCAGACATACATTGTCCAAATACATCAGAGACATCATGTGTGAATGACAATACAAATAACAGTACCACACCACTGAGGAAACACAGCCAGACATACATTGTCCAAATACATCAGAGACATCATGTGTGAATGACAATACAAATAACAGTACCACACCACTGAGGAAACACAGCCAGACATACATTGTCCAAATACATCAGAGACATCATGTGTGAATGACAATACAAATAACAGTAAATAACAGTACCACATCACTGAGGAAACAAGGTCAGACTTACATTGTCCAAATACATCAGAGACTTCATGTGTGAATGACAATACAAATAACAGTACTACACCACTGAGGAAACACGGTCAGGCTTACATTGTCCAAATACATCAGAGACATCATGTGTGAATGACAATACAAATAACAGTACTACACCACTGAGGAAACACGGTCAGACTTACATTGTCCAAATACATCAGAGACATCATGTGTGAATGACAATACAAATAACAGTACTACACCACTGAGGAAACACGGTCAGACTTACATTGTCCAGAGCTTTGATGACTGCAGCTGCCTTTATCTTATCAGCGGAGACAGACTGGGGAAGATGACAAAGTTCCAGTTTATTCTCAGCACAAAAAGATCATACTCTTCTCTGCCTCCTCCTCCAGCCATTTATCTTCCAAAGAAGTGCAGGCTCTCAACCAACTCACACCTTGCCCTTTTACCAACCAACTCACACCTTGCCCTTTTACCATTTGCTACCTTCTGATCATCATCTTCCTGTTCCAAACACTCTCCTTCACACTACAATGGTAATTTATATATAGTCACGTATGTCCATAGCAAAATACATAATGAAAAAAAAATTAAAAACATAAAGCATGGATGACAAAACACATATATTCAAATGTACATACATACAAACATTCACATATATGATGGAAAGTCAATAAGTAAGTCACAAATGCTTGTTTAAAAAAAAAAAAAACTTAAAAAACTACAGATGATAACAACTTGAAAACCATTAATTTTTACATATACATTTTCCCTTTATTTTTCAACATAGTTTCCTTCAATACCAATGCACGACTCATCATTTTATCAATCCTCCCAAACCTGCTGCACTAAACTGCATGCTCTGTTTTCCTAAACCATAATTTCAGTTCGCAATCAACTTCTGCGTAATTTGCAAAATGTCTCCAGACCAAGGTGGGTTTTCAGTGGACCAAAAAGGCATGTGGGGTCTGTTACCTCTGCCAGCTATTTCCGACTGGCAGGACAAGTGACAGTGCCCTGCTCTGCACAGCTGCACACCTATCCACTTTCACTGGTGGATATAGAAGGCTCCTTCTGTATCCTCCCTCTACTATTTATCTATGTTACTAATTATCTTCTCCACAATTTTATGTCTCTGTATATTCTTTTTGCATGTGATTTCCAAAGGAAGGACATTCTAGCTTAATTTTCATTTAAATTGTGATTTTGTGTCATCTCCACAATTGAAGTTGGCTGCAGTGAATAATTCTATGCCCCTGTTGGTCCCAGTGCAAAGACAATCTAATCACAGTTCTTAGGTTTTCTCAATGCATATATCCTATCCAACGTCCCTGGATATCTCTTCTTTATCTATAAAATAATCTTCTGGCCCCCCTCGAAGAACTCAGAAGACCTGAGCAGTAATAAGTTAGACTTAAGATTTACAATCTTCCAGAGGACTCACATCCAGCCAGCAATAAGGATGTGTGGACAACAGAGCCATTTGGTCAGGAAAACATCCCAGCTCCATCTGTATGTAAACCCAGGACCCCTGGTAAGCAAGTAAATGCACTAGCCACTGTGCTATATAAGAAGCCCTTCTGGGTGTTCATACATCTCTGGACTCAAGTCTTGTTCCAGAACATGAGTGTTGCGTGTAAATCTGTTTCACACATTTTGTTTATTTGTATGCAGATTCTTGGTTCCCTGCCTCTCAGGAAGATGTACCCCGACTTCAAAGGATGCCCCCAGTTAATGGACTCCTAAAACATGCTTGTGGCTTTATTCTTGTTTTCCCCACAATGGGGTCCCAGAACCCACACAGGGATATCCTAGATGTCAACCCCTAAAACAATGTGTCACCCACCTTTATAAGGATGAATGCAGAAGAACAAGAATGCTGTAAAATAAGAGAGACTAAACTAATAGATGCTCAAGATATGAAAACTACAAATGTAAATGACTACCCACCTGCAGAATACACTGGAACAATCTAGAAGCAGTACCATCAGTACCCGTAGTTTCTGAAAAAATCTGAAACAGTCAGAAAATAAATGAAAGTGTTACTTGTTGGAAAATATATCCAGCATTAACATTAACTGCACTTTGGATATGCCACTATGTGCTCCATCTCCCTTAGAAGTTGATAAAAACTATGGGTATTTAAGGTACCAGTTGTTTATACAAACCTTTGGTTCACCCTTTACCCTCTGTCCTTCCTGTTAGTGTCGAACTGGTGATTCCAACAACCCTGGCCACATGTAGTGTTTCCTTGTATAACAGGCAATCCTTTCTGGGCAGTACCATGTCACCTTTGAAGATTAAACCTTCAGGAGTGGTGACTTCAGGAGTCAGTTACAATGATTGCTTTTTTGAATGGGGTTTCAGAAAGCCATAACAGGGTCACCCAGCCTCTACTCCATTACTTATAGTGGATGAATTTCGCTTTGAAGGCTGTTGTGTGATTGGTGCGATGCACGCCCTCTAAGAGATTAATACAGCTTGGTTTCCACTGACATCTCAACTGACCAGAACTATGTTCTCCTTACTGCATGTAGAAAACTTGTTCAGTATGCTGGGGTGCCAGTCCACAAGGGCAATGTTTCCGAGTCCCCATGGCTGCACAGTCTGTTGTCCAGTTTGTAATATAAATATAATGGTCTGTGCTTTCGTGCAGGAGGTTGACTAAGTCTTCAGGATTGCATCCTGGATGGCAAGTATACCTATGTATTCTAATGGCTGCCTTCCTCTGGGTTTGATTCCCTCACAAGTGAATCCTGCATCTGTCTATTTTGTATAACTTACAATGTTTAAGTTGTGTTTTAATTTGCTCCACTTTACTTTGTGATGGCCCCCCCCCCCCTATACTCCTAAGAAATATTGACATTTCCAATAATTTATAAACTGAATTACCTGTCTAAACTTAAGCTTATTTGTATTGTCCTACCTCATAAACATTGTAACGGACAGCAAAAATGATTCTGCTACAATACCTGGTCAAGTATCCGCGCCAGTTTGTCTGCAGAATTGGGCAAAATGACCTCCCTTGTGTCTTTCACATTCCAGACTTCCTCTGTAGGCATCTCTTCATCAACTTTCCTGGTTTCTGATAAATACATAAATGTAAATTACAGAAAAATGGCTGGGGAAGGAGAGGGCAGAGAAGTGAGCGAGTAAGAAGAAAAAGAGAAAAAGAAAAAAAAGTTATGTTCAATGAAACAACATGTTTCTCACCAAAAGACAATGGTCCTGGTCAGACATGTACTTGTCATGTGGTCACATTTTAATTTTTATAATAAGGCTTTATTCCATCCAGCCTAGTCTCTCTCTGTAGAACAGTTGTTTGTTTGCTGAGAACATCACACAAAGCACAGACATCATAGCTTCAAAGATGACCCCACTATATTGAAACCACCCTCCCATTGAAAAAAAAAAAAAAAAAAAAAAAAAAAAAAACGATTTCAGAGTGAGAATCTGACAACTAGACCATTTAGCTATGGAGACTCCCTGAGTGACTGCTGCCTGAAGTGGATTTCAGTGAAGGAGAGTTATGCAGCATTAGCCTGAATCTTGAATCCAGATTCCATTGAATTCAGTGATAAAACATGATAAAGACGACTAGAATAGAAAACAAATATAGTGGATCAATGTGGGATATCCTGTGCAATGATCTACACTATTTGCTCCAGAGTTTATTTGGTAGTTATCTTTCTGGTCATTCACTTCCTAATGACTCCTTTGTGTAATGTTTTCAACCAAATTTCACAAGCTTAGATATGAAAGTTCTAAACTCAATCAGTCAAGTACTGCCTCCACTAACAAAAAGTGGCTTCATGGTATCTCCAGCAGGTTCTGTCTCCCTTAATGGTTATACACTCTTTAAACTGCTGTTCAAACATTTCTTGACGTTGTCCTACCACTAGAACTCCCAGGGCTCATAGATCTGTTGTAATACCCTCACCCTGTTTGGCAAAAAATGCAGAAACTGTTGCCCAGGGTGTTGCGCCTGCTGCATGTCACCTAGAAACCACAAAAACATTTGACATGTGTGAATTTAACCACAGAACTTACCATCAGATTTTGATGTTTCCTTTCCCTGAGTGAGCAGCTTGTAAAAAGTAAGACCCCCAACAGCACCTCGCTCATGCTGAATGTCCACCAGGTTGGCCATGTAAGAGGGATCAAGCACTGCTTGGGACATTGCAGCTCTGTCACTGGCCACTGCCTGGTCTAGAGCGGCCAAGAGACGTGACATGCTGGCCACAGGGATACCAAACGACTGGACAAAGAGAACCAGTTGTGCGGGTTCCACTTCCACCAGAGCTGCAGGAACAGAGTTTCAGGCTGTCAACTAAGTGTATAATATTTTCACAAGATGCTTGGTCTCTTCTACTGTCACAGTCTGCCCCACCTACCCAATGTTTAGTCTGTGTAAACACTATTTAGTCTGTGTGAACAATGTTTAGTCTGAACACTATTTAGTCTGTGTGAACAATGTTTAGTCTGAACACTATTTAGTCAGGGTGAAAAATGTTTAGTTTGAACACTATTTAGTCTGTGTGAACACTGTTTACTCTGTGTGAACACTGTTTATTCTGTGTGAAAACTGTTTATTCTGTGTGAACACTGTTTAGTATGTGTGAATATTGTTTAGTCTGTGTGAACACTGTTTAGTCTAAACACTATTTTTTTCTGTGTGAACACTGTTTAGTCTGTGTGAACACTGTTTAGTCTGAACACTATTTAGTCTGTGTGAACAATGTTTAGTCTGAACACTGTTTAGTCTGTGTGAACACTATTCAGTCTGTGTGAACACTATTTAGTCTGAGTGAACACTGTTTAGTCTGTGTGAACAATGTTTAGTCTGTGTGAACACTGTTTAGTCTGAACACTATTTAGTCTGGGTGAACAATGTTTAGCCTATCTGTTCACCGATTCTTCTTCTTCTTTGACCCACTGCTCCCTAACATGCTTGTTGTGAAAGTGACTAATTAGGGTGTTTCCTTAAGATTTGAAGTGCATGTGCCTGAGAGATGAGGAACCAGTAGGCTGCATACAAAGAATTAGATCTGTAAAATGGATGTGCACAGAAAACTCAAGTTTTGGAACAAGACCAAAGTCCAGACATGGATGAACAATCAGAACTTTCCGCTGGAGTTTACAGTCGGGGAACATGAAGAAGAAGAATAATTTAGGTAAGCAGCACAGAACCACTTGTATATATGCAAAACTAAATGTTATCCAGTTATTCTGAGTGAGAGAAGACAGCAGACTGGTAGGACTTTATGACAAAGTAGGAGAGGGCTGAAGGCGGTTTGTGTAAGCAACAATCATCTATAATGACTGTAGACATTCATGGAGGAAGGGAGTGGAAGACATATAGAGATCAGAGAGAGACACACACAGACAAAACAGTAAGTGAGACATAAAAGAGTGAGAGCTGGAGAGACACAGGGAAAAGGAAGAAGAGTGAGACAGGGCGAAGGGATGGAAGGAAAGAGAGAGACATGGAGAGATGAGGGGGAAGGAATGAAAGAAGGAGATAGAGGGAAGCAGAGAGAAAGAGGGAAGAAGAAAGAAAGAAGAAAGGAGAGAGAGACAGACAAGGAATGAACTGAAGAGAGAGAGAGAGAAAGACCTGTAAATATCTTACACCAATATATGGCACTGGACAGAAGAGCAAAAGCTCATACAGGGCTGATTCAACAACAATAATAACTGTAACAACTGACAATATGAATAAACTGACCAGCATTGATAAGTCTATCATCAGATGAGCGTAACATCCGCAATTTCAACCAATCAGGCAGCAGCAGTGCTTCCTCAGAGGTATCGAGCAAAAACCCAGATGGCATTCTGTTATTGTCCTGAATCCACATGTTAAATAGCTCAGTGTACATGTGCTCATCTGCAGCATTTGGACCTTTATGGCAAATGTAAAACATAATGAGACAGCAACAAGATGAAGCAGTCAGATAATAAAAGAGGAGAGAGGCACCGAGCCTGAGGCAGACAAAGAAAAGACTGGAAAAATAACATCAGAGAAACTCTAAAATAATACAATATGCCTGTGGTCAGGGTGGCCAGGACAAAAGGAACCAGCACCGTGTTTCTCCCTCAACATCCAAAGTGATACAATAGGAAGTGAAAAAGAAGAAGTCAGACAAAACCAATTTGTATCTCAAAGTCAAATGTGTTTAAGTCAAGACTGCAGCATTAGCTATGATTTCTCTGGGGTTTTTGTGTGCAAATGTTTCAAAAGAAGTGAAATGAAAGTCAGGGTTCCATACAAGGGTCAGAGGTCAAGTAAGTTAGTTAGTCTTTCCTCTTGGGCCTAGGGCGGCGCACAGGGCAGAGGTCACAGCTCTCCAAGTCTGGCAGTTTCTTGCCACCTACTTTAGGTCTTGGATGTTTGTTAGGCCCATGTTTGAGCCTTCCCTGATAATGGTTCTACGCTGTGTCTCTCCTGGTCTTCCCCATTTTCTTTTCCCTTCTGGTGTCCATAGAGGTCAGGTAGCATGAAATAAATTTGGATGTAAGGGTGTGAGAAATGTTTAGTAATGGTCAAAAGTTAAGAGTTAAAACCAGTCTTTAAAAGATTTACATTCAACCAAGCGTTTCTAATTTAATTTAATAAAGATTATTTTTTCTACAGAGAATTCAGTTTTTTTTTAAAAGGTACAAAAGGCCACATCTTGTATCTCTCTTCTTCTTCCGTCGTCTCACTAACACCAGGTTTCATGTTGTGGTTTCCTCTATATGTCTTGCACTTCTCGGGTGGCTTGGGTGATGAATTTATTGCAGGTTTCATCTAAACACTTCTCCGTCTCTTTCTTGGTATTCCCTCTGCCTTCTTCCCAAAAGTTCTGCTGTAAAAAAAAATCTCATAAGCAGTCTGGCTGCATTTCTTCTAGATGACTGAACCATTTCATTCTTTGTCTGTCAATATAATACAGACACCGTCTTATTCCAACTCTCTCCTTAATGCTAGGTATTCATCACCTTGTTCCACTCTCTAAAACAAGGATAAAAAAACAAAACATAAATCTATTTCTTACCTTTAGGCTTGCCATATGTGAGAAGTACAATCATGGCATGAACAACAAGCACATGGACAGTTGCTGACTGGCCTGACTCCCACTGCAGCAAGATCTGGTCCTGTGTGTTAGACTGCAAAAATATATAAGGAAGGAATTTTAGTTCTACACAAACCCATAATTGAATACTTTCACAAGGAAAAGCGTCAGTTCTACACACATACAAAATTAATACAGAGGAAAATTAGTGTTGGTTCAATTTTTTTTTTAAACCTCACAAAGGAAAACAGTTGCAAGTTCTATAGAAAACCATTATTAACCATTATTAAATATCTTCACACAGTACAATAGTTTATTTTTCGACACATAATGACAGCTGGGCAATTTTACAGATGATAACCGAGCAGTCCCTAATGTGACAATAATTTAGTTGTTCTGAGAATCAATTATTCGTCTAAACAAGTGAACTCTTTCCCTCGTGCTGGCAACAAGAACTTCCTGTTTGGTGGAGGAAATTCTGGAAAAACAAGGTATCTGTCAGCTTTATAGGACCAATTACAATAGATAAAAAAAGGGGGCTGAGTGGTCTCAAAGTATGGTGTCCGCCTTGAGTGCTGGAGGCCCTGGGTTCAAGCCCCGGTAAAGACTGGGATTTTTTTCACGTGGACTTCTAGAAATTTCCCATGGTCTCTGGGTAGTAAGATCGGATGCCTGTGTGTACTTATGCTCACGTAAAAAAAAAAAAAATCCCTTGGCAGTTGGAAATCAAAAGAGCAGCCTAACGGCGATTCCCGGGCTAAATTCGGAGTTAAAAATCTACCCAAAGTATTTCAGTATCCTTGCCAGAGTTCGTGCACTGCGCTGAAATTCTTCAGACTCAGGTTTGAGTTAGAAGTAGAATGGAGCATTTATAGGTTACACCCATGTGCTATGATGTTGATCTGTCCAAAAAAACATTAAGATTTAAAAAAAAAAAAAAAAAATTTAAAAAGCAGCATCCTTTTTTGTCTATTGATTGGTCCCGTAAAGTAGGTTTGTATTTTATATTTTTCAGTCTTTCTTACTTTCCTAGCTTTACTACAGTCACTTCATTTTGATTCATGCTCTCAGTTCTATTCAATGGACTCAACAAGAGGTTAATTTTTTAATAAATCTCATTTTAAAAACATAATGCTGTAGTTTCTCATCAATAAATTAAAAAGCAGCAACTTTAAAACACACACACAAAAGTACCCAGCTAAAGGTATCCTTGTCCTCCTTGCGAGCGTGCCGCATGTACGTGACAAAGAGCCTGATGAAGGCAGACAGACACTGGCACTGCTCCTCAGTCTTCTCTGAAGGTTTAACTGACAGGTCAGGCAGGATGAAGTTGACTATAGATGTTCTCTCAACCAGCAACTGAGCCATATCCTGAAAGTATGCAGGAAATCAAATGTGCAACAATCAGACATGCTCAAGGTGAATAAATTCAATCAACAATGTCTGCTTAACTGTGCCAAATAAACAAAGCTATAAGGAATTGGTATTCTCTACTGTAGGGTTAATCAACTAGCAGCTGGAGGGTCAAATGTGGCCCACGGAGGCCCAATAGGCAACTTGTGGATCATTGCCAGGTGTACTGTATTAATGATGATTATATGCCAGCGCTTAGGCATCTGGCCCGCGATGACCCTCATGTTCAACATTTTCACCCAGAGTACACTTAGTTGCCCTGCTCTACATGCGAGAGCAGAAACTGAGTAACAAAGACAGGGTAGTGAGATTCATATATATGAAAATACAGGAAAGAGTAAGACAAAAGTAATACAAAATTTCAACAGCAGAGGTCCCATTTGAGGATCTCTCCCCACTGCTCATAGTTCAAGGGCTAACTTAGCTTCATAAATAAAACTGACATTTTTAAGAAGAAGAAGAAAAAGTTTGTGAGGCAGAAATCTTGGTAATCTTAGTTTCAGCTTCATAGCAAACGGGTCACCCCATAATCGTTTCGCTCCTATGTGAACGAAAAACACACAGAATGTTCATCACCTTCTCTTGAGGAAAACTGACACAGACTGCCATCTTAGCATATCCAGCAACATACCCATGCATTAAAAAGCATAAGGCAGCTATCAGAAGTGCTAAAACAAACAGTCCAACATTAGAAATGCAATTCATCATTGATGGAAGTAGCAGTAACAAACAGATCAGTAGTTGCACACGTGATTTATTGTAATCACATTAGGCACCACCAATTCTGTGGCAACAGGCCACTCACCATTTTCTGAATGAACGGTTCACAACACCGCGATAGTCACAGTTGAAAAACATTGCTTGGAATCTGTGGCCCACAGTGTCACACCATGCACTCAACTCAGTAACTGGACATCAAAATTATATCCATCCTTTCAGTCTTCAAATGGAGGAAAATGCAGTGGCTGACGTCGGTCAGAAGCAAAATATTTCTCACGACTAAAGACAGTAACAATGCCTATCTCAATTTTGACCGGCAGAAAGTCAGCATCATCATGAACTGCCAACAAGATCGTCCATTTTGCGAATTCCTTTGTCTCAAGTACTTTAATACTCAAGGCAAAAAAATCATAACAATGTCCTCTATATAAAAACTAACAAGAAAACACACACATCCCCAACCTTTCCCCTAAAAAATATTAAAACAGAATGGTCTTGTGTATTGTCTTTTATACAAGTATATAACACACTTGTTTGTCAAATTATTCATAAAACACACAGAGAAACAACTTTTACCAGGATCAGATCATTCCAAGTCTGCTGAGATGTGTCCAAAGCATGATGGGATAGAAACAAGACATAGGTTTTGATCTGTGCAGGGTCAGTCTCCACCTGGCAAGCCTGGCAGAGGATGAAACAGAAACAATGGTCCCATTAAAATGATTAAACTTGTTCCACACATAATTATAGTTTATGTTCCACGCTACAAGATTTGAGCTGCGCTGTACAATTAACCTATTATTTATTGAATTTATTGCTTATTGTCATTCACGTAGTAGTTCCAATTATGAAAAAAATTCAGTATGTTTAAAAAAAAATGTAAGGTCTTTACAGACCAATAATTAAATATTTCTACAACAGTCAAAGTCGGCCCTGTGGCTAAGTCGATGCGAACGCTTCGTAATGCCGGAATGCCGGGTTCGATCCCAGCTGCGGGCCATGCGCCTTGCATTGGTTTCGACAGTGGTATCAGGAGAGCCGTACGTCCAGAAAGCAATGGCAAACTACTGGACGTAAATTTGCCTAGAAAACTCACACAACAGCCAGGGGCTATTGGGGTTGGTTCTGCAACGTCCTGTAAAGAATATGCAACTAACCTAAACAACAGTCAATACTTAATAAATAGTCCCACATATGACAATAGGTAAACAACTGTACACATGACAATAAATGAACAATTCCACACATAACAATGTGTGTGTGTGTGTGATTTTCTGGTTTTGTATACAAAATAAGACCCCCCATTTATCCTGGTTAAGGACTGACTGGTTTTAACTGCCATGGGAATCAAGCCAGTGGGGATGGCAAGTGTAGCTAGCAAGACCCCCCCCCCCCCCCCCCTCATGTTGAGCTGTGGATTACATGTCCACTATTCTCATTCAAGGGCGTAAAACACAGAGGGCCCATAAGCACACTTCACAGACCAAAGATCCATTAGTAGTAGAAGTCGAGGACCCTTTTACACACTATTCGGCAAACTGGGCATATAGTGCTAGACCTATATTTTATAGACCAACCACCTTTACTTCCCAGCACCCATTTTAAACTGAGTTGATCTGGGAGCCATGACCACGTTTTAAAAAAATCTGATTTAAACCTACGACCTTCGGGCCTGATGCGAGTACTAGCCACTACACCACAGCGGCTCCCATATATCAGTAGCTGTCTATTTAAAAAAAAAAAGAGCAGGTTGCTGCCATGGGCAAACATTTTCAAGACATAACAGTTATCCATAAAAACAACAACAGTACACCATGCCCGATTCTGGTATACACAAGCACTGCGATGACATTCTTTTGTGTGATCTAAAGGAGACTGGAACATTTATGAGATATCTGTGAGAAAAAAAAATTACCCTTTACAGAGCAAAGAAAATAAAAACATCTTCAAATACTAACCTCTGACAGCAAAATTAGGTAAGTACAAAACAATGAAAACAGTGGATGACTATGATGATGATGACAAACCTTTCTCAGTGCCAAACATAAGGAATCCTTGACTTCGTCAAACAGTGGCAGGGATGTCATGTGAACAAGAAGCCAATCCCCTGATTCTGGAAGCCTCAAGTCCGCATCCATCGACTCATCTTTCAACTTCTCACTATACTTTGGAGGGGTAACCACAGACGAGAGGCCCTGCAAATCAAAGGAACAAGAATAAATTTTGCGGACAAGAAAACATTTCACTAGGCTATAAGCCATCTTTAACTCTCTCTTTCTCTATTTTTTATCTTAATCCTTTTGGTACCTTGTGGTTGATGAGCATGTTTGTTTAAGCAGTTAAAGTAATCCTCTGCGGGCATGCTGGGCCAATTGCAAGTTGAGGAAAGAAAAAGAAAAAAATGACCTAGGTGAGTCCAAACACCTAGACAAGCCAGAACCCCACTGGCTCATGACTTTGCGGCCATGTTTTCCCAGTCTGCATCACTTGGAACCTGTGTGGTTTACAGGTTATCATCAGGCTACTGATTTTCGCCTTTTGTCCCTCCAGAGAGAGACTAGCCGATCTCAACCCTTCTGGCTGTAAGGCAGGGTGCAGTCAACACCTTTAAAAATTTTTTTTTTTTTTAAACTGCCCCTATTATAACACGTTTTAGGCTGATGTGTTTGTGTGTTTTAAGATCTAGACTTTGCTTTTTCAGATGCCATGACCTTTCATAACAAGACTTTTACTTTTGTTACAGAAATAACCCTGCTCATTTCCCATTAAAAATGCAATATTACATATTACCAAATAACATTTTTATGACTAAACAGTGCTGATCCCAAATTGCAATTTTTAAGGATCAACATTACACAACCTCAGTCCCCATTATAAAGAATCAATACTTAATATCCATAATCCCAGTTCTAAAGAAACAATTCTACATATCCCTAATCCTCATTAACAAAATGAAAATTATGTGCTGCCATTCTGAATGAACAATCTTCCATTGTTCTGAAGCTTACCTTGATTGCTTGTTGTCTAGTGGCAGCCTGGATGGAGGACAATCTCTGAAGGAAGTAATCTAACACCTCCTTGACTGTCTTTGAGTCAGTGGATGAACTATGGACAAGGTCCTGAAGTCTGGTCAGAAGCTGCTGGTGTTTCTTGTTTTTCTGCAGGGGGCAAAACACAACAACAAGCATCATTCTGGAGCCCCACCATACTGGGGGTCGGGGGATAGACCCACTGGCCCCTAACAACTATGTTAAAAAAAAATGGCTGCTAATCAGGGGTGTTTCCTTCAAAGTTGGAGTGCATCTGCCTGAGAGGTGAGGTACCAACAGTCTGCATACAAATAAACCAGATCTGTAAAATGGATGTGCACACAAAACTCAAGTTCTGGAGCAAAGTCCAGATATGGATGAACAACCAGAAACTTTCTGCCAGAATATGCTAACAAGGAGAAGACAAACGTCACGTCACATTTTTCTCAAATATTGTTGTGGCAGGGACAGAAAATCCAGTAGAAGTTCAAAGTTTACAGTCAAGAGGACGGACTTCACTGCGCCAAGTTTTATCCCGTATGGCTTGGTCTTTCTCCACACAACAGGCAGATGTCTGTGTAGAGTGTTGTACACAGCTCCAGGAAAGATTTCAAACAAAATAAAAAAAAAGAGCCAGTCAGCTACACAATATCATAAACAGAAATGGCAAATGAATGTTGCTGCCAGACAGCCTTCATCAGCACATACATAAATCTATAATACCACACACAAGCAAGAATCAACAAAATCACTTTACTGACATATCCCTGATACATCTGTCTGAATATTTGACACTAGTGAAACATGTACCAAGATGGCTAACCCAGTCAAATAATGAACGCAGAAGTGGATGTGTTGGCCGAAAGGTGCAAATATCACAGCCGTGCTGTAAACAGACACAACGCAATTACATCTTCAGATGAACGGAGAAAAAGAAAAAGAAGAAACGTGTGGCCAACGGAAATAAATATGGCCAAAAAAAGCTGTGAGAATCAAAGGCCATAACTCAAAGATATTAGATAAAACTGTGTTGGATGTTAAGCCCCTAGGTGAATTGGCAGTTGAGATGGATAAGGCAGTTTCCGAGAGACTTACAGACTGTCAATGGAATGGCTAGACTTGAAAGTGGTTATCTCCATGTCAAAGACATCTTATGACCCTGAGAATTGAAGTGTGATGGCAAAAAAGCTCCAGGGAACTCTAGAAATTGCACATATGAACCAAAAAATTCAGGCCATGAATGAACACAAGTATATCAGGCCACAAGGCCTTCACCACAGAGACATAAGAACAACCAATGTATACACTAGTACATAAAACTACCAGTTTTGAAAACTGCCATACCTCTAAATTTATACAGTTGTACAGAAAACTGCTATACCTCTTCAGGTTTATATAGCTGTACAGAAAACTGCCAAAGCTCCTTGAGTTTATACAGTTCTACATAAAACAACCATACCTCCCTGAGTTGATACAACAGTACTGAAAACTACCATACTTCCTCAGGTTTTTTTAACTGTACAGAAACCTGTCATAGCTCCTTGAGATTATACAGTTCTACATAAAACAACCATACCTCCCTGAGTTGATACAACAGTACTGAAAACTACCATACTTCCTCAGGTTTTTTTAAACTGTACAGAAAACTGTCATAGCTCCTTGAGATTATACAGTTCTACATAAAACAACCATACCTCCCTGGGTTGATACAACAGTACTGAAAACTACCATACTTCCTCAGGTTTTTTTTAACTGTACAGAAAACTGTCATAGCTCCTTGAGATTATACAGTTCTACATAAAACAACCATACCTCCCTGAGTTGATACAACAGTACTGAAAACTACCATACTTCCTCAGGTTTTTTTTAACTGTACAGAAACCTGTCATAGCTCCTTGAGATTATACAGTTCTACATAAAACAACCATACCTCCCTGAGTTGATACAACAGTACTGAAAACTACCATACTTCCTCAGGTTTTTTTTAACTGTACAGAAACCTGTCATAGCTCCTTGAGATTATACAACAGTACAGAAAACTATCATACCAGCTTGAATTTATACAGCTGTACATACAACTATCATACCTCCCTGATTTTATATAACAGTACAGAAAACTCCCAAAGCTCCTTGAGTTTATACAGTTGTACATAAAACAACCATACCACCCTGAGTTTATACAGTTGTACATAAAACAACCATACCACCCTGAGTTTATACAGTTGTACATAAAACAACCATACCTCCCTGAGTTTATACAGTTGTACAGAAAACAACCATACCTCCCTGAGTTTATACAGTTGTACATAAAACAACCATACCTCCCTGAGTTTATACAGTTGTACATAAAACAACCATACCTCCCTGAGTTTATACAGTAGGTATTGAAAACTATCATACCTCTGTGAGTTTATACAAAAGTATTGACAACTATGATACCTTTCTTTATATAACAGTATTGAAAACTGGTCTACCTCTTTGAGTTTCAACCTGTCAGCTCCAAAAATGTCCTCCCCATCTCCATCAGTGAACAGATCAGATGGTTCATGCAGCAGGAACTCACACAAACACTGAACAGGAAGCACATCTAGAGAGCCTTCACTGGACTCCACCAGCTCTGCCAACCAAGGCATGGACTGTGAGGTTCCCTAGGAATGTTTACATCACGTCATGAGAAACCTACAACAATTATCTTTCGGTTATTGTTCGTTGTCGGCCTCTCTGGCTGAGAAGTTACAAATGCAGTTTCATAATTCTTACATTCTGAATCTGATTCTCTGTGGTCAATATGGTGACAGGCGGATTTAGGTAAATGCAAAATCCCAATGAAATACACCAGCCTCTGCCAGCATTATGCTAGTTGTCTTTATTTCCTGCCTGCAGATCCGAAGGTCATGAGTTCAAGTCTTGACAGAGCTGGACATTTTTTTCAAAAATGACCTTGGCTCAGCTTTAAATGGGTACCAGGTGGAGTCCTGGGAGGTAAGAGCAGCTGACATGATGCTGACCATATCAACCACAGAGTGCCAATTGGTCTATAAAATATAGGTCTAGCCTTATATGAACAATACACCTAAAGAGAATGTGGGTCATTTGATGAGTCTGGGTTGGCAACAGAACCACTGATGCAAACAACGAGGAATTTTTTTCCATACTTTTGAGGCAAGAGACGACCCAAAAAAAGGCCATGACCCCAAGGAAATTCTCAAAAGAAATCCTTTAAAAACAAAGATTTTGCATAAATCAGAAATAAACTGTTTGAAACCTAATTTATATACTTCAGTAATTTTGTTGTTAAAATATTTAAAATTGTTGCGTATCCTTTACAGGACGTTGCAGAACCAACCTGTTGTGGTTTTTTAAGACAAATTTTATGTTCAGTAGTTTGCCACTGCTTTCTGAATGGTTAGCTCTTGGTGCCACTGTCAAAACCAATGCAAGACAAACCGTCAGCAGTTGGGATCAAACCCAGCACCCCGGCATTAAGAAGCATCTCTGAAACACCTAAGCCACAGACGCCGACATTACAATGTATAAAAGGAGTAGGCAAAAAACATGAACAGAGGGAAGCATTAAATGATTTAGACCTCCCGGGGCATAAAAATATATGCATCAGGCGACTCATGTCATGACCATTTGACCTGTATCATTGAGGCTTTTGGGACAATTTGACATCAACCTGTTTAAAAAAAATATTTGTTTTGAAGGTACCTCCCCCTCCCCAAATGCTATTTTTAGTTTATATATTCGCATCCTGACCTCACAAACATCTGTGAAGGTGTAAACACTCCAAACAGCACTAACTATACGTCTGGTAAACAAGTCACTACAGACAAGTCAGAAAAGACATATTTACAGGGGATTGAAACTTGATGTGAAAGAAAGAATGGACTTTTGGTACTAACCCCATACATTTATAAATCAGGGAATACAAAAATGTGGAGTTATGATATCATGAGATGAAAATACTGGTTTAATTTCATTTTCCTTAAGAGCAAACAATTGAATGATGATGATAACTACGACAACAACAAAAACTACCTGTCTATTAATAATTCGCAACAAGAAATCAGGATTTCTACTCCGACACAACATCTGTCCTAGTTTCAAGCTAGCATTCAAAGACTTGAGTTGTTCTATGACCTCTTGAGGTGGAAACCTTGCTGGCCCTCTGAATTAGAATATAAATAAATATGCAAATGAAAGCAAAGTCAACAGATCTGGCTGCAAGTTTAGGCGATTCAAATAATTACAACAGACTTTGCAGTCACATACACAGAAAATTCAAGATTACGAGATTCAGAACTTTGCCACCACAGAATACTGAGCATGTGCTACAGACATGCTCGCTACAAACAGCAGAGAGATTCCAGGTTTGGCCAGTTGGCATTCCAATGAAAACCAAGTTGTGTGGTAGAATGGGGGAACATGTGTCACACCAGACTTCATACAGACCTGTGGCTTTCTCATGTGAAAATCACTGGCAGGGAGAATGAAAAGAAGAAGAAATAATTTCAACTTCTTGACACAATTACACACTTCAGGTGAATATATAATATATTTCTAAGTACACTATAACTCACTTCAGGAAAATCCAGTAAGAATAATATTTAAGTACACTAACAACTCATGGCAGCCATGGTGGCATAGGCACTAGACGCTCACCTCGTGGCTCAAAGGTCTTGAAGTCAAATCTGAATTAGGCAAAAATTGTGTCTTTAAAAATGATCTTGGCTCCCAGATCAACCTGCCTAAAATAACTACAAGGTGAAGTCCTGGGAGGTATAGGTGGCTGGCTTGAGGTTATCATCCACTGAGTGTTGACTTGTCTACACAAATATGAGAAGCATCATATGCCTGACTTGCCAATGGCTGTGAAAAGGGTTGTTGACATACTAGTTTCCTTCCAAGTTGAAGTACAACCGCCTGAGAGGTGAGGAACTAACAGTCTGCTTATAAAATAAGCCAAATATGTAAAATGGATGGGCAAGCAGAACTCAAGTTCTGGAACAAGACTAGAGTCCAGAAGTGGTCAAACAACCAGAACTTCCCACTAGAGTTTACAGCCAGTGAACAGGAAGAAGAAGAAGAAGACTTAGACTCACTATGGCGAATCCATTAAGTGCAGTATTTATGTACAATAGTAGCTTACTTCAAGTAAACCTTGGAATTATGACATCTGATTTCACTGATAGCTCATTTCAGGTGAATAACAGAATTACAATATCTAGGCGCACTGACACATATGTCATCCATGGATGTAACAGCTGGGTACAATGATAACTCACTCAGATCAGGCCAGGACTTATTTCATCTGTATATTGATAACCACATGGCTGTGAAGCCCCATGCCAATCTCATGATAACCACATGGTTGTGAAGCCTCATGCCAATATCACACCCAGTTGCACTGATCTGTCTGCATCACTATTAAACCGAAATCCTCTCCAGTAACATCTTCTGCCAGTTCCCTGCTCTTCTAAGCATCACTTCTTATACTCTCAGCAAAGGGATGGACTTGATCGTATTTGGATCTTCTTCAGAGTAAAGTACTTTTCTTAGGTTGCCTTTTTCCTTTAAAGGGTAGTTGGTGTGATTGTGTTTGCAGTTTACAGCTAGGCTTTGATATCTCAGCAGTTTTTGGCAAAATACATCTCATATTTGCCCCTTCTGAACACTCTCCTTCATACAACAATGATATTTTATATGTTATTACGTATGTCATAGCAAAATATTTAATGAAAAAACAATTAAAAAACATAAAGCAGGAAGGGCAAAAGGGCAAAACACATATATTCAAATGTACATACACACATTCACATATATGAGAGGAAGTCAATAAGTCCCAAATGATTGTTAAAAAATTTAAAAATAAAATTAAAATAAAGGCGATAACTTGAAAACCATTTATTTTTACACATACACTGTCCCTTTATTTTTCAACATAATTTCCATTGATGCACTTGACCCATCCTTTTATCAGTCCTCCAAAACAAGCTGCAAAGAACTGAGTGCTCTGTTTTCTAAGCCACATTTTCACTTCACATTCAACTTCTGTATCATTCACGAAATGTCTCCTGTCAAGGTGGATTTTCAGTGGACCAATAGGTGGAAATCACTAGGGGCTTAGTCAGGGCTGTAAGGTAGATGTTCCAGAAGTTCCCACCCTAGATGATTAATTTTCTCCCGAGTTAACCGAGCCGTCTGTGGTCTGGTATTGTCATGAAGGAGCAATACTCCTCTAATCAGCAGGCCTGGATGTTTTCTTCGAACTGCATCATAAAGCATCGATAGAACTTAACAATATGGATCAGTATTCACATTGTCACCCTTTTTTTAAAAAACTGATTGAAAGCACTCCTTGATATTCCCAGAACACTGTCAGCATAACCTCACTGCTGATGGTGTAACCTTGAATTTTTGAACATAAGGCAAAGAAGTATGTTTCCATTGCACTGAAGCATGCTTTGATTCGGGCTGGTAGTGAAGCACTCATGACTTGTCCCCAGCAATAATCCTGTTCAGCATGTCTTCTCCTTTATCTGCATATAGACAGAGATGCTGCAAGGACAGGTCTAATAGGTTCATTTTGCGTTCTTCGAGGGTACACTCCGTAAGTGTAGTCACCATTGTGTTCCTGTGTTGCGAATGCGCATGCAGCACCTAACAAATGGAGATATAAAGTTCGATGTTGCTGTCACCACACCATTTTTCTGCCACCCCATAACCATTTATGACTTATTTATTGACTTTCCCTTGCACTTACATATATGCACATACACACACACATATATACATACATATATATACACATACACATAAAGATTTACAAAGACTCACACATAAACATACATGTATACATACATACATACCACACAAAACATGCTGAAATGTCAAATACACACAAATTTATACAACAGATGATACAAAACCATCAGAGAGACAACCAACAAATGGACTCACTCTGGGTCATTGAGATTCAGCTGCCCAATGAGCAAGCTGTTGCTCTCAGTGATGGCGACCTTACTGGTGGCTGCAGCCAGGTGGGTCTCAAACTCCAGGATCAGCTGAATCTCCTGTTGCCTCAGCTGTGTGATGAAAAAACATTTCTGTTTGAATGGTTCAATCTAATATTAAACATAGGAGATAACTTATCAACAGAACTTCATGCTTATCAACTCTTTATCTTCAGACGGTTACTACTTTAAATCTTTGTATTCTTAACATTTGCTACTTGACCCTGTAACATAAAGGAAACTGTTTTAAAATTAATTTGAATTATTTTATTGATCACTGTGATGCTGCGGTGGTCATCACGATTGCCTGTTTGCTCACTGGTCATAGGTGTGAACCCCCTGGATGTTTATAAAAACTGACCAAGACTCCACGTTGTTTCTGCTTCTTTGTCTCTTCCTCTAGTACAGCGGTTCTCAACCTGTGGGTCATGACCCTTTTTAGAGTCGAACGACCCTTTCACAAGGTTGGCATTAGACCATCGGAAAACACTGAAGTTATAAAGTACCCAAAAAAAATTACTTTCTGTTTGGGGGTCACCATAACATGAGGAACTGTATTACAGGGTGGCGGCATTAGGAATGTTGAGAAATACTGCTCTAGTTTCTTAAGAAACAGTTTCACAGAATTATAATGATGCAGTTCTTTTCAAAACAAATTTTGAAAATGGTCATGTTCTGAGATTCTTATGGAAGCAAAAAGGTTAAAGTAAGACAACTCTGAAAAATGAATGAATTTCAATAACACTACAGGAGGAAAAGAGTTAAAGTAAAAGTTAGGACAGAATGGGTTAATACACTTGCTGCATACAGAAAGAGGAGTTAAAATATTTAATGTACTGAGGAACAAATAAACACATAGTGAAACACTTTGTACTGAAAAAAGTTACGGTCAGAAATTGTCTTCTAACACGAAAGTCGCAGCATTTGAGACATTCCCAAGTGTGCTTCCTCTCACTCAAAGTTTTGCCAGTTGGTCACACATACACTCTGTGTTCAGCTTCAAACTGCACTGGTTATGCTGAACTGGATTCCTGGCTCCATCATTCACATTTGCGTATCTATCTGTTCAAACTCAAGTTAGTACTGCTCAACAAGTTGGGACCCATCACAATAATAACAGCATACATGTTCACACAATCCAACTGTTCAGAGCAAGACAACAGCAAAAATAAAATATGAAAGATAAAGGAAGCAAAATCACAACAGTAATTCAGTTCTTTCCCACATACCTGCCTTTCCCGAGCTCTGTATTCCTCCACCATTTTTTCATCAACAGCGGTGGTTGGGGGAGGGAAGGTGTAATTGCTTTAAAAACAAAGAAAAAAAAACAGAACATTTAATTGCAAAAAAAAAAAAATAAATAAACAATCTAACTAGGTAAGTGGGTATAATTAAGCTAACTAAAAACATTTTAATTATATTTTCTCCTGCGTGTTAATTATTAATATCAAAATCAGTGGTCTTTAACCGGTGGGGGAGGGGGGGGGGGGGGTTTGTTCATCAGCAGTTTGTAAATGTACCGTTAAAAATTAAATTAATATGATAACACAGACATATAATTATATAATAAGAACATATTCTGAACAAAATGTATCTCTATACTTTCTGTTTCCCTAGTTGCGAAATCTACTGTCCTCTACATTTTAACCACATTTTGTATGGGGTATTACCGTATTCTTAAGCATGTCATCCTGTCGGTGATTGATTATGGACTCGGCATGTTTACCATACAAAAAAGACAGCTGATGAAACTTGAACAAATACATAATGAAGCCATGCTGGTAATTCTGGGATGTACAAGAGATACCCCGGTAGTATGTATGCGATATATACTTGCACTGCCTACTATTGCAGACAGGCTCGGAGTTCTGCAAGCAAAGTCATATCTCAGAGTAGCTGCGAACAAGAGTCATCTCCTGGATAGAGCTAAGGGTCACAGACTGAAAAGAGGAAAGTCTTGGATGGTGCAAGCTGAAGACACAATTGGACATGTGTGCAGGCTTGATAAATTTAGGCGAGGAGAGGAGTGGGTCAGAATGTCCAATCAGGTTTCAGACTTGTGTAGGGTTCTAATCACTTTGGGATGTGAGTGCAGGGACTGGCCAGCTGGTGCTGCAGAATCAGATTTTTAACAAATGATTCACAAAAATTCCTGCCCAGGTGATGTGATTGTCTATACAGATGGCTCTGTGTTGAGGGGCAGACGAAGTGCATGGGTGTTCATAGCGAAGGCGAATGGACGTCGCTTGGTGCAACAAAGCCTGGCATATGTCTAGTTTGAGAATGGAGGGGGAGGCAGTCACTGCTGCCTTCCGCTGGCTTGAGAATCAGCTGTACCCACAAGCCATCATTGTAACTGGCTCACAGAGCACGTTAAGAAAGGTGGAGACAGATATGCTCCATGCAGAGTGGCAAGCATCACTTCAAAGGTCCCGGGTAGTTAGCATAATTTCAATATTTTCTCCAGATCATACGGGTGTGTTGAGAAACAAGCAAGTGAATAGACTGGCCAGTTCTGCACCACTTGGTGGCATTCAACAAGCTGGATGTTGTGAGGGCCCTTTGGGAGCGAGCGAACAATGCCGAGGCACAGATAGATCATTATGGTCTGAGGAGAATGGCACTGTGAGGAGTTACAAGAGGGATCTGACCGATGCTCGACACTCAGGGGAATGACGAGACGGATATACAATCAGCCAGTTACTGGTAGCATCGAATTTGCTGCTGAAGATGGGGAAGGAGCGCTTATGGGGGTATCCCGAGTGCTCTGATGTCAATTCTTAATTCAACATTCAACCATATACACAAGAAAGCGTAGAGGTCTTGCCATTCACTCGGGGGAGGTGGTGTGAGGGTCTTGCCATATACTCAAGGGGGTCATGCCCAAAAAAAGGCTGGAGATCACTGCTTTAAATAGAGCATATGCCCACAAAAAACACACATCCAGCACTTTTCTGCTATGACTTGGCTGTCTCTTTGAATGAGCTCATCTGTCACACATGAATATTCTCCTGTCCATCTTCATCATGATTATGTTTATGTCCATCTCTGAAGTTCCTGCACTAATCCCTTACAGAACTGTCAATTAAAATGTTATCACTGCACAAACGACACAATCAACAATGAATCTGAGGTGCATTTTGCCCTTCTGCTTGAAGAAAATGAATCACACCATGAAAGCTGGCATGAAAGGCAGTAAAAGTGTCCATTTTTATTTGTTCGCAATATGTGAACCACTGAACAAATGACTGTAGGTTGAGTTGTAGTTAGTTGAAACACTACTGAATGATGCAAGCAATGAACAGTGTCACTATGGCAAACAGTTTATTTTTACAACCAGTCTGAGATTGACTTTGGAATAGCCCTTATATCTAAAGAACTTCAAAAACAGGAACTACCAAGCACTGAGAACAGATAAAGAGTGACTCACTTGGTCATCACCATCTCCATAAGAGTCTGCAGTGTTGAGTATTTCTGCCATGCAGCTTCTCCTGGGAAAAAACAAACAAACAGTAAGTGGCTGTAAGGTTACCAAAAAAAAAAAATCACAACATGTGAGAATAAATGACCCTGGCGACACTACTGGGGTAACACTCACAGGATGTTAGACCTAAAATTGTATTGCCCAGCTGACATATGTGCAATAGGTGAAGTTAACACCATAATGGTGACTTTTAATGCTTATATTTTCAGGTACCCAGTTTCGGTTGGGACAACCTGGCAGCCAAGCTGATTTATGCAAATATACACTAAATTTACACGGCTGCAGAACTAAAAAAAAAAAAAAAAAACAATAACAAGATAATACCTAGCCTTTTAGTAAAAAGCAGTACAGTATATGGATATATATGGCTCTATTGTGAATATGAATACAGTACAAGGATCTATATATACATACATAGTGGTACTGTATTCATATTATGAAACACACTGGCAAGGCATCAGCAGCTTTTAATAGCTTGAACAAAATATAAAATGCCCAGTTTTAAAACCAAGTCACATATTTTCAATTCTAATATTTCAAATTTAACATATTCAAATGAAAGTTGGAGAACTACTAAAGACATGAAACAAAAGTTAAATGCATTCAATAACAAATGTCTGAGAATAATGACAAAAATAAAATGGGATGAATTCAAAGAGAGTGAAGAAATAAGAGAAATGTCTGGGCAACCAAAAAATTCAATAGTTGTAAGACAGAGAAGGCTACATTGGACACATCCTAGAAGAAACCAGCAGAGAAACACCAAACAGGCATTAAAATGGGAAATAAAGGGATTCAGGAGAAATTCTTAAGATGAACATTGATGAAAGGGGCTAAAGCTACTGGGCTGGATTCCATCAATGATAATGAAGTGATCACACAGGATAGAACGGACTGCAGGAAAAGAACCGGAGCCCTATGTGACATATAATGGCACAACAGGATAATGAATGAATTGTATATACATTTATGACAGAGCCATTTATATCCATATACTGTTCTGCTTTTAACTAAAAGGCTGGCTCGTGTGGTGTGCCAGTAAGTGTAAGCTGTCATGTTTTGCCATTTCACACAATCACCAGAATCATGGATCAGCTCAATGTTTTGTCTCACCCCATCCAAGCTGACAGGCCATTAAGGTATTTATCTCTTTTCCTTCCTCTTGCTCTCTTTCCATCAATCTTGCCAGTTGTTCCCAAGGTCTGAAGATCCATGAGCTGTGAAATCTGGACTTTTCTTAGCATACTGAAGAAGGTAGCTGGCCACTGCTTTCCTTCTCAGCAGTGATCATACTGGTAAGGTCACCATTGTCACTATAGTGTGATCCTCTTGTCTACGGTCGGGAAGCTCCAGACAATGACCAACACCATCTTCTTCTTCTTTCGTTCGCCTGAAATAAGCTGTCTATATCAGCAGTTTTGTCTCTTGTATAAATTTCACTGTCGTTGTTAGTTCATTCAGTGGTCCTTAGAGTTTACGTTCCACTGTTGTTCTTTCTGGCCAAAAGGTTTTCTTTAATGTGTCAAAATTGGTGCAGTCCTGGAGTACATGCTCTGCTGTCTGGGGCACATTTCCACACGTGCACATGGCTGATACACCTATCTTGAATTTTGTGTACATGTGGTTACCTAATCGGTTGTGCCCTGTTCTGAGGCGGAGGACCAAAAACTATCATCCAGCTGCTCTCAAGCAAAACCCATCACCTGCTCCATATATATGTGAATAATTATAAAAAAGACCCTTTTCTAGGCTTTTGGGCGCATTGGGCACACAGAGCTACATTTTATAGACCAATCAGTACTTGGTGGTGATGTGTTTAACATCACACCAGCGCTGTCTTTATTTCTCCATGCCAGCTATTTTTACTTCCCAAGACTATACCTGGAACCCATACAAGACCTGGGAGCCAAAGTTATTTTTGAAAATAGACTGAAAAAAGTGCAGCTCTGCCATGAACCGAAAACATGACAATCTGATAACAACATAAGCAACCGAAAACATGACAATCTGATAACAACATAAGCAACAACCCAAAAAAAAAAGTTTTAAAAATAAGGAGAGAAAATTCAAATTCTTACCGAAGACGGAAGGGTTGTAAGCTGTGATAATCAGCAATGTCAACCAGGCTTTCCAGCTGAGTCCAGATATAGCCAGGTTCGGGGGTGTGTAGCTGAGAATATCAGAAATATATATTTATTTTGGTAGAAAATGTATTGTTAGGATGTCCTGTGAAGTCAAAAGTACAAACTGCGACACTGGGTGGCTAACTGCTCTTTCCAATGTAAAGAATCCAATCACATATAGCAGTAAAACAAGAGATTTTTGATGCAGTATTCTTTCTTCTTCTCCACGTAAACTCTGGTGGAAAGCTCTAGTTGTTGTCCACCCCTGGACTTTAGTCTTGTTCCAGAACCTGAGTGTTGTGTGCATATTCGTTTTACAGACCTGACTCATTTGTATGCATGACTGTTGTTTCCTTTCCTCTCAGGCAGATGCATTCTGACTTAGAAGAAAGCTCCCAGTTACTCAACTCTTATGACATGCTTGTTTGGGGAGGCAGGGGGTCTATTCTTGTGTTCCCCGAGCCTACACAGGGAACAGGATGCAGTAATGAACAATTATGTTTTCTGTGTGGATTCTTTTTCTTCTTTGCTTTCACCAGCTGTAAACTCTGGTGTAAAGTTCTGGTTCTTCATCCACTTCTGGACTGTGGTCCTGTTCCAGAACCTGAGTGTTGCGTGTACATCTGCTTGGCAGATCTGACACATTTGTGTGCAGACTGTTGGTTCCTTGCCTCTCAGGCAGATGCACTCAACTTCGAAGGAAGCTCCCAATTAGTCTACTCTTACTACATGCTTTTGGGTAGGCAGTGGGTCTATTCTTGTCTTCCCTATAATAGGGCCCCAGAACCCACACAGGGGTGTGTGGGTCCTGTTGTGGGGGATGGAAACATAGCTAATCCCCCCCCCCCCCCCCTTCCTCCCCTGGCATGGGCTGAAAGGTGCATATATCACAGCCTAGCTATAAAACACAACATTTTTTACGGCCCTTTTAAGGCTAAATGCCAAAGAAGAACAATTGTCTGTACAGGAGTTCCAAGTCAAGCAGCAAGCAGACAAATGAAGCAACTGCCATGGAAATCAACAGGATCGTCTGCTCCATGTTGGAGTGCAGAGGACAATGGAGTGAACTCTTGGCTGGTGAAATGGATGGAGAGAACATCTGTATTTCACCTGGGGACATGGACAGTTGAAGTGCACATTTATCCAGCACCGTCTCAGGGCTCTTCACTTCCGCCAGTGCTACTCATTTTATATTGTTTATTTAAAAACAAAAACAAACGCAGTAATCTAATGGCACATTTTAAATATTTGACAAGAAAGTAATATACACTAAATATTACTGATGATCCAGATGCAAAAGTACTGTCAACTGATTGGTTAAACCCTATGGTATTACAGTGTGGAATCTGAACAATATCACTCATTACATGACCAAAATATTGAATTTCATAATTTTGAAAAAATTATATTCCTTTCAGCAGCTATCCGCTTAAAAAAAAAAAAAAAGATACATATATGCAGCAAGATCAACACAAATTCAGTACTGTTCAGGGGAAACAGATGAATTCTAATAACTCTCAGTGATATATTAGTTGATTTACAAAACAGGTTGAGACAGACAAGGAGTGAGCAGGGGAATAAAGGAGACTACAAACAATTTGTCACTTGTGTAAGGGAAGCAGCTCAAAGGTGAACCTGGACAAAATATGTGTAATTTGGTGCTGACTAAATAATGAAATAGTAGCAATCACACTCTCTGACATGCATTTTAATGGACAAATAACTGACAAACAAGACATGGGTCAAAGTGTATAAAAGTAATTAAATTATACAGTGAAGGTTGTGAGGCTGAACAAGGACCAACATTTCATTGTCCAAGTCTTGAATTCAACTGAAAATGTGTGTGGGATATGTAAGTGTAGTTTTGTTCACTTGATTTACTGCACTTAGATTTCTTGCTAGAATTAGAACCTATCTTATTTAGCCACGCTGCTTTTAAAAGAATGGTCCACACACAAGGGGGAACACATTTTTTATCAATCCTGTCACTCATACCATGACAAAGGATATCATCAAATTTGGGGACAAATACGGCAAACAGGTGACAGGAAGACAGAAGGCATTAGAGCAGAGAGAGAATATTTTAGGCTAGGGAAAATTGGCAAGTAGGTCAATCCATGGTCATAGAAAGCAAGATAATGGATAAAAGGTGATGACTGTAGTGAGAAATAAACCGGCAGTCCCACTAAGCGTGGCAAATGACTCTCAATCAGGGTTCATAGCCAAATTTACCAATCAATTTCAAGGCTTTTCAAGGTCTTTTTCAAGGTTTCCTTAGTTTTTTTCAAGGTTGTCTCGGTGTAATACTGAAACAAGATTTTAGCCTTGTTCAAGGGTGTACTGAGCACACAAGGTACTTCATTTGTGCCACATGTGTTGGTATACCAGCACAGATATCATCATCATGTAGCATTTTCTTTGTCCTGACAAAAAAACCTTGGTCTCTCACCAGCTCTCCCGCCTCATGTACTTTTTTATACTCAAGGAGTCACTTATATCTTGTGCCCATCTTCGTGTTGGTCGGCCCTTGAGCTTGATATAGTGTTTGAAATTTTTTTTAGGGCTTGGTGGTAAAGGGCAGCAAACTGAAGTCCTGTCTGTTCTGGACCTGGTACCTGAGAGGGTTAGGGGAGAGAGAGTCATGAAGAGAGAGGAAGACACATGCTGAGGTAGGCTGGGAGAGACAGTGTAAATATGGACAGATGAAGGTAGAGAAAAGAAGGAAAAGAAGTCTGGGGAAGGAGGAAAAAATGAGAGGGAGGGATGGAGACATGATGAGGAAAAGTGGGGAAGGGACAGCGAAAGACAGAGAGGGAGACAAATACAGAAAGAGGGAATGCAGATACAGAGATGGGCAGATGAAAAGAGAAGGAAAAAGGGAACGAAACAGAGATATGGAAGCAGGAAAATATGACAAAGAGTTGAAAGAAGGGAGACAGAGGGAGAGAGAACGGACAGGGTGAGAAGCAGATGCAAGCAGAGAGAGATGTAGACATAAAGGAGAGAGAGACAAAGGGATAGCACAGAGAGGCAAGCAGACAGAGGGAGAGAACCAAAGAAAGAGAAAAAAGGCAGAGCAGGAGAATGGGAGGGAGGTATACAAAGAGGAAGTGATGAAGGGAGGCAAACAGACATAAAGCAAGAGAGAGAGAGAGAGAGAGAGAGAGAGGTGGGTAAGGAAGGCAGTGACAAACACAGATTAAGAGGGGCAGGAAGGGAGACAAGATACATCAAAGAAAAAAAACAGCCACCTACCCCCCCCCCCCCCCCTTTTTTCACAATTTCAAGTGTAGTGGACACAACCACTAGGAAAAGATAGTTATGGGGCAAAAAAAATACGTAGATGAACCAGTAAAAAAAATGGGGGGGGGGGGGGGAAGAATGAGAGAGGGGAGCGGGTAAGGAAATCTAGAGAAAATGAAAAGACAGGATGGAGGGGAGACAAAGGAGATGGGACAGGAGAAAGGGCAAGGAAAGGAAGAGAGGAAGAATGGAGAGAGAAAGGAGAATAGTAGAAGATCAAAGGAAAGAGAAGGGGTGAGAGAAGAAAGGTAAGACAAGGTTGTGGGGGTGGGGGTGTAAGAACAATGAGTGCCAAAAATAGAATTAGGAAATCTCTAAGTGAGGCCACTTTTCCGGTTCCTACCCTCTCCCAATGTGAATGTGGCCGTGGTCCAAAAACAACAGTGCTAACCCCTACTGCCCCTTGCTTGTCCTATCTGTGTGTGACAACAATAATTCAATTTCTTACACTTAAGGCTGGTGACCTGAGAGCCAAGGTCATTTTATGAAGAAGAAAAAAAGTCCAGGGAATCCCAACCCACCACTGGTGGAAAATAGAGAAGTTTACACAAACACATAAATAGGTCAGACACATAAATAGGTCAGGGCAGCAGTGGACTTCGTTTTATTTCTGGTTTTCCAATTACAGAAAGGAGGGGAGAGAGGAGGTGGTGGAAAGTGGTGTAGAAGGCTGAGGTGGTAAGGGTGAGACAGAGGAGGTGAGAGAATAAAGTTTAAGAAAATAAAGTGGGAATGAGACAGGGAGAGAAAGAAGGGAGTAAGAAATAAGATGAGATATAGAGGGAAGAAGGTAGCAGGAAGGGGTGCACTCCCTCCCCTAGGTGTCATCAATGTGGGAGGAGAAAAGGGGGGGGGGGTGACGGCAAATGTGTTTTTAAAAGTACACATATATTTAATGTGTGGGAGGGGGGAATGGTGAACATGAAATGTTCTGCACTAGGCAACACATAACCTACACCAACTGAAGGTATGGAGAAAGAAAGAGAGAGAGAGAGAGAGAGAGAGAGAGAGAGAGAGAGAGAGAGAGAGAGAGAGAGAGAGAGAGAGAGAGAGGGGGGAGGGAGTGAGGGAGAGTGGCAAATACAAAGAGAAAGAGAGAGAGGAAAGCAGTGACACAGACAGGCAGAGAGTGAGGAACAGGTAGGACAAAATGTGAGGGGGCGGGAAGGGAGATGGACAGAGATTAAGGCCACTAGGAAAACAAACACATCAAAAGAAAATATCCACCATGTTCACACAGAATGCCCCCCCCCCCCCCAATACAACTTCCTGTGTACTTGAGTTGCTAGGAAGAGTTATGGAGCCGCATATTTACTAAACATTTAAACAAGAAATAAAATAGGAAAAATGGGGAGGGGGGACAGGAAATGAGAGAGTAAAAGGAAAGATAGAGAGAAAGAGAAGAAGATGAAGATCAGAAGGGAGGGTTAGAGACAATGCAGGAGACGGGAAGGAAGGAGCAATAGGTAGAAGAGTGAAAGAGGGAGGGAAGAGAGAGAGAGGGGTGAGACAACAGAAGAGGGAATCTCGGGGAATTACAATACTGATCGCCAAACACACTGTAAAGGTAAATCCAGGCCAAAAATAGAACTGGGAAATCCAGCTGCAGTCACTTTGCTTAGTCCCAATGCCATCTCTAATTAATAGAGAAGGCCGTGCTTAGCCCCCACCACGGCGACTCTATTTATAAATACAACTGAACCGAGCCCCACCATCTCCCAATGTAATCCTTTCTAGAAACCACGGCCATAAACGATTTATACTGTTCACTCGCTAGAAACAAAGGCACACACACACACGTAAGACGGAATCTGCTACTTCCCGCCCCATGCCACACCGCTGCTGTCTGCATGTATTCATGATCTGCAACACAGCCCGCCCTTCCCTGGCCTTTAACAAGCCATTTCGGCTGAAAATAGCCAATAATCAGCTGCCCTCACACCTGAAACGACCATACAACGAAAGTAGCCAAAAATTAGCCAAATGGCCAAAAAAGCCAAATGGCTCTCCCAAAATTGCCTGTGCTGAAAAACACAGGATTTCTGACGATTTCATTGCCGCGGTCAAAATTCACGGCTTTTCAAGGTCGGAATGTCTTTTATAAGCTAAAAATCCCGGTTCAAGGTCAACGAAAAAAATCCCGGTAATTTCCCGATTTCCCGGTCCACTACGAACCCTGTCTCAATAACAAACAGCAGTTGGGGTAAACACAGCAAGGTATCATGAAGGAAGAAAACACTAACCATGATCCCAGTTTAATTGTGAAATTACAGAAAAATAAAACCATAAAAATAAAAATAAAAACCAACAATAGTAATGATGAAATCAAAACTGGTTCTTACCCCTGGGGCAAGACAATATTCTCTGGATGTTTGTAAACACAAAGGTTGAGGACTGCGTCTGTGAATTCCAATCGCTCTATGCGCAGGGCATCCATCAGTCCCACTGTTGAAATAAACAGTTATTTGAGGGTGAAAATAAGAAACCAACAATGAATGGGTACGGTCAGCTGCTACATGCTGCTGGATTTACTGAGAAGGGGATCCGAGCACTTGTGGACTTCCTGTTCACCGACTGTAAACTCCGGTGGAAAGTTCTGGTTGTTTGTTCACTTCTGAACTTTTAGTCCTTTTTCCAGAACCTGAGTGTTGCGTGTGCATCTGTTTAACAGATATTACACATTTGCATGCAGCTTTTGGCTCCTTGCCTCTCAGGCAGGTGCATTCCAAAGCAAGCTCCCAATTAGTTGACTCTTATGACATGGTTTTGGGTAGGCAGCGTGTCTTTTCTTGTTTTCCCTACAATAGGGCCCTGGAACCCAGATGGGAAACTAATGGACTGAATGGTTAGCTGTGCAATGAGGATAATCTGTCTCCTAACCTAGCTTAATATGCTCCATTCTCAACCTTCCATTTCTGCCCTTTATACTCCAATGAAGAATAGCTCTCATCCAGCCAACACCAAGTCACCCTGTTCTTTGCTATCACAGGCAGCTCACCCCATGTCTTCCCCAACTTTTGAATTTAAATCTCCAGATCTTTCTCCATGTATTTTTAGTCTGCCTTTATTTCTTTGACCCTGTTGGTTCTAGTGCAAAGACAACTCTCTACCTCTGTAGCTTTATTTGTTCCTGTGTCAAAGTAGATTGATCTGCCTTCTGCTTTCACTCTCTAAGATTAAACTGATAGTGTTAAGTGTTGAAATAATAACTGACATCACAGCACTCTGGACATTCTCATAAGCGTCCCATCCTCATCTTTAGCAGCTAGCAAAGAGTTTAAATTAAAATGGTGCCAGTGGCACTGATTATATCTCCACCTTGCCTTTCCTCTGAGTGTATTTATTTAACATTGAAAATTATCGGCTTATCTACTTCTTTTTTTTCTATGTTCATTTTAAAAAAAGCAGTTGGCATGTTGTGTTTTGGTTCACAGCTAGTCTGTAATATCTGCACCCTTCGCCCCAAACACATCCAGTTTTAGTCAACCTTAAGTAAAAGTCAAGGACCTTTTCCCACACTTTTAAGCCTACTGGGCAGTGAGGGTTAGACCTCTATTTTATAAACCAATCAGGCCTTGATGAGTGATGTGGTCAAGATCACCCTGGCCACCTTGACCTCCCAGGACTATACCTGGCACCCACTCTGGGTCAACTGTGAGCCACAATCATTTAAAAAAAAAAAAAAAAGTCTGGCTTTGTCAGAACCTGAACAAAGACCTTCTAATCCGCAGGGCCAGCATTTAGCCGCTACACCATAGGGGCTCCGAAACCTTACTGAGTCACATTTTATGACATGCTTGTTCAGAGGCAGTAGGTCTAGTCCTTCCCCTCCCAAAACTGAGCCATTAACAACAGTCTAAAAGTACACAAATCCAAATAATGACACAAAACTGCTTCAGCCATTTTTAGCGATGGATCAGTTCTAACAGATACACAAATGTTATGAAGTCAGTTTTAGCATCAGTCCTAACAAGTACACAAAAGTGTTTAATGAGAGGTCAGTTTTACCTGCATAGTTTTTAGGATGTGAATATATTAAGTAAATATAGAATTTAGAGGGGTTTCCTTATGAACCATTTTTTAAAAATCCAGGCTGGCTTCAAATTTTCCCATCATAAGCCTCAGTGATAGAGGTCATGGCATGAGTCACATTATACATTTTTGTTTTATGCTCTAGGGAATGAATTCCATTTCAAGTCAGTTTTATTTCTATCAGTCTAACAATTTACAAACAAATTTTGTTTAATGAGAGTCAGTTTAAACAATTTATTAGTCTGCAAAAAGTACAAAAATTTTTTCCCTATGAGTTCATGAGTTTTGTTTGTGAGGTGAAAGGGCTAACAAGTACACCAAAAAATGTAGAAGAGAAACAACAGTTATTTCTGGCATCGTCGAGGGTGATGTTCTGCAAAAGGACTTGCTAAATGATGTTGAAATGATTAAAGATTCGAACTACACAACAGTTCACAGCTAATGTGCTTACAGTCATAGTATAGGGATGCTGCTCTACAGACCAGCTGTTCAACAATCTCCACAGAATCTGGGGCAGAGAGAGGCAAGTCCCTCAAGAGACCAATCACCAGCAGCCTCATCAGCGTGTCCTCCATGACGGGGGCCTCCGAAGTCAGTTTTAGCATCAGTCTAACACGTACACAAATGTAATGAAGTCAGTTTTAGCATCAGTCTAACAAGTACACAAATGTAATGAAATCAGTTTTAGCATCAGTCTAATACGTACACAAATGTAATGAAGTCAGTTTTAGCATCAGTCTAACAAGTACACAAATGTAATGAAGTCAGTTTTAGCATCAGTCTAACAAGTACACAAATGTAATGAAATCAGTTTTAGCATCAGTCTAACAAGTACACAAATGTAATGAAATCAGTTTTAGCATCAGTCTAACAAGTACACAAATGTAATGAAATCAGTTTTAGCATCAGTCTAACACGTACACAAATGTAATGAAGTCAGTTTTAGCATCAGTCTAACAAGTACACAAATGTAATGAAGTCAGTTTTAGCATCAGTCTAACAAGTACACAAATGTAATGAAATCAGTTTTAGCATCAGTCTAACAAGTACACAAATGTAATGAAATCAGTTTTAGCATCAGTCTAACAAGTACACAAATGTAATGAAATCAGTTTTAGCATCAGTCTAACACGTACACAAATGTAATGAAGTCAGTTTTAGCATCAGTCTAACAAGTACACAAATGTAATGAAGTCAGTTTTAGCATCAGTCTAACAAGTACACAAATGTAATGAAGTCAGTTTTAGCATCAGTCTAACAAGTACACAAATGTAATGAAATCAGTTTTAGCATCAGTCTAACAAGTACACAAATGTAATGAAATCAGTTTTAGCATCAGTCTAACAAGTACACAAATGTAATGAAATCAGTTTTAGCATCAGTCTAACACGTACACAAATGTAATGAAGTCAGTTTTAGCATCAGTCTAACAAGTACACAAATGTAATAAAGTCAGTTTTAGCATCAGTCTAACAAGTACACAAATGTAATGAAGTCAGTTTTAGCATCAGTCTAACAAGTACACAAATGTAATGAAGTCAGTTTTAGCATCAGTCTAACAAGTACACAAATGTAATGAAGTCAGTTTTAGCATTAGTCTGAGAAATATACAAATGCAAAGAAGTCAGTTTTAGCATTAGTCTGAGAAATATACAAATGCAAAGAAGTCAGTTTTAGCATTAGTCTGAGAAATATACAAATGCAAAGAAGTCAGTTTTAGCATTAGTCTGAGAAATATACAAATGCAAAGAAGTCAGTTTTAGCATTAGTCTAACAAGTACACAAATGTAATGAAGTCAGTTTTAGCATCAGTCTAACAAGTACACAAATGTAATGAAGTCAGTTTTAGCATCAGTCTAAAAAGTACACAAATGTAATGAAGTCAGTTTTAGCATTAGTCTAACAAGTACACAAATGTAATGAAGTCAGTTTTAGCATCAGTCTGAGAAATATACAAATGCAAAGAAGTCTGGTTTAGCATTAGTCTGAGAAATATACAAATGCAAAGAAGTCAGGTTTTAGCATTAGTCTGAACAAGTACACAAATGTAAAGAAGTCAGTTTTAGCATTAGTCTAACAAGTACACAAATGTAATGAAGTCAGTTTTAGCATCAGTCTAAGAAAGTACACAAATGTAATGAAGTCAGTTTTAGCATTAGTCTAACAAGTACACAAATGTAATGAAGTCAGTTTTAGCATCAGTCTGAGAAATATACAAATGCAAAGAAGTCTGGTTTAGCATTAGTCTGAGAAATATACAAATGCAAAGAAGTCTGGTTTAGCATTAGTCTGAGAAATATACAAATGCAAAGAAGTCTGTGGTGATGTTGTCAACATCATGCATTAGTATCTGAGAAATATACAAATGCAAAGAAGTCTGGTTTAGCATTAGTCTGAGAAATATACAAATGCAAAGAAGTCTGGTTTAGCATTAGTCTGAGAAATATACAAATGCAAAGAAGTCTGGTTTAGCATTAGTCTGAGAAATATACAAATGCAAAGAAGTCTGGTTTAGCATCAGTCTGAGAAATATACAAATGCAAAGAAGTCTGGTTTAGCATTAAAGTAAGGACATATTCTCCTGGCCTTCAGGCATATATGACTAAACACATATTTTAAAGACCAATCAGCACTTTGTAGGTGATGTTGTCAACATCATGTCGGAGGTTTAGTATCAGTCTGAGAAATTACCAAATGTAATGAAGTCAGGTTTAACATGAGTTTGAGAAATATATAAATGTAATGAAGTCAGGTTTATCATCAGTCTTAGAAATATACAAATGTAAGGAAGTCATTTTTAGCATAAATCACACAAAAATGTCACTGTGTTTGTTTGAGCATGTCTGAGAAATATAAAATGTAAAAAATTCAGTATTAGTACATTCATCAGAGAAATACAGAAATGTAGTGGAAACCACTACTTACCCTCTCTCATTCTCTGAAGGCCAATTATCTTTATTGTAATAATGCTCAGGAGATTCCATAAATAAAACTTTCTTCAGGCTGAAAATAAAAACAAACATTTCACTGATTAAGAAAGCAACAACTGAGATGAGACAAATTTACTATATGATCTAATCAATCAACAGTAAAAAAAACAGTCATTTGAGACTTCTAAGATGTGGTTTTACAAGAAAATTGAAAAATTCTTTTGAATAGTTAAAATAATCAATGCAAAGTTGTTGAAAGAAGCCAAGACAATAAGATAACTTATATAACAGTTGTAGCTGATACAGACTGGGGTCATTATTTAAGAGTAAGAGATGAGAAACAAATGGAAACCCTGTTCCCAAGATGGATAATGTCATTAGCCAGACTTGATAACACAGACATATGCAAGAACATGAGAATGGCAGACAACAGACATCACTAAAGTGACACATAAGGAAGTGCAAAGCTTGTTAAACAGCTGATAAACTTGAGACAGCCCTCTATTCTCAATTAATAAGGGGCCTTCCCCAACAATGAAAGTTGATCAAAGCGGATCTCTAACATGCTTTGTCTCTCTGCCTGACTGTACACTCTCACTGACTGCTGTTTGTCCATCTCTTGTTGTCTTTATTGTCACTTATGACTTTGACTCCCTCCTGCTTGCCTGTTTTCAACCTTTCCTTCTAGTAGGGTTTTTAATAAGTGCCATAGCTTTTAATGTGGTCAAAATATTTAATATCTTTTATTTCTTTAACTCTCTGCCCTCTCCAAAACCTGCAAACTTTTTTTTTTTTTAAATAAAAATTATTCCATGAAACATATTTTCTTCAGTTTTAACTATTTAACAAATATAAGTGCTGAAATTGCAGATAATATCTGCAAGGATAAATAAAATTACCAGTACCAGTGAAGGTAAGCTTCCGCCTTCAGGTCAATTATCTTTGGAACCACTGTGTGCAACCACCAGACAGCGTCTCTCTGGATTACAGACACCTGTCTCTTGAACACATGGATAAGTTCCAGGTCTGGAGACACACAACAACACAAGTTATTCAACATGTTATTAGTGTCTTAGAACATTAATGAATGTGGAGAACAGTTCCTAGAAGTAGGCAGAGGATGACCAGCATGACGATGGACACAGGATATCCAGGACACCCTGGGCATGAAAGCTGGCAGGGAAATGAGTGGCTTTTTGGCATGCCATGATCTGTCTCTTCTTCATCACATTCACTGGCTGTAAACTCTGGTGGAAAGTTCTGGTTGTTGGCTTCTGACAGACGGTGATTGTTGCCGTTTCCTCCATTTGTAGACCGAAAGGAGTTAGTTCTGTCCCCAGTTACGGAGTGGGGTGCATAGCTAGTGGATATGCTGAGACTGCAGTCTGTGTCCATTTTTTTCCATAAGAAACAGTGACGCACATTCTGTGTGTTTTTCGTTGGTACAGAAGAGGAGAAACTATGGCGTGACCCATTTGTTATGAAGCTGAAACTAATACTACCAGGTCCTAAGGAGACAGAAACAGATGGAATCTTTGAGCTAGAATCATTAATAATTCCAGTGTGCACTTTGGACTCAACCAATATGTTACATAAGAAAAACAAAGAATAGTTTAATACAAGTATGCTGCAGAAGTGAATCTTGTCCTGAAGACAACATCACCAGCAAAACATTACCAAACACAAACAGTTCTACAAAATGCTTAGAGTGAGTTGATTAAAGATCTATGCTTCACTGGGAAATAAAAAAAAAGGTTACTAGACCTGCCACTTTTCGACTCATCCCAGACTGCCAAATATCTAATACACTGTTGTAAAATCTGGGACAGATGATAACTTTCTCCTGTCTTCTGTCAAATGTACATTCATACTTAGCGTGTGTCAAGTTAGTGATGGGCTAAGGTCAGTGCCACTGATAATTTCTGCTGTATCTACATACTGAGCACTTCATGTTCTTAGTGTTTGGTGACTGTTAACTCCAGCGGAAAGTTCGGGTTGTGCGTCCACTTTTGGTCTTTAGTGTTGTTCTAGAACTTTGAGTTTTATATGTACATCTATTTTACACATCTGCCATATTTGTACAGAGACTGTGGCTTGTTAGAGGGCAGCGGGTCTCTATTTGTCTCCTCTAGAATGGGGTCCTGGAACCCACACAGGGAATAATGAGTAGAAACTGGGGGTTACTAAACCGTTTGTATTTCAGCACTGAACATGAGTCGAACTTACTTTTGTGGTCTCCCTGCATGAAACTTGCGGCAGCTTCTCTCATGTTCGGAGCGACACTCAGCAGCATGTCCATAGAGATCAGGTCTGCTAGTGACATTACATAGCGCTCCTAAAAACCGGATAAAGTTTAATTACAATATTTCAGAACTGTACATTATTGAAAACATCGCCATTACATAATAGAATGTTTCATTAAACAAGTAAGAGTTTACAAAAGATGATTGGGTGCTTGAAGAAAAGCGTAACCAAATAAACTAACATTTTGACTTAGACATTTTCTACTAAAAATTTTGAATTAAAAATATTTTCTATGCACAATGAATATGAAACTGCAGGAACCTAACATAACAGTTTTGTAAATAAAGTATAAAAATATATATTTGAAATTACAATAGCAAATAACTAATATGATTATGTTTCTACAATTATTGTCTAGTGGACGTAAATTTGCCTAGAAAAACCACAACAACCAAAAAAATGCTGAAGTTGGTTCTGCAGTGTCCTGTAAAGGATACACAACTAACTTTTAACAACAATTGTAAAGGCATTTTCTTAACATTTTATCTGCCATATTCATTCTTGTATAGTCTCTATCATATCATCCAGTTAAAGAAAGGAAAACAAATGGTGGAAATATTTTACAGTTCAGTTACGTTCATTAACATACACACTGGTCTCCTACCTTCAATGCAGGATCCATGTCAACAAACTTGGCTTCAGTGCGCTCCTGCATCAGGCCAAGACAAAATGATGCGAAGTTCATGTCCAGCCGGGTACACCGTACAACCTCCCTCAACAACATACGCAAGGCTTTCAGATAATCATCTTTGTTGGTTAACAGATCTTGGAAGATTTCTGCAACAGTCTGTTGATCAAACAGTCACAAATGTTGGTCTATGGCTTACTGTTACAAGAGGGGCTGCTGCAGCTGAGCTGATACTGAACACTAACCGGAATTATTAACTGAGACCACACTACTTGGGACATTCCCACAACAACTCAATCTACAACTTTAACAGCCAACACAGAGTTTGAAATTAGATGGTACCTGTTTCCTTTCAAGTCGTAGTGCACCTGCCTGAGAGGCAAGGAACCAGCAGTCTGCATACAAATGAGTCAGATCTGTAAAACGGATACACACGCAACACTCAGGTTCTGGAACAAGACTGCAGTCCAGCAGTGGATAAACAACCAGAACTTTCCGCCAGAGTTTACAGCTGGTGAACGTAAAGAATGAAGAAGAAGAAGATGGTACCTGTGGTAGTCTGACTATGTACGTCAGCAAGTTAACCATGTCCCTGAGTGTCAGCAAGTTAACCTTGTCCCTGAGTGTCAGCAAGTTAACCCCGTCCCTGAGTGTCAGCAAGTTAACCTTGTCCCTGAGTGTCAGCAAGTTAACCTTGTCCCTGAGTGTCAGCAAGTTAACCCTGTCCCTGAGTGTCAGCAAGTTAACCTTGTCCCTGAGTGTCAGCAAGTTAACCTTGTCCCTGAGTGTCAGCAAGTTAACCTTGTCCCTGAGTGTCAGCAAGTTAACCTTGTCCCTGAGTGTCAGCAAGTTAACCTTGTCCCTGAGTGTCAGCAAGTTAACCTTGTCCCTGAGTGTCAGCAAGTTAACCTTGTCCCTGAGTGTCAGCAAGTTAACCTTGTCCCTCCCTGCTGCACCAGTCTCTGCAGACCGCGATGATCTATTTCCAAAGTGTTCACTGACTCCCAAAGGAGTTTGTCATACATCAATTTACCACCAAGTGGTCCAAATCCAGCCAGTCTGTCTGAAAATTTTCATCGCCCAACACATCTGCACTCTTGATGAAAACATCTAAAGTATGCTAATTAGCCAGGACATCTGAATCAATACCTACCAGTCTGCTCGGAAGCCAGTGGTAACTAAATGAACAGACAATATGAGCAGGAAGCTCAAAGAAGGGACAGGAAAGCCATACAAAGATACAAGTGAACACTATGACCAAAGTCTGCATTAAAAACAAAAAATACAGAAATGAATTCTTATAATAAGACAAAAGTAATCTAAATAAGAAACACTATAACTATCAAAGGATAAATTTATGAACAGGACATGCAATTGGACGATTACGAGGAGTGATCAGCACTCATATAGGTATAGAAAAGAAGTAGAAATTAGAGAACACACCAGACAATATAAAAACTGAAATTAATAATAAAAATAAGGACACCTTTTTTCTTTTTGTCGGCACACAATGCTAGGTCCATATTTTTATAGACCAATCGACACTTGGTGGGTGATGTGGTCAACCTTTACTTTTCAGGACATTTTCCTGCAGCCCAGGGCAATTTTTGTTAAAAATTCCGCCATAACGTGGATTTAAAGCAAAGACATCTGAACCAACAGGCAAGTGTCTAACTTCATCTCTCGACACAAAGAATGTGCTCCCTCGTGTAAGATCTGCACTGCTGACTGTTATGGTCCGAGAGATTATGTTTACCACACTACCAACAGTTTTTAAAACATTCAATCAATTAAATGTCATCTCTGAATTGAAGACAACTTGTAGATACTAGTAACTATTTGTACGGGTCAAATTTAGTTTACAGAGAAACAGTCTTGTTGCTGATATGATAATTGATGTGATCATTAAAAGAGCTGCCCTTCTGCAGCAGGGAATCATAGGTCACCTCTGGCATAAAGAACTTCCCCCCCCCCCCAAAAAGCTATGTAAATGATAAAGGCTTCCAATTACCTTTGCTGACTGTTCCGGGGAATGAGAGAAGATGATGGCCATGAGTGCCATGTTGTTTGGGTTTCTTGATGTAGACAGCTCATTGTATATGGTGTGGTTTAGGATCATACGCAAGTTTTCTGTGTGCTGGGACAGCAGTTCTCTGAAACATACACATGACTTTAATAAAATACTATATTTATTCATTGACCTAAATAAAAAAAATAAATAAACTAAGAACTGACACTATTGCACTTTGGACATTCCCATATGTGCACTGTCTCCTTTCTCAGTAGCCAAGGAAGAGTCGACATGCTAGCAGTACCTACCAGTTGCAACTTGATTAAGTCTACCTCTGTTTCCCCATCAGTGTTAAAAACTCACACTGACCTACCAACAGTGTACAGAATGATTCCATGGACAGTGTAAATATCAATGTGAGCTAGAAGTGAAGGCAAACAAATGAAACAAAATGTATTTTACAGAAAAGTTGTAACACAACAAGAAGCAAAGAAATTAGAATGATCTGAATAAGAACACGAAGAGACAAGATTTTTACCATTGCAGGTAAGGAAAAAAAGATTTTTCTTTTCAAAACTTATTTTCACATGTTTTAAAGAAAATCATGACACCTGTTTGACAAACATCACCTGAACCAAATAAAAATAAAGAAAAAGGGAATGAAACATAGAGATGCACATACGCAGAGAACACAAACTATACTACATATTAAGAATTGCCTGTTCCATGTAGAGCTAACTAATATGACAAATTAAATGATAGCCAATGAAATGATAATGTCTGTGAACTTCTTTTATTTTTAACTACACAACCATCTACTAAAGCAGCTTTTCTCAGTAGCGACAAGAACTGGTAATGGAAAAAGTATGCTGAATTTCAACCTCATTTATATTTTAATTGTATATTATTTTTTTTTTTATTTCTATATTATTTGTAACTTACCTCATACAATTCAGAAAATGATTAATAAGGGGTTTGGTTTTCATTCGCATCTTGGTCAGATGACCTATGACCTCCAGGTCACTCTGATCATGCTTGTCACAGTTGGTGCAGACGGCAAGCAACAGGTCCTGGGACACACGAGTCAGCTACAACAGAGAAACAACCATGCTATCAAATACACAGCCCTTGTAGGCTAATGGACAAGGAATGGAATGGTCTCAGTAAAGCTAATTTAAATGTTACTAAGAGATATTGTGGATCTGCTGTCAAACCTCTATCATTTGTGGACAACTAGTGCATGAAGGGTGACTTGGACCGGAATACGCCAGCCAAATTTACTTTCTGAGGCAAAATCTCGGACACCTATGCCCATATTCTATTTCTGCCCTTTATTCCATATCAGAATGCAGGCTCAGAACTATTCCAGTCAAGCTGTCTAGTTTTTTGCCATCTTCTTCAGCACATCACCTTACATTGATTTCGACAGGGGTATGGACACTCGATCCTTCAGGGACAAGGGCAAACTACCAGTAAAACCTAGTAAACGCAACAGCCAACAATGCTAGGGTTAATTCTGCAACATCCTGTAAAGGATAGGCAACTAACTTCAGCTCATACAATGTCTTCCCCATATTATTCCTTTCCCTCTATTCAGAATGCTGTTGTGTATTCCTCTACCTCTGTATCCCTGCGGGTTCCAGAAAAAGGACATTTTAGTCATAATATTACCAGTTTTTGCACTGTGTATTCCATCAAGAAACAGCGTTTTTTCACCAACTCTTTATACGCTGGATATCTTTAGCTCTCTTTGTCTAAGCTCTAAAGGATGTATGAGAGAAGTACAATGTGTGTACAACCAATGTTCTACTGGAACAGTCAGCATCTGCTGGGGGAGGCGGATCACCTATGGACAGGCCCACTACGCTATGATATTGATTCTCAAATCAGTAATCTGCAAGCTCTGCATCAGTGATTCTGTCATACCATTTTAGTCCCCTTCTGTGCAGACAACATAATATCTATATTTAATTCTTCGTGGAAAGTTCTAGTTGTTTGTCCACTTCTGAACTTTGATCTTGTTCCATAACTTGTGTTTTGTAAGCACATCCGTTTTACAGAACTGACCTATCCGTATGCAGACTGCTGGTTACTCAACTCTTAGACATATGCACTTCAATTTCAAAGGCATCATCCCTAATTAATTGCCTCCTAGGACATGCTTGTCAAGGGGCAGCAGCTCTCTTCTTGTATTCCCCAAAAAGGGGTCCCCGAACCCACACAGGGAAATGGAAAGCTAAAATTACGCCTTGCACAAGACAACTGGCTTACCTTAGGATTCTGCAGCCACATGTCAATCCGCTGTGCAGCCATGTTCCGAATTGCACTGTAGCCACTAGTTGATGTCATCAGCTTAATGAGGTTGCGCGGAGATGAGTCCATAGACTGACGTCGATTCAGGATATCAGTGATCGTCTCTAGGATGTAGGTTTCTATCGCTTGCTGCTGGTATGGATACCTGAAACAAGAAGCTGAAAGTTTTTCGGCCCTAATCAAGTACAACAACCATCTGTATGGGTTGTAATTACCTGGTATCACTGGCCGGTAGTTTTATATCAGAAATGCTACAAGTTGACTACAGTGCTCGGTCGTTTACCTAAATTCAGCATATGAATGACAGGGGAGAAAAGAATGAAAACAGTAAACATCACGATGTTGGCTGTTTGAATTAACATGTGGACCATTATTTTTTTCTTTCTAAATCTTTCCATGTTCGAAATGTTCTACTTGTAGCCTCGTCCAATGTGTCGACAGAATGACAGCTGGCTTTTTCTGCCTCTGTTGAAATAATCAGACTATCTCCTTTTTCTAAATCTTTCCATGTTTGAAATGTTCTACTTGTAGCCTCGTCCAAAGTGTCGACAGAATGACAGCTGGCTTTTTCTGCCTCTGTTGAAATAATTAAACTATCTCCCCATTTGCTATAACATGCGCTCATTCTTGTTCTAACCGTAGCGATTTTTTGAATAACATGTTTTTTGGCTAAATAAAATGCAATTTTTGCCTTTCTTACTGTTATTTTCCATTAATTAATAAACAAGCCAAATAATTGAATGAGGCCTCAGAAATATGGTTTCACAAAAGTATTCTTAGAATTCCTTGGACCCCCCCCCCCCCCCCCCCCCCCCCCCCAAAAAAAAAAAGCAATAAGAAAGTTTTGAACAATCTGACTCTTGTGCAGTGTCTGTAAAGAAAGTCTCTAATCCAGGCAAACATATGCTCTTTTATCCCACTGTGTGCTAGTTTTAGCAAGAGTGTCTTTCAAACCTTGTTACATACATTCACACACACACACACATACAAGAGGTGAGGGCTCGAGGACCACTTATTACAAACATCAGAAAGAGACAGCCAGATTGTCCACACCAGTCAGCAAAGCATGTGATGATGATTCTGTCATTTATGCCTGTGATACAATTTCCTCCTGATGTTATCTCAACACTTAAGATAACTGAATTTCTGTAACAGCCACAAATTAATACCACTGACTTTTAACTACATTTTGACATGATCCATTTTCTCTTCAAAGACTAAGGAAAAGAAATCAGACAGAAATATTAGTTCAAGCAAATGAACTACGCTATGATCAAAAGCAACATGCTGATTTTGGCACATACCTTGGAGTGCAATTTGATTGGCTGCTTGAAGAACTGGATTTGTCCCAATCACCACTGTCACTCATCTTGGAGTCATCATCATCAAGAGACATCTGCACAGGGCTTGCTGTTATGTTGTTAAAAAGTACAATATTGTAAAAACCATGAAATACAATAAAGTTCATAACTATATATAATTTATCAACTAGCAAAGTGCAAAACTGCCATATTATAAACTACTATATATAAATTACAAACATAATAAATTACTACAATTTATGTAGTGGAACATGAAAGGTGAAAAAAAAAACAGACACAAAGAACATCAATGAACAGAATAATGACCCACACAGAAAAAGGTGAAAACAAAATAAAGCATTTAATAGAAGGAGGAAAAAAATTAACATAACATAACAGAGAAACAATATTACAAAGCATGAAAGAACAAAACAAAGACCGAAAAAATGAGGGAAAAAAAAACCAGTAGAAAGAAATCCCAGCCCAGCAGTAAGGACAAATGAAACATCACAGAAACAGACATCAGAATGTAATCTTCAATAATACATACATGATCCACTTGGGTCTCCTCGCAGAGCTTCAGCAGTTGCCATTAACAAATGTCTAGGAGATTTCTTGGTTCCAAATGCTGTCTGTATGTTTTCCACAAATGTTTTACAGTCTTCGCGATCTACCCAGATTCTTTCTCCTAGAGAATCTTCAACAAACACCTTCAAGAGACAAAACAAGGCTTATTTAAAAGCATTATATTGTACGAAGTAAAGATTAACAAAGTATGTTTTTTTTCAATCTTTTAGGTTATATTTCCAGGCTTTCATGTAACATTTTCAGGGTAAAGGAATGATATCAGATATGCTTGAATTGATCATCCTCCATTTCTATCTTTGCCATTAGGCATCATGAGAAGGAACAGTTTGTGATCCATTGGTCGATGGGCAGCACTGGCTGTTGTCATTCTGATGTAGAATGTTTTTATGTCATCAATCCATCTCCTCAGTGGGTGCCCTCTTGCATGAAATATAAAAGGAAAAGGTTCAGAACCATATTTCCATCAACTGTCTGATTCAGGTTACTTAGTAACTGTCAGGGACCCCAGTATAACCTAGCAGTTGAAAAGGGTTTATGGGATTTGTATCTGGGGGGATTGTCATCCAAATAATCATATTTTGCATCACCAAATGTTAATCGCTCATTGTGTGGCCCTAGTGGGGTTTAACTTCATCATCCTCATCACCATATGTCTATAACCTGTAGCATACTGGGTATATGGTGCTGAATTGTGCTGAGGTCAGTCTCAACTTAAAATAAATAAATGTATCCAAAAGTCAAAAGAGAAGGCAAAGATCAGAGCATAATACGGTATATAAATCAGGAGCTAGAATCTGCCATTAGAAACAAAGAAGAACTTAGTGAATTAAGAATATATAAAAACGGAAGTTAAATAAGCATGCGTTTATCACTTGATCTCATTACCAATTGCAGTGAGACAATACTCAAAGACACATTTAACATCTTGAGGACATTAAAGCTGGGAGGGCACAATATACATATTCTGATATACATTAACTACTTTTTTTTTAAAGGCAGAGTCTTAAAGTAGTTTTCAAATCGCTAGATGTGGTGAGGTAGGTAAGCAATAAGAAGGGTTACCATTAGTTAGTTTAAGTGCAGGGCAGTTTCCAAGAAAGCCCTAATTCCATATACAAGCTCCATTCTTTTATGTACCAATCTGCACTTGACGGGTGCTGTGGTTAATATCAAGGCACACCCCTTTAGTTCTAAGGACATTTCTCATATCCATTTTAAACTGCATTCACATAAGAGCCAAAGGTTTAAAAAAAATGTTTAATCCTGCCTCGACAGGGATTCAGATACATGACCACAGGCTAGAAGAAAAGGTTACTGGCTACAGAAGCTCATGTAATGTTAACAAACAAAAAAAACAAAACTAACCTTGACAAAATTATCTGGCCAATTTTCTTCATCAGCAAAAGCATTCATGAGCACGTTACAAGCCAGTACAGATACCAAAGGGTTTCCTTTGGCCTTGAACGTCAGAGCAAGCTCTCGTTTCAACAGTCCACAAAATGCCTGGTGGGTTACATAAAATATACAAATGTTACTTGAAAAATCATTACATTGGAGAAAATTCATTTAAAAAAGCAATGCTAATTTAATGTTTTCTTCTCCCCTCTTTTTCTGCTTGTTATCATTCAGAAGGATCATAGATCTTCAAACAACTCATGACAAAACCTTTGGGGATTTGCTTATGATTTGACGAATGCATCCTTCCCCCTCCCCCTCCATAATCTTGCTGTAATATAACTTCAACCAAAAAAACCAACTGATGCTGGCAAAAAGTAATACCTCCTATACTTGAATGTAAATACTGCATCAGTGTGCAATTTGTAAATTTATCAGGATTCCTTAAACACTCTACTACACTCTCTAACATTACCAATTTGTTGCAGTAACAGGTGACACCACTGTTATGGTTTCAAAATGGTTTCCAAAGGCATTTGGTTAAAACACAGCAATGTCACAGAATTCCTCCATGCTAAAGGTGAGACCCCAAATCGCAACCACAAACGTTTGAAGAATGTTCATGGAGATTCAACAGTGGATGTTAGCACTATCCGCCCTGGGTACATTGTTGTGATGAAGATGAAGTAGATCAATCCTTAAACACGCTGTACGCCAGTGGTTGTGAAAAAAAAATACACAAATTGTTACTGAATGGGGCTACATTACTTTGTGAAAAGATGGACAAAAACGTAAATGTATATATTTTGATTTGAAGTTCAGACATGAAGGCTACACATCAATGTGAATTTTATGTTTTCTTGCCTAAGGAATGTAATTAAAAATTATGAAGCATTACTTTTTTTTTTAACCGTTCTTGATATAAGCAAAAGCTACCTTTATTGAGGCCTACCTCAAACAGAAGCAATTTTATTTTTTTATAAATAGACATCTCAACAAAACAAAACAAAAACTAAACTGCTGACAACACCAATAAAAACTTCCCTGCTAACACACATCTCAAGCAAAAACTAATCTTCCTCTCAAAGTCCATGCCGTGTGGTGTGGCGTCAGTAGTCAGTTCACAACCTTCTGTCAGGTGTACTTTCAATCAATTCTGACAGATGATCCTCCATACCATGATGTCTAACTGTCTATCTGTTCTCTCAGTTTTCCTCAGGTTCTCATCCCCTCCATCTTTCCTACTGTCAATATGTACTCCAGCTTTCTGATTCTCATCACATGACCAAAGTCAGCTGATACAAATCTCCATACACACACACACAAATTATGCTGACACTTACCTCAGTTACTATGTCTGAGTAAAACAAGGATGGTCTGCTCTTAGAGAGATGCATCAGAGTTAGATATACAATCTGGTCTGGTTTAGATCTATTTGTGCGAAGATGTTTCACGGCTCCACAAAGAAGAGCTTCTGCTCGCTCGTCATTCATATCATCGTCAGCTGCCAGAACTCACTGTTGACTGTAAATGATCAACCCTAAAAGCCAGCATTGCAGTTGCAAAAGTGCACACCCCTCTGAATGTAACCAGCCACCTGCCATTTTAGTGCAGCCAACAACATGCTGTGGGCACCAAAGTTCACAGTGCCAAAACAAGCACTCAACTCAGTAGCTGGGTGCAGACAGAACCTTTGGACTCCCAGCACAGAAATGAGGAATTTGACTTCAGCAAAACCTAGCTGGATACAAATAACTTCAGAGCGTCAACTGGCTATCAGCTATTCTGACCATAAAGCTGGCATGACAGATGCTTTACTGCTGGCTCTAAGTTCTCGGGTTTAAATAGAGCAGATTTTTGGGGAAAATATACCCTGGCTCTCAGGTTGACCTATCATAAAATTGGCACCGGGCAGTTTCCTGTGAAGTAAAGATTCCTGACGTGATGCTGACATCATCATCTATTGAGCTTTGACTGGGCTATGCAAATTTTAGTCCCAGGATTATATGCCTGATACACCAATGATGTAAAAAAAAAAAAATAATTGGTTCTTTACTTTTTAACTGGTAATAATGATGTAAGAAAAAGTGTTAATTTTTCACACAGAGCAACTAAATTTATTTTCTGAGCAGAAATGTGAACCTTTGAAATACTATTCATGTCAATGTGTTATATTTACACCAACTTCTACTGGTATGTTTGTTTGTTTATTCAACGGATCAACATCATGGCATAAGGGTGTAACCCATAAGTGCTCTGTTCTACTTCTAACTCAAGTCTGAGGAATCTCAGCGTAGTGCATAAACTCTGTTGCACCGGCAAGGATCACAAAATACTTTTGGGTAGATTTTTTACTCCAAATTTTGCAGGGCAGCGCCGTTAGGCTACCCTTTTTCGATTTCCAACTGCCAAGGTATTTTTAATGTGCGCAGCAGTACACACGGGCATCCGGTCTTACAACCCAGAGACCAAGGGAAATTAATAGAAGGCCACATGAAAAAATCATAGGATTTAACAGGGGCTTGAACCCAGGACCTCAAGCACTCGAGGGGGATGCGATTAGGTATGTATAAGATAACTCAACTCAGGAGGGTCACTAGCATGAGGCACATCCTGTAGAAATGTAACCACAAAACTAAATAAATGACAAACAGTCATGCTTTAATGGAACCCTTAGGGCAAGTAAATAGTAAAGCTGAACCATACAAGATGACACTAAAGGCAGGGCTGGGAAGGAGGATGGTTACATCATCCCCCAAACATGTTTAACAAAAAATTGTCCCTAGATGGACCCACTTGTAAGGGGGGGGGGGGGGGGGGGGGGGGAGAAACACTGTAGACAAGGTGTTAAATCTGATAACACAATAATGAGGCAATGTAATGTCCTTTGAAACTAACTAGGAATATTACAATAGAAAATACAAGTACCTGATGAAATCAGATGTTTAGCCGAAAAGTGCAAATATTGCAGCTATGCTATAAACAAATATTTATTTCACTCAGACAAATGATGAAGAAGATAATTACTGAAAATAAAAGCTGTCTTAAACTTCACAAAAAAGGCAAATGTAATTACTTTCTATCTAAAACCAGAATGCAAACAACTGGAGATATCAGTTAAACTTAATGCGACTTCACAATGTGATAAATAACAGGACCTCTCACCTGTGATGGCTATTTCATCATAATGTTGAACAGTGGTAGATGAAGCTATCCCCAACAGACTGGAGGATTCTCCAAGAGGTCGACCAAGGGTACCAAATGCTGGGCCACCGAGTTTAGGTTTCTTAGCCAGGCTGGATGATGTTAACAAAGGTCCAGGGGCATCTTTCTTCCGTCCTAAAAACTGTGGACTTGAAGGTCTCTTTACATCACCCTCATTTGTCTTTGACTGCTTGCCCAGGGCAATGAAATCTCCAGGAGCTGTGGTTGGAACTGGTTAAAAAAAAGAAGAGAGAATTTAACACATACAATGGTATTCAGCACCTGCTGTTTATAACATTAATGCGTGCTTGTAATTCATTTTAGAATTTAAAAAAAAAAAGAGTTAAACATAGATGTAGTAGTCTGTGTCTGGGTTACGGTGCCTGATTTGGGGCATCTGGGGGTGGGGGGAACAGACCCACTGTTCCCTAACTAGCACATTATAAAAGTCAACTAATTAAGGGTGTTTCCTTGAAAGTCTTAGTGCATCTGTCTGAAGGACAACAAGGAACCAACACTAAGCCAGATCTGTAAAACAGATGTGCATGCAAAATTTCAAGTTCTGGAACAAAACTCAAGTCCACAAGTGGACAAACAACACAATTTTTACATCAATGAACACCAAGAAGAAGAAGAAGAATAATCACTTGTAGCATACTGAAGAACAGTCAAGTAACTATAATGACAATGATTATCATAATGTAGCAGGGGTAATCTGAATCATCATCATCATCAGCTGCCTTGCCGACTGGCGTGGGTGATTATGCCTCTTCATAATCTGCGATCTCCTGCAGCATGTATCAGTTCGTGTGCCGACACACCTCCATGCCATGCAACAAGACTGTCAAGCATCTTCTCTCGTTGTCTTCCTCTATCTCACCTTCCACATATCTTTACAGTGGTCACAACATGTTCTATTTTCCCTCTTCTCATAACATGGCCGAAACATGATGACTGTCTCCTGATTTTTCCATTCTGAATGGGTAATTCTAATACAAATATTTGGAAGAAAATAATCTTAGCTCCCGTAATGAGAAGAATTTCACCCCAGTACATGAAGCAGCATTACAATGGAGTTGGTGTGTGCAACGTTGTTAGTGTTGGCTCGTTCTACTTGTTTTATTTTTTGCGTGCCTCAGTCAAGATGTAAAGTCTGGACACATGAGCATACATTCAGAACACAATGATAACATTGATATCGTTTATTGGGGCACAACAATAAGTCATTCTGTCGATGTCCACAGTTCTCCCTAGTCGTTGTTGACACATGCTCATGACTGACTACTACGTCAAAACAACAGTTAAACAATGGTTGCAGTTACCTGCCAGTCAGAACATTCCATTCGCTCAGGTACTGGCATCTGAATCATCCTAACACAAATGCTCACAGAACACTAGACACTGTCATTCAGAATCAATTCTCCTCAGGCACTCGAGTTTTCCCAAAGCTGGTCCTCCAGTTCACAATGACGTTCACCTCAGTCGCACCATCAAACAACCTACCTCTCACACGGTCAAACACAACTCTCTACCTACTCTCTCCATTCAAAACTCACGTTCCAGTCTCATGCTTTTCCCGTACCCCTGTTCACAAAACACAGGATAATCGAGTCATACTTTGGCTATATTCCAAATAACGGTCCCAAATTATCGAGGCTTAAAATATACAGGGTCTCAGTCATGTGTCAACTGCGGACTTCCGGTGACTTAAACTGCACACTTCCGGCGACTACCGCCGAGAGTGTCTCCCATGCCGCTACGCGCGGCGTGGACTTGGGCTAAACTAGATGGCTGGGACTCACAAGCAGCAGCTACCGCATCTCCTGCAGCTTCCTTCATTTTATTCCCGGATATTAAGTTTAGCCCCAATCCACGCCGCACATAGCGGCATGGGAGATACTCTCGGCGGTGGCGGTATAGTCCCCGGAAGTCCACAATTCGGCGGTGGCGGTATAGTCCCAGGAAGTCCACAAGTGACACGTGACTGAGGCCCTGTTAGGGTATATTTTCTGCCTCAATAATTTGGGACCGTTATTCAGAAGATAGCCCATACTTTTCTCCTTTATCTCTTGTTTCCCTGGCCGACCTTGTCCCCTCAATTGGGAATTCTCTGGGGTTTCCCTGGGAATTCACCTCATTACAAGCATTAATAATAATCTGTGCTGAAACATCTCAATGGCAGAGAATAAAATTTAAATTTATATCAGTCTAATGGAATGGCCATGGTATTATTGAAAGCAACAGCAACACGTTGATATTTCTAGAGGCAGTTCATCAGTTTCTGATTGGCAAATGAAAACAGGGCTCTCCTCCGAACTTCAACCCGATATTATGGCGGCCATAAATATAAAAAATATCCTTACGGGGCTCAGTTCTATTAAAAATATGCCGGCTCCGTATAACGAAACAAATGCTCTAACAGGGTCTCAGCGATATGTTACTTGTGGACCCGTTTCTGTGACTGTGCCGATGTGCGTAGCGGTGCAGGGGATAATCTCGGCGGTGAGTTTAATCGTGTTAAGCGCATGCTATTATCGTCTGCAGAAACGCTCTAAATTGTCAACGGTCGCTATTATCGTCTGCAATGTTGCGTCTCTTGAAATTGTCAAGTAAGCCTAGTTTTGCCGCGATTTGTTTCTTGGCAAAAAGTCCGCATTTTACATATGCCTGAGCCCCGTAAGGATATTTTATGGCCGTCATAATATCGGGTCGAAGTTCGGAGGAGAGCCAAAAACAGTCAGTATGTGTATATAGGTGAGCTAAGACAGTAAGACGGCACTCTTCCGAATACCGGTCCCAAATTATTCACTGCCAAAAACTGCCCTTTGAGAGCCTCAATAAGTTATGTTTACAATGAGTGAGAGATGGCTGACCTGTTCTCGAGCCCTGATTGTTGTTACGTTTGATGGATTTTCTAATCTCGTATATTGTTTCTAGAGCAGATTTTTGTGCATACCAGCTTGCCCCAATTTTAAAACACCCTGCTGTCCCAGCTGAGATAAAAAGACAAATTATAAATACAATCTTTATACCGACATTAGGTTATCAATGTCAGACTTGGACATTAACAAAAGAACATGAGAGAAGACTAACCACCTGTGAAATGAGATGTCTGAGAATGGCTGCGAATAAAACCAGAAGAGATCGAGTGAGAAACGATGTGATTACAAGAACTATTGGAACCATACCCATCGTTAAATTTATTGAGAAGCAAAGAATGAAATGGTTTTGGTCACCTAATGAGAATGGAACCAAACGGATCGATGCCAGCATCAAGAGCATACAACATGAAAATCGAAACAACAAGAGGCAGGGGAAGACCAAGAAGAAGATGGATTGAAGGAGTCACGGACAACTTGAGACTTCATAACATCACGGCATATGAAGCGACTGAGCGCGCCCTGGCTCGGTTGCCGATCATCTGATAGACTGCGACGCCTAGCGGCACAAACGTTGGGGTTCATACTGAGGGGAGGATCTGAGCACCTATGGACATGTCCGGAGTGCAATGAGGATAACCCAACTAACTAACTAACTAACTAACTAACTAGCCTAGCGGCACAAGCAGATTTTGACAAAAGAAGAAGAAGAAGAAGAAATAAGTTATGTAGTAAAAGCATTTAGGTCATCATCATCAGTTTCCACTTTTGCCGTTAGTTGTGCTCGACAGACAACGATGTTAAGACCTTAGGCTAAGCGCGCCGGAGAGAGGGGAGGGGGTTTGTTTTAGATCCATTGGGTGCGGCGTTTGGAGGGGGAAAAATGTTTTGATTCAATGTTTAAGTGAAGTGGGGAGGATTAGTTTTTCGATCCATTAAAGCTACGTGGGGAGGAATAGAATAGTTTTTGATCCTTTAAAGCTACGTGGGTAGGAATAGAATAGTTTTTGATCCATTGTTTACATTACTCGTGACTCCTCTTGTGGGTTCCAGGGCCACATGTTTGAGAGAGGAAAACAGAATAGATCCACTGCCACCTAAAAAGTATGTTGTAACAGGCGCTTAAATAAGACTGCTGAAATCGATTGCGTTAGTGTAAAAGGATCAGATATCACAGCCTATCTGTAAACCACAACAAAACATCCCAACTGTCCTTTTAAGGGCTAAAAATAAAATTATCACCTTGCGGGGAATCGAACACCGATCACCCACGTACCATGTACAACTATACTACCGAAGACTCGAGAGTTGGGTTCCCATGAAATTATATAATAACGCGAAGCATAGTTTGTAGCGTTCCTGTTCCATATTTTAAACTATATGACCTCTTGAGGCCCTAAATGGGATTTTTTAAACAGTAAATAATTTGGGACCGGTATTCGGAAGAGTGCCCAGTAAGACACCCTAATTCCACAAGACTATCCCTGCATAATAATAATATAGCAGACACTAAACTTTGACGACTGTAACTTATTACCTCTGTTATTAATCCTGCTATTATTAATATTATTTATTATTGTTTGGTTGGTGCTGACTGATCTTAGATCTTCCAAATCAAAACAAATTAATTTTCGACAGTACAGTTTTACCACAGCTGTTGAATTTTCGCAATATCGGTGACAATTATGTGCTCTTACCTTTTTTCTTCCTTCCAAGAATAGACTTTTGACGCTCCATGTGTAAAAATGTTTGCAAATATACCAAAACTTCATAAGAAATTCCAAACTTTTGCCGTTTGCCTCTGCTTTCGTCCGTCCGTCCGTTCCGTAATTTGGTAAATGTTCCAGGTACGCACCAAAATTCAAGTTAAATTATTAGGACTCATTTTTATTTTGTTTTAATTTGTAATATATGAGCATCATAACATAAATTACATTTTGCATAATTTTATTATAAAAATCTCAAGCAGGTGAAATTTTTTATAATTGCATTAAAGTGTATATTAGTTAACTTTCAATTGGTAATGGCAACAAGGCAAAAAGCACACGGGCATTAACTGCTAGACTGCTACACAACTTATTGTGGTCGAGATTATGTAAAAGTAGGTTTCTGTGTCAATAAAACAAATATAAACTCATATGCTTTTCCTTACCCGCACAGGCCTGCGAGGTCCCTCCTGGCTGGTTTAGCCGTTACGTGAGCTCACTGAGGACTGAGGGGGGGGGGGGAGAGGGTGCAGCCGGTACATTGTACCATCTCCTTCAGCTGATCAAAACCTCACCATATCAAAGAGGCAGCTGATGAAACTTGAACGCATTCAGAATAAAGCCCTAAGGGTAAATAAGTGATGTA